AGCAAACAAATCACTACTCAGATCTCTTAAAGAATTACTTCCCAAACTAAGAAAAAGCTCACTTTCTAACAATTTAATATATATAAAACCCATTATCTTACTCCGCTCCTGATTGTCTAGCCTCGCTCTTGATTGCTGGCCCCTGGAAATTGAAGACAATGGGTCCTGCGAATTGACAGATTTTACGATTTCAGAAGGAGTCGAAAAAAAAGAGGGGGCGCCCTTTTTCATGCTTTCCCTGCTCACCTGCCTTTTACTCATTTGCATAGAACAGGTGCGTGGGGTCGTCATCCTTACAGGATTCTTACTCCACGTCCTGCTGGCTCCCCTCCTTGGAGGCACACTCGCATTTATCGCGCATTTTGTTTTGTTTCCTTAACCACCCCCGGCCAGGACCTGCATAAGGGGCCATAAAAATGCGTTAAAGCTGCTACTTTATTTTCATTACAAAAGGGACTCACATAGTCAGGTACACAAATATAGCCTGACTCCCTCCCCTGACTGTGTCCTTAGGCCCCGTTGATCTATGCAGGCGGCTTTCCTTGCGGATTTTCCATCCGTTGGTCGTCCATTCGTCTGCGGCTGCTTTGCATACTTTTAGCGGCACTCAAAGTCGGCGGCTTTACAAATTGAATTATGCACTTAATGGCGAAGGCATTTGGTTAACTGAAAACTCAACTGAAACCCGAACTGAAGCTGATGCTGAAGCTGAACCAGAGGAGAGATTTCAGGACAAGGACAGCGCAGCCAGTTGGAGAAGCCTCTGAAAATGGTTAAATGGTAAATTCTCATTGACAGGCAGAGAGTTTTGGGGCAAGGACAACGAGTTCGCCACTTAAAGAGCCTCTTAATGGGGCAAGAAATCCTTTGAAAAAATCTCTTTAAAAATCTTTTCACTTTTCCCCTTTTTTTGTCTTTGAAATATTATATAAAAAATCATCAAAAATGTCTTTCAAGTTCTCTTTGGAACCCCCTCAATTATCATCAATTTTGTGTGGACTATCCTCTAACCATCATCATCATCATCATCATCATCATCATTTGCATTTCCCTTTTCCTCCTTTATTTTTGTGAAATATTTTCTATTTTTAATCGCTGAGCGAATGGCAAAAGGAAATAATCACCTCTCTCCTTCGCCAAGAACATTGTCCATATCAATTATTTGTGCGGGAAATTGTGCAAGAGGGGAGAAACTGTGGCCAGGATGGAGCGATGCCAGGCCACAAGGACGAAAATGTTTCAGTCTAATCTACATGCCGACAGCTTTATTTGCACAAAGCTTTCGCTGAGCGGTGGCCAGCGAAGCGCGACTGTCACAGTAATCCCACAACCCACAGCCCCACCACCCATAGTCCTGGACCTGGCCCCGAATCCTGCTCCTGCTCCACCTCTCCTGCAGTGACCAAGTATGCAACAAGGCGCTCGCCGCCGCTCAATCATCATTAAAAGGCAAGAAAGGGCAAGAAATGGGGAATGAGGCCCAGCAGGATCTGCACGAAGATGGATAAGGCTCACACAAACGCCACCGTCCAGCGGATGTCGCAGAAGGGGGTCGGGAGATGGGAGTCAGGAACTCTGGGGCTGGAGTTGGGAGTCGACAGTCGGGAGTCCCTTTAACATTTCCCTTTGGAGGCGACTCACTCAAGCGCTGCAAAGTGCTTCCTCTCTGGCAAGGACCACCACCAAGCCCAAGTCTGAGTCCAAATCAGAGTCCGAGACCAAGACATCTCGACTCTGCCTGCCTGTTGCTGCGGAAAATAGCAAAATCTTAGGCTTTATTTGCCTTTATTTCTGTTAAAAATTTAAGAAGAGTTCTAGAAAAAATTAAGCTTTTAAATTAAGCAATTAATTGAAATTTAAAGGATTTCTTTACCTTCTGATATCAAAACTTATATTGTCAATCTTCTTTGAGTTGAGTTCTTAGATGATTTCTTGCAGTGTCCTGCCTCAAGTCGAAATTGCAATGTCGCCAAGTCGGTGGCCCTTTCGGCGCTGTTATCGTTTTCGTTTCCGGCATTGGCGGCAGGCGACAGGCGGCAGGTCCTGTGGACATCGTGTGGCCACCCAGCTGTGAGCCAACTTTGTCGAGCAATTATTTTTAGCGCAGCTGGAGCGGCGCGGCGTTTACTTCATCTCTGGGAGGGAATGGTCTGCTACTGCTCCTGCTCCAGCTCCTGATCCCTGCTCCTGCTCCCTTTGCCTTGTTTGCCTTTCATATAAACGAGTGCAAATACTTTTTTAAGTGCCTGTATGCCGCTGTTGTGGCTGTTGTTGTTCTTGTGGCGGCTGTTGACAGTTGTCGGCCTTTGAAGTGGCAAAATATTTGACAAGAAAATGACTTTTCCGGGGGCACAGCACCACCCCAAAGAGGAGAGTAGGGTGTGGGAGTCCTTGGTGGTATATGTTAATGCTGTGGCCAGCAGCAACTTGATCCCAGACTGAACTTGCTTTTGCCTTTGCCTTTGCCTTTCGGTGACCTTAATTCGAGGGCAGTCGACTTTGAGTCCTGGCCATTTCAAGGAACCCAAAACCGAAACAGAACTCAGGTCCTTTGTAATCTTACAGAGGGAGGGATGAAGGAGAAGGCTCTTACTCTCTTTGGTTTAAATGTTTTTGTCAAAATCTGGCTAATTGGCCACACAATGTTATTTATTGTTAACAATTAGCTTTCATTGATTTTTAAGTAGAATATATAGAGAATATATATATAGAAGAAATGGTTTTTATTTATGAATCGACTTAAATAATCATGCCAGGTCTGGTTGTTGACATTTTTCTAATTCATATTATCCCTTTTCCTGTCTCAAACTGGGTAATTCATGAATTATTAAGTTGCCTTTTGCTTACACAGGATAAGCCCAGCTCACCTGGGATCCTTTTTCAACCCTTGGCCCCAGTCATCTTCTAATTGGATTCGAAATTTGTTGGATATATGTATAAACCGAGAAAGACTTTAATATTTATATATATAATTTTGTTTTATTTTTTCTTCTCTCCCTTAGGGGCTTAAACTTTCACACATACATTTTGTATTGTTAATCCTTAGCCTTGGCCTCAAGCCTTGTTCCGAATCCTCTGTGAAACACACAAAATAAAGTAGCAATTTTGCAAGGAGACTGGGTAATAGTGGAGATCCTGGTAATAATGAATTAGAGCCACTTGCACTTTATGTGCTGCATAAAAAGCCCGCCCGTAGGTAGTTCGTTTATAAAATAAACTGCTTAATGTAATTGTACATTTTTAATGGAAATCAACCGAGTGGAAAGTGGGGAAAACTGGGAATGTGGAGTAAACTGTTGATGTGACAGTAATAGTGGGCGCTGCAGCTAAAACCCAGTCCTGGTCCATTAAGACCCCATTATGTATTCGTTTTGACTTTAAATTGATTATAACGTTTCAATTTATTTTAAATAAATTATAGAGCGTTTTTTTTAGCTGCGGCTTTCCGCTTTCAAATTGGTAATCAGTAATCAGTTCATAAATTACCAATTCTGACATCTATCTGCGGGGGTGGGATGCTGATGGGAGATGGAAGGGGCTTCGAGGCCTCTTTTTATCCGTTAATCATCCGCGCGGACATCGTTTCATTTTGCCATAAATCTGAGGGCTTCTTTCCAACTTCCAAGAACCAAGAACCAAGTTTTCGGTTTTTTTTTGCTTTGCCACAAAATTTGAGCATTCTTTTTTCGCTTAGACCGCCTTCTTGGTAGAGAGGGCTCACCGCAAGCCAAGCATAACAATTGCTTTTTATTTTATGATCGCCGGCCAAGGACGAAGGATGCTTCCTGGCCAGACAGACAGACAAATGGACGGACGGACAGACAGACGGACAGACAAATACCCCCGCGGAAAAGCCAGCACATTGCTTGTCTTTAATTATGTTTTGGTCCTCGAGTTTTGTGCATTGCCTTGTTTATTTTTATTACCCGGCAAGGCGGGGCGGTGCGGCGTCTGTGCCTGTTTATTTACATTAATTTTTCAATTTACCTTTATTGCCGCAGCGTGGAGGGTCGGTCCTGGTTTGGTTTTTGCGCTGGGACTTAATTAAGCTGTCAGCTGGTACCCCCCAGAGTCCCCTCTCTCTTGGGCGAATCTGTGTATCTGTATCTATAGGTTTAGCAGTAGCTGTATTCGAATCTGAATCCCTAGAATCCTTGAATCTCGGCTGCCCGCGAATCCCCTTTTAATAATAATTCCCTCCCTTTTCTCTCTTTTTTGGAAATTACGAAACTCCCCCAGTTTTCTGCGGTCGGGCTTTCATTTCCGCTGCAAGCAGCTAATTTGTCTGGTAACTGAGGATATTTGTCCTTTAGCCTAAGTGGCCAGGCTTTCCGGCATCGGAATCCGTTTGCCAAAACCGAATCAAAATCCAAATTCGAATCATAAAAAAGAGTCCCGAGAAACGAAATCAAAATCAAAAATGTCATAAGGGACGGAGGGCGCCACCACTTTTGAAATTTCCGACGCAATTTCCGTTGTCAACACCTTTGACAGCTGTCAGACGCACACACAGACACTCTCGACACACTCATGCGATTTGTTTTCCTCTTCTCTGCTCTTTTTTTGCCTTTTTTCCTGGCCTAGCGGAAACGGAAATTGTTAGGCTTAATAGACAATTCGCATTTCCTGGCTGCCTTTGAAGTCCTGCCTCGGCCCGTTCCGTTGATCCTTGCGCACAATTGCACAAATCAAGGAGTCTGCTCTCCTTTCTCTCTCTTTCCCCATTGACAAGACAGAATCACAATAATTATAATATTTAACCTTCCTGCTCCTTTGGCCTTCTAATGAGGCATCGCTGCCAGCAGGACATGCATAATCAGGGGACAGACCAAACGGATGAATGAATAATCGGGCGAACGTGAATGAATGAATCAATACAGGACATAAATATGGAAATTATAGCTTAAAGCAGAGTACGAATAATTAATTGCAGTGTAGGCAGGCTGCCCAAGAGGATGTACAACCCGCACTTAAGCACTTCTCCCTATTATTAATTCCAGATATTGCGTGGAGTTCGAGGTGCTCAAGGCCTCCAAGGCCTGCCACAAGCTGCCGCCCTACAATCTAATGATGGAGGGTAAGGACCACAGCCCCAAAGGACCTTAGAGAATCCTCTTATTCCTATCTCTCCCCCCCTCCCCCTGCAGGCGATCGCATCACCGTACGCTGTGACCTCGAGGCTTTGATTCAGGACACTGCCACCGTTAGCTCCACCACTGCCAGGATACCGCAGAGTCCCATAACCACCAGCAGCACCAGCTCGGGCCAGGAGGAGGACCAGCAGGAGCGGGACAATAGCAGTGCCAGCGATGAGGACATGACCGGCCACAATAACAACGACGATGAGGCCGAGGAGGACGAAGAGGAGGAGGATCTGCAAAATACCCTGGACACGGGCAGCAATGAGAGCTACGAGTATCGAAACCACCAGCGTCAGCAGCAACAGCTTCCTGCCTCCCAGTTCCAGACGCACCACCGACCGTCAGCTGCTGGTGGAACCAAGCGGAGTGGCGGTGTCCCAGTGACGCCACCGCCAACGCTGTCGCCCAGCTATCACTGCCGCGGCGAGGGCCTGGCCGGACGCACGACGCGCTGGAGCGCTCTGGCGGCGCCCTCCTGTCGCGGCAAGTGGCTCCGGCTGACCGTGGGACCGCCGAAGAAATGCAACCACGCCCAGTTCATCTTCGTCTAAGGCAACTGCGGCTGGATACGATCTATTTTTTTGTCCTCATGTCCCCGCAAACACACACAGAGCAGAGCAGGGCAGCGTCATCATATCATCGTATATCATATCCCAAGTCCAGTCCATGCTCCCCTCCGCCCCCCGTCACCAGTCCGGCACAGACACACCCACACCCAGACACAAGTACTCCATCGTATGTAAGCGTTTAATCATTAAGCCAGTGGATTAAGAGCCAGTAAAGCCTGAGAGTGTGAGAGGTATGTGTAATTTTTTTTTTTGTGTCTCGCCAGAGGAGCGATCCGGAGGAACCATCGATGGATGGATACTCCTCCGGTCAGCTATGCTCCTCTAAGTAGCTTAGGAAAACCCAGCCAGCGTGGTTCCATGGAGCATCTCTCAAGCCGGGGTCATTCTTTGGATCGGATAATACTAGAAACTAGAGACTAAGTCATCAAGACCGCATTACATCGGGCTGCATAGCGAAATAACCTTTCTCTATATATATTTACAATATATATATGGATGTGTATGAGTGTATCTGTATCTGTATCTGTATCCGTCTAATCGTTAGTTCAGTCTTCGACCTACACACAGACACACACCCCCAAAAAATACACAACACACATGTGGTTGAGGGTACAAAGTAGTACGCCCAATTCCAAGTCCAAGTCCAAGTCCCCCACTCCTCCTCCAAGTAAATCCCCAAACCGACAACGGATCACCCCCTGGAGTCGGAATTAACGTTTGGATCTTAGCATTAATCTGGATTTTAGGTACACACACGAATGTCGAAATAATAATTAAAATTATAATTAAACCAATAAAGCGATCATTCAATAAAGAACAAGTATAATTTTAAAGTAATCTCAGGTATTGTGTTTCTTATTCTTGTTAAAAGAGCGGAGGTTCATCTTACTTTCCACCGCTCAATTTTCTACAGAGCGTTAACTGGGCTTTACAAAAAACCAAAAATATGTGTTTTCTAAATGTATACTAAAACGATATTTTTATATGCTTATTTTTTTTAATAAATCACAGTTTTTCAAATATCATAACTAAGCCAAATATGCATTAATTTCAATTCGGATAGCTTTACTTTGCTATTCTTTGAAGGGTTCACAAATCTGCATACTCAATTTAAATTTGTAAATGAATTAAAATTTTTGCCAATTTTTAAAGAATTTTAACGATGTAACCCCTATGTTTTGAAACTATCGTAAGGGTAAGAGATCAATATTCATGAATCATGTATAATTAAGTAAGGCTATTAACTTTGAGAAGTCATCCTAAATAAGAATTGCTGAATCACTTTTAGTTAAGTTAAAATAATAGTTCATGGCAATAAGTTAATTAATCGGACAACAAATGCATAGCTAGCTTATTCTAGACCTACGCCAAATCCCTCTAGTAGTATCAATAATTATCATGATTAAGACTTACCGCAGTATTTGTGAGATGTCATCAATTTGAGCCTCTTCTTCATTATCCAAATGAATAGGTAACATTTTCCAGTTCGCAGGGCATTCACTATCACTACTAATCACGATCACTATCGATGTCAACAGGTGGGGGTCCGCGCACATACTGAGGCCGCGCGCCTTCAGCGCCTCTATTTATAGTCCCAGAGGAGAGAGAAGAGAAACTGTGAGAGCAAGAGGGAAAGAGCTATCTGTAGAGAGTCAGAGAGAGCGAGAGGGAAAGAGCTATCTGTAGAGGGCAGAGGCTGAGGGATGTAGAGTGCGAGAGATCTTTACAGATACAGAGAGAGTGTGTGTGTGCAGAGGGAGGCATGCATTTAACGGTCGTTTCTATGTAAATATATATTAAAAATATTAACTAAATAGTGTTTGAATGTATTTTATTCGAGTGTCACTGGCATTTGGCGTCGTTCTGCAATTTTTGGTAGTCTGCTAACTGCATGTTTTGATTTCGCGCGGTAAAAAATGCGGCAAATAGACGTCGAAGGAAGGAAGAGCCAAACAAAGAATGCAAACTCAAAATATATGTATATATTCTTATATGGGTTGGCCACAGAAATAACTATATATTACTGCAGATAAGGGAAACCTATTTTTTATTATTATATTTACAAATTTGAATAAATAAAAAATATATATCTAGAAAGATTGAGTTAGAAACAGCGCAACCTAAATCACGATTAAGTTTACGCCCGGTGGGCTTCTGAAATTGTCATTTAAAGCTGAGGAAGCCCTTGGAGAAATATTGAAAAACTCTAGAAATTGCTCTTACTATGTATGAAATTTAATTAAATAAATAAATCCATTCAAAGAGATAAATTTACAAATAGCACAACATCGAACACGATTAAGTATACGTCCCGTGGGCCGCTTTAATTACTATTTCCAATCGTTTTAATAAAGCATTTTCCGTTATATTTACAAATTTAAGTAAATAAAGAACTTAATATTTAAAAAGATTGAGTTAGAAATAGCAAAACCTTGATTACGATTAAGTATACGCCACGTGGGCCACAGAAACTACTATATATTACTGGAGTTAAGGGAAACCTTTTTTATAAATTTTATACGAAAATCCAATAATATTTACAAGTTTGAGTAAATAAAAATATATATATCTAGAAATATTGAGTTAGAAATAGCACAACCTAAATCATGATTAAGTATACGCCTTGTGGGCTTCTGAAATTGTCATTTAAAGCTGGGGAAACCCTTGGAGAAATATTGAAAAACTCTAGAAATAGCTCTTACTATGTATTACATCTAATTAAATAAAAAAATCCATTCAAAAAGATAAATTTAGAAGTAGCAGAACAGCAAACAAAATTACGTATACGTCCCGTTCCAGAAATATGAAAAATTGTAGTGCTCATTTAGTCATTATTTTTGAAAAGAACTTAATACATAAATAGATTTAAATAGATAGATTAAGAATTTATACAACCTCAATCAGAATTAAGTATACGCCTTGTAGGCCCGGACATTTCAAAAAAAAGCCAGGAAAAAGCCCATTAAAATTTTTTTTTTTTAAGAAATTGTTATTAATATCTATAATAATCCAAGGGGAGTCCCAAGGCAAACAACAAACAAATCGCACACGTAAATTATATCGGGTAAACACAGTGGCGGTGAAATCAAAGGATACCACGAACACCGGACCAAAAAGAAAAAGGGAAATTGGATTGTATTGAGATAATAAATCGAATGAAATTCAGTTACAATGAAGTTATTCTAAAAACATCAGTTCAGTCAATTTGCGAATATATTTAGCGACATTTTTATATGACACTATTTTCGGCAAATCAAAGTTTAAAATTTGCATAACTCAGACAAAAAAATTTGATTTTTATTCGAAAACTTTTTCCATGTTCGTTTTTATTAGGTTAATAATTCTACATACTTCATTAAAAAATTTAAAAAGTTGCAAATTTTAAAAATTTTAACGATGCTTGTTTGCTTTTGCTTTGCTTTTTTTTGACAAGATTTGGAAAAATTTTCTTTTCTGCCGGACATGCCTAGAAAGATTCGCCTGTTGATGCTGATCAAGAATATATATAGCTTATAGAGTCAGAAATGACTCTTTCACATAGTGACAAGCTTCTGAATGCTTCAAGGGTATAAAAATATTGCAAAAGTTGGTGCCATAGTCAGCTTTAGTTTTTAAACTATCATAAGGGTAAGAGATCAATATTCATTAATAATGTTTAATTAAGTAAGGCTATTAACTTTGAGAAGTCATCCTAAATAAAAATTGCTGAATTACTTTTAGTTTAATTAAAATAATGGGGTGCATGGCAATAAGGGAATTAATCGGACAATAAATGCATAATTAACTTATTCTAGACCTACGCCAAATCCCTCTATTAGCATCTAATTATATACATAATTATCATGATTAAGACTTACCGCAATATTTGTGAGATCAATTTGAGCCTCTTCTTCATTATCCAAAGGTAAAGGTAATATTTTCCAGTTCGCAGGGCATTCACTATTACTAGTAATCACGATCACTATCGATGTTAACAGGTGGGGGTCCGCGCACATACTGAGGCCGCGCGCCTTTAGCGCCTCTATTTATAGTCCCAGAGGAAAGAGCACAGAAACTGTGAGAGCAAGAGGCACTGAGCTATTTGTAGAGCGAGGCAGAGCGGGAGCGAGAGGGAAAGAGCAGCCTCTACAAATAGGCAGAGGGAGGTAGCTACAGCGAGAAAGAGAGGGAGGCACACATTTAACGATCGTTTTTAAGGCATATATATGATATAGTCGGCCGATCCTAATAAAATTTATACTGAAATTATAAATTAATACAAAATGGCTTTATATTAAATAAGATCCAAATATGTATGTTGAAAACTGGAAAATTAATAATTTGTTTCCTATACAAATCGTTCCTATGGCAGCTATATGATATAGTCTTTCGATCCGGTCCGTTATAACTTATATACTGGAGAGTAAATAGAATACTTACTTCAAAGTTTTATTCACACATCTAGATATATTAAGTTATGAAAAATATATGAATAAATATTTATTTAAAGTCACATTCTTCTTTGTGGCCATCTTCTCAAACTACTGCTAACTTTGAGTTTAATATACCATAAATAAGAAATATGTTTTTAAGAATTAATGGTGAATATATTGCACCCACTGTTTCGTGGCTTAAGCCAAGTGAGTGCGACTTGGCCGAGCCGAGTGGAGCGCTCTCAGCTGGTTGACCCAATTTTCCAGTTGCCAAGCTTCTCTCCCTCTCTCTCTCTCTCTCTCTCTCTCTCTTACTCTTCCACTCACTCTCCCAGAAGAAAGGTGTAGAAAGAGCGAGGCTCTGGCAGCAGAAGAAAGGCGTAGAAAGAGTGTGGCTCTGGCAGCAGAAGAAAGAGCCAGAGCTGGCGGCTGGCTAATTGATTAGTCCCAAAGCGAAGGCAGACAGAGGAGCACCTGTCCGAGGAGCCACCTGCAGCTAAGCCAGAAGAGTGATTCCCGTTCTCGATTTGCATTCCTACCATCGATCTGCAAGGCAACTTGTCTCTCAGCTCGTTGGTAGTGCAGGTGATTCATCAGAAGTCGCTGGTGTGGTACCCATTCTTCAGGCCGCGAGGAAAGTTGTCTTTCTTCGAACATGTTAATTGTGACGGGCCGTCGTTGCGTCGATTTCTTTTAACGGTCTACGATCTACGGTCTACGGTTTCTAGCCTTGGTCGAAAGCATTTTCGTTTTCTAACCAATAATACAACTCTTAAAGAAGCTTCTGTGTCCCCTCAAAGTGAAGAGATTACCAGAGTGGAATTTGAATCTACAAAACATAAGGCATAGCTCCAATATCGGCTTACCCTTTTAGCCATGTTGTTTGGGCAGCAGGTGACCACTGTGCTGGTGGTCATCACCATTGCCGCCATTAACCTGGAGATTACCGCTGCCTTCCGTCGCAATTTCGAGGCCCGCCAAAGCACCAACTCAAATGTGCCCCTCTGGAAGCAAAGGGTGAGTTTTATAGCCCAAAAAAATCAAATAATATATAGAAAACAGATCAGACTTTGGCTTAACTTTAGGCTTGTGAGAAATCCCAGAAGCAGAAGCAAAATGCGCACTACATTTGCGATGACAAAGGTGACTTCAAATGCCTGCCCGGCTGGCAAGGTGATCTCTGCCAGGTGCCCATGTGTCGCCGTGGCTGCGATCCCATGAATGGTAAGTTAGGGACTCCTTTTCCAGATCAGACTAAACCTTAAGCTCTACCCTCAGGCTACTGCCAGCGCCCGGGGGAGTGTCGTTGCCGCATTGGTTACAGTGGCGAAATGTGCGACAAGTGCATCCCACTGCCGGGCTGTCAGCATGGTGGCTGCACCAAGCCCTTCGAGTGCATCTGCAAGCCTGGCTGGGCGGGACTCTTCTGCACGGAACGTAAGCTATATATTATATCTCTTTACTCCCCATAACTCCCCCTGATTTTAGCTAGCTGCCGTAGTGGCTGCCACAGCACCCGAGGCTATTGTGAGGCACCTGGAGAGTGCCGCTGCCGTATTGGTTATGCGGGACGCACTTGCTCCGAATGCGCCACCATGCCAGGCTGCCAGCATGGAACCTGCAACAAGCCGCTAGAGTGCCTCTGCCTGCCCGGTTACACGGGTCTGCTCTGCCAGACGCGTAAGTATCAAGGAGATAGCTCCAGATCCAAGCTATATCCGCTGATCTTCCTCTCCTGCAGCTCTCTGTGACCCGGACTGTAGCAAGCAGCATGGCTATTGCCGCAAGCCTGGCGAGTGCCGGTAAGTAAGAACAGTAACAAGTGTTCCAGCAATATCGGTTACCCATTTCCTCCTGCTACTCCTCCACCAGCTGCAAGGTGGGCTGGACAGGCAGTCAGTGCGACAAGTGTTTCCCCTATCCCGGCTGCGCAAATGGAGACTGCGAGGCACCGTGGGAATGCAACTGCCATCCCGGCTGGGGCGGAATGCTCTGCGATGAGAGTGAGTATAACCAGACTAAACAAACCTCATCCTAGGAGAGCTAGTAACCCAAGCAAACCCACAGAACTCACCTACTGCCTGGAGCATCCGGACACGTGCGAGAACGAGGGCAAATGCATATCGCTGAGCCGCGAGGATGGCAGCTACCGTTGCCACTGCCGGCAGGGATTTCTGGGCAAGAACTGTGAGATACGCGATGACTTTCTGCTGACCTCGGTGGCGCCGCCGCGCATCACGCCCCCCACGCCCACCGAACTGGAGCTGGACATCGACTTGGATGGGGATGTGGACGCAGGTGTGCCCGATGACAGCACGGCGGAAAAGTTGCCGACGGCTAACGAGCCGGAGCGCCGGACAAATGACACCGCAGCTGTGCCAACCGCAGGAGTAGGAGCAGGAGCAGGAGCAGGAGCGGGAGCAGGACCCATGGCCCTCGGCATGACGGCCACAACACCGACAGTGGCGGCAACTGGAGCTGGCAGCCACAATGCGACTAATGAAGCGTTAAGCGCCGTTACAACGAGGCGTGCCACCACGCCAGCACCAGCCTCAGCCTCGGCTCCACCTCCATCCTCCGCCACGGCAGCAACATCCGGAGAAAAAGCCGTAAAGGGTAATGCAACAAGTGTGGCAACGGGGACAGAGGCACTTCCACTTCCACTTCCACTACCATCACCAGCCTTGCCACCACCCACACAGCTCACTGGCCATGAGCAGACAAAGGCAACTTTGGCGCCAGCTGCAACATCCGTGACCGGCCACAAGGACAAGCCCAGCGGTGGCAAGGAGGAGGACGATGAGGACGATGAGGATGAAGAGGACGAGGAGGATGAGGGCGAGTATGATGAGGATGATGATGACGAGGACGAGGATGATGAGGAGGATGACAGCGATCAACTCATACCAAATATAATATAGTTAAGCATCTGACTAATGGGAAAGACCATTATCAGTCTGACAGGCTATTTGGAGCTTCGGGGGGATGGGAAATCTATATAAAAGATATAGATTCAACTGGAGATTGATTGGAAATATCAAGAAATATTTGGCATTTATTAATAACCATACATTTTTCATTTGATTTATAATCCCCCGAAGCTCTTCTCCTTAACATACACTTCGTTTTTTTTTTATATATATATAGATATACATATATAAATTGTATTTATTAATGATAATTTTAGGGATTAAGCTAAGCAATTTTCAATTTAACAAATGTCAAAAAAAAGATGATAATAATTATCATAATAATAATAATAATAATAAAGTTTGCGCTACTCTTAAGTGCTAAAAGAATCGTTGATCGAATGGGGTAAATGGAACAGAACAGACTCCAAAAAGAGGGGATTGCACTTGGTTTGCTTAAAATTAAGACAGAATCGAGGGACAAGTAGACAAAAGGGGGGTATCTATATATGGCCAACGTAGCGCCACCAGGAGGGAGTACGGGATACGGAAGCCAGCACTTGGTTATGGGCGTGAATCAAATATAAATATATACGTAGAGGGACAACTTACAAAACGACGAAAAAAATAAACATGCATGTGTGTGGAGAATAACTCGAATACGAAATATCGATAAGAATAAACATAATAATAATTATGGGTATATGTTAAGCATAGAGCTAATGTTCGTTGCTCAAGGGCTGAGCTCATCCTGCTCCAAGTCCTGTTCCTAGTTGAGCTCCCGCTTGTCGCGCTGACTGATCTGGGCCATGGTGATGTACTGACGCACAAGGCGCGAAATCTCATGCGCCTGCTCCGTTTGGACGCGGATGACACGCTGCTGCATCAGGTTGCCCACCTTCATGTCCAGGAAGAGAGCACCATCCTCCGAGCGAACCTGCAGGAAGCATGCATTTATTTAGATTTATATAATATAATATAACTAATTCAGTCTGGTCTTACCTTGCGCGTGGATATCACCTCCATGAAGCTCCAGTGCTGCAGAGTCTCGTGCGTATTAGGATCCAGGAAGAGTACTCCCCGCCGGTTGAGCGCCAGGATGAGGTCTCGCCACATCGGACTGTGATTATCCTCCACATGTGGCCCATCCTCGGCCCAGATGCGCTTCACCGCAAAGAAGCTACTGCCGAAGAGCGGCCAGGCGGCCAGCACGTTCAAAAACTGGGCCTTCACCTGGCCGGGACTCAGATTGGCCACCTGCGGCCAGGCGGACTGCACCAGGCCCACCCACTGGGCCGGTCGGATCTCGCGAATGCCCAGCGCCGGCTTGGGCAGCAAGAATTTGATCTCCTTCATGGCGGGCACGTGACTCAGATCGGCGGCACGATGCAGCAAGGCTGCTATCCGGGCCATGTCGCGTACCATCTCTGGCACAGGGACACCATTGCCCGGCAGCTCCAGCAGCAATCCCTCCAGATAATCGGGAGCCACCTGATTGAAGAGCACCTCCACGTACAGCGGCATGGGGGCCGGTTCGCGCTTCAATGCAAAGTGCCACACCGAGCGGCAGAAGATCAGGTAGAAGGGTTGCCCGGACTTGAGCAGCTCCGTGGTCACGTCCAGGATATACTCATCGGCGGCCAGGGGCATGGTGAAGGCATCTCCCTGAACGATGCAGTACAGCGAGAACTCTTGCTGCTCCGCCTCCGATTCCACGCCAAGCAGGGCACACAGCTCGGCAATGACATCCGCCACCACGGTGGAGCACCTGGTATTAACCACTCTCTCGGCTCCACCAGGCAGCCGATAGATCTGTCTTCTGGCCGATCTTCCAGCGGATACAGCTGTCACCTCTTCCACGCTGGGCACATTCTTACGGCCACCGCAGCGGGCGGTCTTCCGGAGATTCGTCAGGCAAACGGCGGCAGTGCCATGGCAGGAGCGTCGCCTGTCCGAGGCCGCCGATGTCAGATGCTCCATCAGGTAGGGACGCAGTGCGTCCGAGCAGCCAAAGTATGCCGCCAGGATGCTGAGCAGGCGCCAAGCCCGCTGTGAGCTGTCGGGACAAGGTGACCGGTTTGCCGTCGTCTGCTTCATCAGCTGGCAATAGACCTCGTCGCGTAGCGCAAGATACTTGTGACAGTGCTGGAAGAGATGGAGGATGGAAGATGAAGAAGGTAAGGTAATCTCTGGAGGATCTTGTTTATTTCATGAATATTTTTATATAATTTAATAGCTCTCAAAATAAACACATTGACAACACTTCCTCTGACCAAATTGCTTGTCACTTACCCACTTCCGGTTGGGTTAAGCGAGAGTCTGTCAACAAAAACTGGAATTGATTGAACGTCATGTTTTATCCGGAAGACCATTTACATAGTTTTGTCCAAAAACGTTTAATAAAATTGATATTGAACAAGATAAATCGAATGTAGAAACGGCAGAGATATCACTCTTTGGATGAAAATATTATATTATATCCCAAGCTCCAACCTTTTCTGTGTTAATCTAGTTCCAAGAATCTCTTTTAAACAAAGACCCCGCTTTGGGTTCCCACTATGTTAAACTAGAAAGTGGAGCATCTAGTTCAAGGTCTCCCATTGACTGACCCCATTTCCGGTTTCAAAAAACCCGATTCCCTACTCACCATTAGCACGGTGTAAACACACTTGACCTCGGTGAGGTCAGGATCCAGTGGTATGTCGCCACAATAGCGCAGGATGCAATCGAAGCACTCCAAGGCCAGCGGTGCCAGGTCATTGGGCAGACGGAGTAGCGGCAGGCGTATGGCATGGCCCTGCCACTTGACCAGCTCCGCATAGGAGCGATTGGCAGCGGAGGACTGGTGCCGCTCATGATGACGATCAGCGTCCCTCAGTTGGCTGTGGAAGACATCAGAGAGAGTCCTTAGGGACTTCTTCTTGGGCAGAAGCTAAGCTCAGGAAATACTCACTCATTGCGGAAGTGCTGCATGGCAAACTGGAGCAACGAGTACTTGGTCACCGAGGGCGGTGTCCCAACATTGCTCTCCTCCTGCAGATAGTTGGCATCCAGATCGTGATGCGGCAGTGACTGAGACTGCTGCTGTTGCTGTTGGAGCTGCAGCTGGAGTTGCTCCTGCTGATGGGCCTGGCCATTGGTCAGGGAGGCAGGCTGCTGCTGTCCGGCATTTGATTTGCGGGCGGAGTGCAAATAGCTTTGCTGCTTCATGTAACGCTGTCCCGATTGCTGCTGCTGCTGCTGATGATGATCGGCGGACAGATGCTGCTGCTGCTGCTGCTCCTCCAGGGCATCCTCCAGCTGCTGCTGCTGCTGGTGCTGGTGCTGCAGATGATGATGCAGCTCCGACTGCTGCTGCTGCTGGGATTCGTTCTGAGTGTGCTCGGTACGCTGGGCGTGCGCCTGGCGCGATTCCAGGCGCTCCAGCGGCACATTTAGGGTCTGGGCGGCGGCCCGAGCGCCCGAGGAAAGAGTCGAGGCCTTTGATTGTGACTGCAAAGGTGAGAGAGAGAGAGAGGGCGACTTGAGTATAGAATATATATCAACTAAGAACAGGTAAATGGAGATTTCCTTTCCTGAAACTCAAATATCAATGATTATGACTCGAAAGTCATCATCCTGGGTGGCAATTATTAACCATATTCATTTTCTGCAGTGCATTGTTGCAGCTGGGAGAGCCTGCAATTTGTTAATTGACTTGCAAAGGCGCAACTCGCAGCTCGATGGCCATGTCAATGGCATGTGAAAGTTGCTGGGCGCCTTTTTTGGCCAGAGCTTGGAGCGCAGCCAGCAACCAACCAGTTGCCAGCTTGGAACATGGATGGGTTCGGACCAGACCGGACCGGGCATTGATGATTTATGCTCACATATTGACCGGGTGACAGCTGGCGGGGATCGGATCGGGAGATTGGGAATCGGCTTGCCATGACATGGACTTGGCCGGCGTTTTCGGCAACGAAAGTGTTTCGTTTGCCATTGTCGATTTTTCACTTTTATTGCTTGCATTCAATTATTATTTGGCGCAATTTGTTGCATTTGCTTTCTATTTTTTTTACTGTTTTTACTGTTTTTACTGTCGGTCTCTGCAACGCCCCCACAAAAACACGCAGCTCCACACACATGACTCCAGAGATACAACTGTATCTATGAGATATGCACTGCAATCGCATGCGAGAAAAGCCGAGTCTCAGTCTCAGTAAAAGTTGTTGTTTGTTGTTTATGAAAGCGGAAATCTTTCACCAATCAATCAACTGCTGCTGGCCATATTTGTGAAAAATTATGCGCATTGTTGAAATTTTGGTTAGCCGCTAGGAAAATGGGAAAATATCGAGGCAAAACCAATACTTAACATCACAGGAAACTGGTTTGTAAATGAAGATTATTTGCAAAGCAATAAATCCAAAAGATTTTTGCTTAATTTATGCGAGAGATCGTCAAGAATCTTTGGCATATTTATTTTCAAATTGATTCTCCTTTGTTTATCTGAGCTTTGTCCAAGTCTTGAGTTTATTTTTAGTATTACTTTTTTACTAAAGACAAAACGGGAAATGATATAAAACAAAGATATCTTTGGTTAAAAGATATGCATACATGATTTTTAGACATTTTCCTGTCGTTTTTTTGTATATTTCTTAGCTGCGGTTGCAAAAACCGCAAGTCAAAGTACACGAAAAGTGAAATAAATTGCACAAAGTAAGCCTCAAAATGATGTAATTAAAGATTTCCATATTGCTAAGAATTTTTGAGGTTTAATTTGTAAATTGTTAAACCAAAATATCTATAAAATGGAAGATATCATTAGCAAATAATTCGAAATGAGTACCAAATTTTCCAAAAATTGCAGGGTATCTTGAATTCAGTCAGAAGCTTGAAACAAAGTGAAGGAGACATTTCAGACCCCACAAGTCATATATATTCTTGATCAGCATCAAGAGGCGAAACCATCTAGCTATCTCAGAGAGAAAAAAAAAAAATTACAAATTTTTTCACAAAAATTTAAGGGTTGCCATCGTCAAATTTTTCGAAAATTGATAAAAATTTAAATTTTTAAATAAAGTATGCAGATTTATTAACCTAATGAAAACTAACATAGGACAGCTTTCCGGATTTAAATTAATGCGTTTTTGGCTTAGTTATGAGTTTTCTAAAACTGTGATTTGTCGAAAATGTTGCCATGTAAAATATCAATAAATATTGATTTACAGAAGCCGAATTTTTAAGTATTTAGATATTCGTTTTGATCCTATAACTGCAAGGGTATATATATTTTGTCATCATGACAGTTGAGCATTTTAGGCATGTTAACAAATCATATTGGTCTTTTCCTTTTCTTGATATTTAAAACTATATATATTATTCTTATAGATAGAGCATTTTTTGCAGTTTACAAATAAGCCCCAATGTGGTGAGTAGGCATGGAACTAAGATCTGTGTAATCTTCGATCTTCGATCTCCGATGCAAGCCTGGGGGACAAGGATCACCTAGTTTCCAAGGCCTAATCCCGGAGCCTGGCTGTCTGGATCAGATTGTGGCTGTCAAGAGAACAACGGCTTAACCTGACTTTTATGGGCATGGAACTAAAATAAACTGGACTGGAGTGGAACTGGACTGGAGCAGAGTGGAACTGGGCTGGCTGGCAAGTGGGTCAGATGGCCTGAATTGTACACCAGATGCTCCAGTTTGGGGCCCCGCTTGCAGCGAGAATTCACATCGAGGAAAAACAAGAGTTAAATTTGGAGTGTAATTTCCAAGTGACCGCTAAAAACAAAAACTTTCTTTTCGGCTGGCTGAGTGCCTCCCATCCCGTACCCGCTATCCGTTACCCCTTTGGTATTATTTCATACATATGTGCGCTTTTCTTTGTTTGGCCAGCAAAACGTGCGCAAGTTAATTAAAAATTCGAATTAATGCCTGTCCGGCTTGTCCGCTTGTCCGTTTGTCCGGTTGGATTTACGGACTGACTCTACGCGAGACCAAAGACCAACAGAAAAAAATATAAGCTGCAGCCAGAGAGTATCTTCCAGTGATTTACCTCGGGCGAATCTCCAAAGCAAAAGCAGAGGCTGGCCATAAAAAACGCACAACGCAAAAAAAGTGTAATTAAATTATTGAAATCAAATTACAGTTAAATTATAATGTTTTTTCTTTCTGTTTTGTTACTTTTTTTGTGTGTTGTTTTTTAGCTCACGCGTATAATAAACCATAATGTACTATTGCCGACTTGCATCTTTGTGGGTCATTCCAACTCATATATGTATATAACCCATCCCCATCAGTTCTTATTGTCTTTCCCTCATCTTGGTCATCGAACTCTCTCGGAGAACGTGATGGCATCTTTGCTGATCCAGCACGATCTTTATTTATTTCTTTTATTCTAGAGGGAATCCGGATCAGGTTGAGACCTCAACTAAGCTCCATTTTCCGGTCAACTTCAAGTAGCCTCAAGAATATTTGTTGAGGGTACTTCATACAGTTTGGATCATATAGTTTTATATGACATATTCCTGGTCTTTCCAGGTTTTTTACTACAAAGGGTTTAAGGTTTCAAGTCTTGAAACTCATTTGTTTAATACAATTTCCCAAGACTTTAAAATACTTTCAACTATAAAAAAATATATCCCCAAAAACTATTTCAAAACTTGTGATTTAAAGTAAACATCATCTGCAATTGTGAGTCGGTTCAGGGTTTAATTTCATCTAACAATGTTTATTTGGGGGCTGGGTGTCCCGACTTAATGTATCACTTGCAGTTGCATAATCGACACCCGAGAGATGGCCAGTTTAACCGCTAATTAGCCCACCAACCAGGCCAGGCCAGGCCAGGCCAGGTCCAAGCTCCAAACTCCAGCCAGGTGATGTAAGTTGGGGAGATGGAGAAAAGAGAGACGACATTGAGTAGGCCGAAGGGGTACTGGGTTGGCTGCTGGTTGCCTTTTGTGCCCGCCCCTCTGTCCACGCTAATAATGCGATTATGTGTCGACTTAATAATAACACCGTTAGGCCTCCCGGGGCATGCATCTCGGCCCCTGTCCCTAACACACCGTCTCGTATTTGTTTACACTTCCCAAAATTTGGTTCAGAGAAAATTGAAAAGGGGGGAAGGAAGGAAGCTTAAGCAGGGAAATCATAGGAAAATATATCACAGCTCCCTCTTCGCTTTACCTCATTGGAGTTCATGGTCTCGAATCGTGCCAGTATCTCCTTCACGGATATCTTGGACTCTGTGGGCTCCTCGAGGATCGTTTCCATGCGACTAACCGAACCACTGCTGGCATTGCTCACCCGCCGGGTCTTATTGCCGCCCAACAGCAGGCCAGTCGTTGGAGGAGTCAGGAGGCCAGGAGCTGAGGCTATAGCAGTGGGTGCAGTGGGTGGCTCCTGCTCCACCTGCTCCTCCTCTTCCTCCTCGTGGTTATTATTATTATTGTCATCCCTTTGACCTAGCTGCATCTTAAAGCTGAGCTGCTCCTCCAGGCAACACTGTTCGCACAGACTTCCAGCGGATGAGTTGGACGTGAGGGTGGCTGTGGTGCAGCACTTGTACACCATGTCCTCCTCCACGCTCCAGGCATTATCACCACCAAGTCCAGGTGGATCACCGCAGCCGGATCCAGAACCTGATACAAGGGCATCGCCCAGGGAGGCACAGCACTGTTCGTTCAGATCCCTGATGCTCTCGTTGGTCAGCTGGTCGAGATCACTGCGTCGGAGCTGCATCTGCTGCTGGTGATGGTGCTGGTGATGCTGCATCTGCATCTGGGCATGATGCACCTGGGCCGCTGTGGTGCCCGTAATGTGAGCTATTTCCGCATCATCCGAGTCCGTGTAGAGCATCTCGTGCTCCTCGTCCTCCTCTGTGAGGTTATTCAGCGAGTCTAGAGAGGCGCACTTGCACTCTTCCTGTTCCTGATCCTGTTCATGCTCCTGCTCCTGCTCCTCATCTTCCGCCTGCTCCTGCTGGTGATTCCCAGCTCGATCCTGATCCTGCTGCTGCTGACCCTGCTGCTGCAGCAACTTAAAGTTGTTGACCTTGTCGTGATGCATCTTGCTGATCAGCGACTCCACCTTGTTGACAATACTGCTGAACTTGTGGGGGACGCTGCCCCCTCCGGTGGCCAACTGGCAGGTGGAGGAGGCAACGCCGGCGGAGGACTTGGTGGCCCGCACGCTCTGCGACATCCTCGGTTACCCCTCTCGGGTCGCGACCATGGGCCATAGGCAGTGAAAGTTACTGCATTGTGGTGATGGTCAGCCAGCACAGGGGCTCCTTTCCACCTGCTGCTGCTGCCTGGCTATAGCCACACGACGACCATAATGAATGTTTGCTCAGCGGAAAAACGTGAAAAACACACACGAAAAGCACACACAGAAACCGAGGAAAATCGGATGGCGAACGAACCGCAGCGGCAGAGTGTACGGAATGGAATGGTTCGGATGGGATTGAGTTTGGATTGGATTGGGTTTTTGGATTGGATTGAATTGGATTGGATTGGATCGGACGCTCAGCACTCTGCACACATCCAAGGCAGCGGCATTGTTTATATATATATTTCTTTGTTGTAATTTTTGCAACTTTTGTGTTGTTTGTCCGATGTGCAATGCAGTTGTTAAATGCGTGCCGTATTTATTTTTTCGCTTCTCGTCTATTATTTCTTTTTTTACGCTTTTCTGCCTCAATTTATTTTAATTTGCCATTTGCCATGCCATTGCAGTTTGTCTTTCCACTTGAGTTGATGGTTTTCCACGGCGGCAGATCTCTTTGTCTCTCCCCTCCTCTGTGTGTCATGGAGCAGTTTTTGAAAATATCAATTATAAAAACTCATAATTGGATGCGAATGTAGCGGGGATTCCCCTTCGAAGGAGTGAGGTAACTGACTAATAAGTTAGTGAACAGTATGTGAGTGGTTTCCTGATCAAATATCCATCTATATAATCCCTTACTATACTCTGTACTCTTGCATTGTATGCTGTAATAACTTAACCCTTTAAGGCCTAGTGGGAATATACCTTAAGATACATAACGCAGTGTTGGTAAAATTTAGGAGAATTATAAGAGGCACTTTTGGGCCTTAAAGGGTTACCGTCCTTCCTTAATTATTATTTTATAATAAGTATTTTTCAAATTCAAGGCCTTTCTACTTAAAATTTTCAATAAAATTATCTGTCTACTTGTTTAAAGATTTATCATATAAAATAAAGCCATAAAAAACCCTCAACATATTTGAAATCATAAAAGTTCAATAACTAATATATAGAAATATGTTCTAATATTTATTAAACCTTAATTAATAAGTAACTCTTTTCTAATCTTCACAGAAAATGTATAATGATCTCAGGTCAGCAAACTTATAAACAATATACAGTCAAATTAACAGGGAATTTCTTTTCCAATATTTACAGAAAATTAAACTAAAATAATCTCTATTAAGTAAACTCAAGTTATAGACAACAAATAGCTACTGTAAATCACAAAAACACCTTTTAAAGACTACACAATTTCACAGAGTTTCTTCTTAGCAATTCTTCGCTAATTCGCTGAGTAACCAAATAACCAAACACACACTGTCCCTGGAAAGTGATTTTCCCTGAATATTTTCACAGAGATGACGGAGGAGGAGAAGGAGTGGGAGATGCCCTATCTGGAGGGGAACACACCGCTAATCTGTCACTTTAGATTCCGATTTGTCATACGATTTGTTTACGATTTACTGGGTCACACGGGTCCGGTCCAATGCTGGGGGACTTCAGATAAAAAACAGGCACAGAGCACACAAAAAAAAACAAGAAAAAAGCCCACAGAATGGCCAACAGTGGCTTAAGTTGGTCTAAAAGAATTCGAATTCGAATTCCAAGTCGGAGTTGGAGTCGCGCTGCGTGATGCCGTTACCGCACAATCGTAACAACTGAACTGACTGAGCCACTGAAGACTGGGAAACCGACAAAACTGAGAAATCGAGAAACCAAAAGCTGGCTAACAACAACAGCAACAAAAAACCTGGCCGAAACGGTGGCCAGACCGGACTGGGCCGCCAAAGAGCCACCAAAGACTGGCCATTTCACTCGCAGCGGAGCAGAACACTGAGAGAAAGAGCGAGGGAAATGTGGCAATGTGAGTGAAAACCTGCTCACAAAGCTCTCTCTCTCTCTCTCTTGGGGAGAGTCTTTCTCCAGTAGCCACTGACTGCTCCTAGTCCAAGTCCAAGTCCAAGTCCATTCCGATTCCCATTCCCTGCTGAGATAACTGTTTCGGCGCATCTCTCTTTCTCCACTCGGAGATCGGTCAGACAGTCGGAGTGGCTTTTGGTCGGGCGTTTAACGAGTTTTCACGCATAAAATGAATCAAATTAAAAAAAAAGTAAGAAAAACAACTTGAACAACAACAAATAGTTGGGGGAAATGGAAAACATTTTGTTAAGCACTGACAGAAAAAATATAAAGCCCAATTATAAAACGAAGAGGAGATATCCTATAAAAGGGTCTCTAGAAACAGAATATGATATTAAAGCTGTCTCTTATTTATAAAGAAAGCTTCAATTATCGATTTATATATAGCATTTGAGTTAATTATCAGTACATTATTAATACATTGATATATTCTACCATTTCTTGTAGAAAGCAAACCATCTTTCGATTGCTTTGTTTAAGAAGTGGAATTATTGCAGCAGGTTCTTTGCATACTTTAAACTTGAAAAGTTTAAATAAAATTTGAATTTATAACTAAATTTAAAGGGTAACCTGCCAGAGTGCATACCCCATTCGAAAAGTATCAACAAAAAAAAGAGAAAAGAAAAGTAAACACTAGAGTGGAGTGCGAGTGATGGACGTGCGCCAACTATGAATCGCATCCATGCACAGAGGATGCCTATATGGCGCTGGAAACTGGCTGGAGCCACTGAAGCCACCAGAGCCACCAGAGCCACCGGAGCCACTGAAGCCACTGAAGCTCACTGAGCTTCAAGGCGTGCAAAAAAGAAAATCAAACCAGATTCAGACAGATTAACAAATTTACGCAGCCAAGCATTCGATACTTGGAGACAAATTAATTTCTGCAAAACTGCAAAACACTGATCGCAAAGATGTGATTAAAGCCTCTTCTAGTTAATAAAAAAAATTTAACTATATATGAACAGAGGTAACACCTCACAAATTTACCTTAAAATCAGCTCAAAATCACCTAATTAGCTGCCACAAATCATTAGCCATTATCTTGAGGCCGTGAAAACGATTTGTTTGTTTGGCTAAAAGGCCGCACTACTTATGGCCACATAATAAGTGCAATTATTCATGCAATTAATGCCAATTATTTTGGAGTTAAGAGGTGTTAAATTGATCATGAAAAAAAAATATATATATATATAATATATATAAAGATATATGAAATAGAAAAATATATCTAAAAGGAATGTTAACATAGGTATAAATTTCAAGTAATTAAAATCACTTTTATCAGAAGACTATTTCATTTTTAAGATATTTAAGGCTTATTCTAATAAATTGAAGTCATGTTTAATTTTAATTTAATTATTGTCAAATATAAGTTTAATCTCTTTTTAATCTTGACTATTCACTTTTCAGAGCTTCATAGACCTTAAGCTATTTGGAAAAATCTTGCATACTTTTAGACTTCCATAGAGGCTTTTCACAAGTTAAAAAAAATATGTTAAGATATTTTTTAAGCTCAAAAAATATATAATTTATGATTTCCAATGCCTGAACCCTAAGTAAGGACAAAATCAGGCTAATAAAAAATTATAAAAACTTTGCTGTTTAGTTTCAAGTTCAAAACCCCAAACTCTTAACGAGAAATCACGTAAATAATATTAATATTCGAGTTAAATAAAATAAAATAAAATATGTAATATATAAAAGAATAAATTATAACCAAAAACAAAACACTTACCTTGCGGAACTCCTGAACAAAACTGGTGACCATCGACTGTATGGCGGCTGCCCGGGCGGCATGGAGCGCCAGATGCTTGCCATTCCGTAGATTCAGCTGCAGGGCAGCCGGACGCGGCAGGGTGACGGCACTCTGGATCTCCCCGAATGATATAGCCTGGACCACGATCAGGTAGTCCGCATCGCGGCGGGCCAGGTACAGGCCACTGTGGGAGACGCCCATGATGCTCACATCGGGATACAGGGGTGCTCCCTGCACGGCGAACAGGCGGGCAAAGTACAGTGGCCAGTCGCGGGCCATGTCCACCAGATGACGCTTGACCAGGGCACGCACCTGCTGTCCAGCTCCAGCTCCTCCTCCTCCTGCTCCGGCAGAGTTACTGCGAGCGGAGAGCGTGTCCACGCTTACTCCATGACCATGCAGCATATTTAAAGCGGAGCTCTTCTCCTGCGGCGTAATCCTCAGGCATGGTGTGACACCAAAAACATCCCCTAGGACCTGGGCAAAGAGCAGATCCAGAGCCACCGGTGGACCGATGGGTTCATGTGGCTGAAAGACCTCCTTGCGTACGCGCAGCTTCCACGGCACTCGGTTATAGGTGAGGCAGGCACTGCTCGCTCCTGCTCCTAGTCCCAGTGCCAGTCCCGTTCCCATGCCGGAGGAGGAGGTGGTCACTCCCGGTCCTGGGCTGGTGGAGACTGGAGGCGGTGGCACTGGCGCTGGCACCACTATGGGTGGCGGTGTGGTCATCGCATGCATCGAATCCAGCTCCTCACGCATCCCGGAGCTGGCCGAGCTCTTGCGCTTGCGCTCGTGCTCGTACTTCTGGGCCATGTGCGTCCGGAAGGTGGCCAGACCACTGCCTCCTCCTCCACCGCCACGCTCCTCTCTCCTTCCCGTGGTATCCAAACTGGCTTGGATCACTCGTGGCGGAGCCGGCTGGTACACTTTGTGGCTCTCCCGCTCGCGTTCCACTTGGCGCAGCTCGTAGAGACGCTCTCGTTCTCTTTCCCGCTTCTCGCGCTCCTTCTCGCTGCCACTGGCCGAGGCAGGGCCCTCCACTTCGGCCCGATCCCACACAGACTCGGAGTAATCCTCGCGGTCACGACTTCGGCTTCGGCTGCGTGATCTCTCCCGCTCCGATTGCTCCCAGGCGGCGGCCGCCGGTGAAGAGGAGGCCGAATGGTCACCATCCATATGCAGGTGCAAGTGGTGGCTGCTCATCATCATCATCTGCTGCTGCTGCTGGTGCTGATGCTGCTGCTGACGCACTGCACCGAAGGTGTCCCGCTCCTGACGCTGAATGAAAGCCGGCACATGCTCCTTGGCCGCCTGCTGCAGGCTGCTCGAGGTGCGGTAGTCAGGCTCTGGCTCGGGGCTCCTGGTCGTGGGGGGACTCTGTGGTGCCGGGGGCGGAGCTGGTGGTGCCATGCTTGGCGGCCGGATGGGCGGCGGCGGTGCTGGCACACTGGGCGCTGGTGGTAACATTCCTGGCCAGCCGCCCGAGGGAGGAGCCGGCGGTGGCGACAGCTTACCCTCCATTCGCTCGATCTGAGTGCGCACTGTGGCATGAGAGTCGGTCCCATTGCCACTGATACCTCCTCCTGGGCCTGAGGTTCCACCGGGACCGGTGTTTCCACCGGAAGTGACGCTGGCAAAGAGTCCGCCCAGCTGCTGCTGCAGCATGAGCTTGCGGGTATCCTCCAGCTTGGCCGGCGCCCGCTGCTCCGACTTGGTGGACACCGTCGAGCGCACTGAGTGTCCAGCGGTGACCTGCTCCAAGCGCTGGCGCATCTCAGAGCTAAGCTTCAGCTTGCCCACGCTGCCCGGCGGCGGACGGTCGGCTCCAATCTCGAAGCTCTTCTTGGCCAGCTTGGTGGTGACCACGCTCTGCATGGGTGCATCCTGGGTGTCTCTGTTGTGGTCCCTATGATCCCTGCTGTCCCTGCTGCTATTGATGGCGGCCATGGATGTCGTGGTGGTGGTGGTCTCCAGACGCAGGCTACTCCGCATCATCTGGCCACTCATGGGCGGCGGCGTTGGACTGTCGATCTCGAACTCCTCCCACTCGATGGCCGTGGCAGTGGCTCCAGGACCGCCGGATCCATTGCTGCCACTTCCACTTCCGGTCAGGAGCAGCTGTTGCTGCTGGTGGTGGTGGAGATGCTGCTGGGCCTGCGGCGTCGTCTTGCGCTGCTGCTGGCGCATCTTGAAGGCAAAGAAGTCCTCCTCCGTTTGGAACTGTGGCTCATCCTGCGGCGGCGGCCAGCGCCACTTGCCAATCCTCACGGTCTTGGCCCGTCCGTAGGGATCAAGGAAGTGTCGCGTCTCCGATGGATCTTTGCACTCCAGCGGTGGTGGCATGGGTGGCGGTGGTGGCGGTGCCGGCGGCTGCAGTGACTCCATTACCACCAGACTGCTCCGGGTGGTTTTCATGCGCAGCGGCGACAGCGGTGACTGTGGCGGTGGTGGCGATATGGACAGACTGCTTAATCCTCCAGGAGGAGCTGGTGGCGGTGATCCCGAGCTGTTGTTGTTGGTCGTGGCAGCTGCTGCTGCCGCCGCCTGCTGGCTGAGCAGCGTCTGGAGGGCCTGGTTCTGGGCCAGCAGCTGCTGTTGAATCTGCAGATTCTGGGCCATGGCCGATTGCAGGAAGGCACGCTGCACCTGCTGCTGGTATAATCCCGGAGCGGACTCTGTCTCGGAACCGGGCAGTTGCATCAGCTGATGGATGAGGGGATCGGCACCATTAGTCTCCGTGCTGCCGCCTCCGCGAATGCTCACTGCGAGGTGATCCTTGTTGACCAGTTTGTCCAGTCCCTGGGCCACGGGCAGGGGCTGCAATAGGTCGCTGATGTAGTCATCCAGATCCTCTATCTCCGACTCGGACTCTGTCTCGGATTGTGAGGGAAGGCCTCCTCCTTTAATGGCCACTGCCAGCTGGTCCTTGCTGGCCAGCTTCTCCAAACCCTCAATGGGCTGGAATATATCATTGATGTAGTCATCCAGGTCATCAATATCAGATTCGTAATGTTCTTCCAATTGATAGGTTCCTCCTCCTCCGCCGCGAATGCTGGCCGCCAGGGAGCGGGCATCTGAGAGCTCATCCAGGGAACCATCCAACACGGGACTGAAGAGGTCATCCAGGAACTGGTCCACATCCGAGGCCTGCGACGGTACCCTCACGCGGCGCACATGCGACGCCAGCGAGGGAGCCTCGCTCGTATCGGACATGGCCGAGGATCGGGTGGCATACTCCGCCTTGTCGGCATACTTGCTGGAGTGGGAGCCATGGGAGGCGGCATGGGAGCGACGACCGGCATGCTGGGACTTCTGATACCGCGGCGCCGTCTCTTTGCCCATGGGGGCCAGGCGCTCCGCCGAATGGTAACGATCGTTGAGCCGGCTCTCCGAGAGGCCGAGCGTGTGCAGCGGCTCCTGGGAGTCGCAATCTGGCGGCACCGGAGCAATGTCTCCGGCCAGCAGATCATCCAGAGACTTGGAGCGCGACTTGGCCTGGTTTTGACTCGATCCTGGGCCCGCTCCGGGGCTGGGCTCTCTCTCAAAGTAGCGCTCGTTCAGAGCCGAGCTCCGGGAGAGCAGCTCTCGGCTGCTTCGACGCTCTCGCGGCACATCCTCCTTGCCTGCTCCGGAAGTGGGCGGAGCTGGTGGTGGTACTGCCGGTCGCTTCACCGACTCCGGCAGCGTTGTCCTGGCAAACTTGGCCCCGGAACGTAGTAGGTCACTCCTCGGAGCCGGGAAGGCCGGACACAGCTCCTTCTCCGCTATCAGATCCATCACGTAGTCCAATCCGCAGCTGTCCGTTAGCTGCTGACCGTCGTCCAGTACCAGGGTCCAACCTCTGCTGGCCACGCCCAGAGAGGAGACGGCCAGGGCGGCAGCCTCCTCGCAGCTGGTCCACGAATCCACGGCCACTGTTTGGCTGGCCTCGTCGGGCAAAGTCAAGGGCAGGGCCATGTCACAGCCCCTGGTCCAGGCACGCCACTCCAGCCAGGCGGGCACAAAACTGCGACTAGCGCCGCCGGGCGAGGAGCCACCGCTGCCGCCGCCCTGCTGCCGGAGCAGCTGGCGCAGGAGCAGCGGACGCAGTGAAGCAGGAGCCTCGTCGTCGACGAAGCGCATCAGATACTTGCTGAAGGCGGCGCTGGGCTGAAAGCAGCACAGGCACTGGCCCATCAGCTGCCACAGCCGGGTGGCCTCCACGGAGGTGGGCGGCAGGCCATGGACCTGGTTACACAGCTGCACCAGGATCTCATCGCGCAATCCTCGCGAGCTCAGGGCCTTGTGGACAATGTAGTCGGCCAGCAGCTTCTCCTTGGCACCTTCCAGTGACTTGTCGTTGCTCCAGCGTAGGATGAGCTTGAAGACGGCCAAGGCATCCTGGAAGTCCTGATCCCGCGATGCGGCCCTTGACAGGAAGGGTGCCGTGATGGGCTCCCTCCGTGGCTGCAGCCTCAGACCGTTGCAATAGACGCTGCTGAACTTGCCGAAGGAGAACTGGCCCAGATCCTCCGGCAGCTGAACCGCCGAGGCCGGTGGCCCTGGCACTGTGCCCAGCACCTTGACCAGATGCCGGTCACCATGCGGCGGTGACCAGCCCTGCAGCTTCGAGTAGATGAAGGCCAGCTCAGCGGGTATGTCCAGGTAGCTCAGCTGACTCCTCTCCAGCACCGCCTGTTTGGCCTCCCTTGCCTCGCGTGCTCGCTGTGCGGCCTCCCTGGCTTCCTGTCTCCTCCGATGATCCGATCGCAACTGTTGGACTCTCCTTCGCGCCTGTCGTCCTCGCCAGATTCGTTGCGCCGTGAGGGCACCCTTGCGCAGCCGCTCGAAACGCTGCTGCTCCCGCTGACCCCGCCAGCGGGCCTGGAGTCGGGTGGCCGCAGCCTGACGACGTGCCAGCTGCCGGCGAACCAGCATACCGCGCACATGCCGCTGGACACTGACCGCCGCTCGACGCAACCGCTCCGTACGACCGCTCTCCAGGGCTCGGTGAAGGGCCTCGCGCAGGAAGACTCGCGTTGCGCCCAGCTGATAGTCTGGACCCTCCACTCCTGTTCGTGGCATGGCCTCCAGGAGGGCGCGGCAGAGCTCACGATAGGGCGTTCCCCGGGCCAGAGGAGCGGCCAGGAGATGTCTGTAACGCTCCACAAAGTGTTGGAAGCGCAGGCGAACCGGATAGCCCCGCTGCCGGATCTGGATGGTGTCCAGCATTCCCAGGTAGCGTAACTGCTGGAGCACACACGGCATATCCATGCGTAGGGCATGCTTCTCCTGGTTGGGTTTGATGCAGCGAACGAACCACGGATGACAGCGTCCCATCGATTGCAGCAGCTGCTGCAGTGAGTCCGCAAATCTGGCGGCCACCGTTGGCGTTCGAGGTTTCATGGTGACAAATCGACCGTTGCTTCCTTTGGGCAAAGTCTTGCCAGCATCTCGCTGTGCCCGCAGCTGTTTGGTCAGCTCACCCACCAGGGGCAGGCGACTGGAGGCGAGGAGCTCCAGAACATCACCACGCAACGCATCACGGTTCTTGTCCAGGAAACCGTCCACACAGTACCACACCTGGCCGGCATAGTGGGTGACCCCGAACTCCTGGGCACCGATCCGTGGGCGGGCATAGAGCTCGCTCAGCGCATGATTGTAGTGGCACTTCTCAAGGAAACTCAGGTCGGTGGCACGCGGGAAGTTGGACTCATCATCGAGCAGGTGGCAAATGCCCACAGGCTTCTTGGCCAGCAGATGGATCACCGGCAGGTTATCGTCCCAGGCCAGTGGTGTCCACTCCAGCCGCTCGCGGGCATATTCCGCCTGCTCCAGCTTGAAGACATGCTTGTTGAAGTACAACTGCAGGTTCTCGTTGGCATAGTTGATGCACAGCTGCTCGAAGCTGTTCTCGGCCAGATCCTCGAAGCCAAAGATGTCCAGGATGCTGATGCGGTGGGCATCATGGGTGCCGCCCTTCTGCACAATCGAGTTGATTCTGGACACCAGCCAGTTGAAGAGTCCGGCGTAGAGGGCCTTGGCGAAGGCATCACGGGCATCCAGGGCCTGGTCAATGCCCAGCGGTGTGTGCAGCCGCTCCGCTCGCGCCTCCGTGGTGCGACTGGTCAAAGCCCGATGCAGTCCCTCGGCATTGATGTGGAGTAGGTGGGCAGCCCACTTGATCTCTGCGTCGGAGCCCACCTCTACGCCCTCCTGGCCATGTCGCAGCTGCCGGCGGTGGAAGTAGACATTGCCCAGATGCAGAACGGCAGCCAGTACACGGACGATGCCCTCGCGTTCTCCCTCGGAGACGCCCAGGACCTGCATGGCACCCTGCAGTGACTCCCAGTCAACGCGACCGCTGGCACAGTCCGTGGCTCCTTGGTTCAGGTAAAAATACTTGTCCGCCTCCAGCAGGCCGTACTTGGAGCGCTCCGCCTCCGAAAGGCCGCCGAGGAGCTCGTAGAACACATGATAGTTGCGCTCTCCCGGCGCCTGGGTCACGATGCGTGACTTCTCCAGCAGGTACTGCGTGATCTTGGCTCCCACGATGGCGCCGCTCTTGAAGTACACTTCCAGATATTTGCCAAACCGGGAGCTATTGTCATTCCGGGCGGTGCGTGCATTGCCAAAGGCCTCCAGCAGCGGTGCGGCCTCCAAGATCTGTTCGGTAATGACCGCTGAGGCGGATCCGCCGCCGGGCACCACTGCTGCCAGATATTGCATCACCAGCTTCGTGGACTCTGTCTTGCCGGAGCCACTCTCGCCGGAGATGACCACCACCTGGGGCGAGGGCAGAGCCGCATGGGCGGCTGCTCCGATGGCAAACAGATGCGGTGGCAGGGATCCCAAGGGTCGGCCAGCGTACTGCTTGGCCACCTCCAGGCCGTAGGCATCGGGGAACATCTTGTAAGGATTGACAGCGATGAGGATGCTGCCGGCGAACGTGTAGATCAGACCCTTGTCGTAGCGCAGACGCAGATTCCATAGCAGTGACGCTTCGTGCAGGTCATCCAGGAGGGTCATGTCCTCGACGCCGCTGCTGCCCAGATCCTGACGAGCCCGCAGGCTACCCTCGCCCGGCTGCAGGGCGAACGTCTGTGGCTGTAATAGAAGCGAAATTTGGAATTTAGAAGAAGTTTAAATACTTTTTTGTGATAAATATAAATATATATTATTTAACTATGTTAAACCCTGAATAACTATTGGATTCTCACATGGCGCGCTATCACATCGCTGCAGAGAGTGGACAGCCGCTTGACCACCTGCGGGTAGCGGCACTTGAGGCGTCGCAGTCGACTCTTGGGCACAGCCGGATGCGGATGTGGATGCGGCCACAGATGCTGGGGCAGGTCCTCCGTCTCCTCGAGGCTGGCGGGACGCTGACGTCGCAGCACATGGGGCGAGAGCAGCGCCAGCGAAGGCGACTGGGCGGGACTGGGTGTCACCGAACCACCGCCACCGGCACCACGCTGCCAAGGCTCCAAATGGAAGCGAACGATGCGCATCTATAGGGCTATGGCACCGAGATCCGGATCTAAATCGAGATCGCGTAGAGGTCTCGCTCTTTGTTGGCTCGTTCGTGGCCAGTGGCTCGCGTGCAACTGAAAGGAATCGGAGGCTGCCACAGTTTTCCCAAACGTTTCTAAAACGGTTTCCAAAGCGGCAGCAGCAGCAGCATCCCAAGCCAAACCGCCAAACACGTTCTATCAAAAACGGGGAGAAAAGCCAGGAGTGGGGGTCTTGATAGCGAACCGAACCGGACCAGAGATCTGGCCAGACCAGATGACACTCCGCCTCCTTCTCCTTCTCTGATGGCTACTACTTAGTGTGGGCCACCAGAACACGCACACTCTCTTGGCGGCCAAAGAAAAACAGAGAAAGAGAAGGAAACCCGATCACTCGATCGCCATTCAATTAGGCGCTCAAGTGTGGGACTTTCTCCACGACCAAGATCGATTCCAAATCCAAACCCAACCAGTTCAAGTTCAGCCTGGGTTCTGGGTTCGGTTGCGGAGAGTGTCATCTGATACACAGAGCCAAACAAAGGTGTCAACAATCTGCGCGCGGAGCGTCGAGAATGCATTCGACTTGGCGACTTGCCCATTGATATGGATACGGTATCTCCGCATCAAAGGCCAGCGACAGGACAGGTGGGATGAGTCAAGGCCTAGGGATATACCATACACATATATATATCGAAAGGAAAAGTTATATAAAAAATATAAGTATTATATTGATCACTTCGGGGAGTCAAAGTTCGTTAGCTATTGTATTAAGGAACGAAATTCTTCATAACTTAGCCAAAAATGCATCAATTTCAATTCGGAAAGCATTCCTATATAAGTTTTTCTAATGGTAATAAGTCTGCATACTCACAAAAAAATTAAAATACTTCATCAATTTTTGCAAATTTTAACAATGTAACCCCTTATAAAATTTTGAAAATTTTGGTAAAATTTTGATTCCGTCCCAGAGATGGCTAGATCGATTCGCCAGTTGATGCTGATCAAGAATATATATACTATTTAGGGTCGAAAATGATTCCTTCACAACATTTCACAACTGAAATTATAATACCCTGTAATCTTAATAAAATAATTCTAAAGACATCTCAAATCTCCATTAAAATAAATCAAAGAACTTAATTAACAGATGCTTAACTTTTTTACTCCTTCCAATCTCGCTGGGAATACAAAAATATATATAATTAAAATCGGAATTAAAAAAGTCATGATACAGGCTTTAATTTATTTTGTATTAAACTCGTTTAGCGATCAATCAAGCCACAGAGAGAAGGAACCTCAGAGAGGTTCCCAGAGGAACATGGTCCGGGAGCTAAGGATGAAGTGCGCGGCATTAGCCGATAATTGATCGGTTTGAGCGATTACGCCTTTCAGCGCCACGAGAAGAGGTTACTCTCCAAGAGCACATGTGCCTCCAAAAACAGGTTCCTGGACAGCAAACAGGATACGGGTCTGGGGATACCGCTACGACTAACGTTACTACTCGCCACTTAACACAGCGAAAAAAATATATACCAAAAACTAACCAGATTATTATTAAATATTAACAAAACAAATAAGACAAAAGTGATTTCTATTTCTAAGACTTAAACAAATCAAAGTTTTCACTTTGTCACCCAAAGGTTGTAAATGAAAACAGAAAACGCCAGGGTGAAATCGTTCGTGTAAAAATGTTAATTTGCAAATAAAGACCGTCTGCACCCTATAAACGTAGTTCATAATTTATTTTTTAAACTACGCCCGGTTTGTTTTCACTTTAGCAAATATTTGTTTCGCGTTTCCACAAAGTCTGCAAATAATTTCTTAGTGTATCAGATATTAAGATCCTCTATTCATGACATGACAAATCCTAAGATTACAAGATATCTGGCTCCCATTTCTTGTTGTGTGTGTTCAGTCTCATCTCCTCCAGCTTCTTCCATAATTGCAAAGAGGAAAAAGGAAACGCTGGCCAGGTGCAATTAGCTGAAGTTTGCAGTGGCACATTACAGTACAGGTAAAGAAATCTAGCTTGGATAATATTTTAGACATTCCATAAATTCCATTAGGGCTGCGTAGCTCCCAAATAAACATAAATATATAAACAAAGACAAACAAACACTGTCTCAGGTGGGGTGAAAATAGTGAAAAGCATTCAGGTGCCTCGACGAAACCGAAAACAAATTGAAAATTCAAACAGTAAGCTAAAAAAAAAACGAAACCGAACGGAAAAAAGGTGTGAACTCGCATTGTGTGCACTGCGAGAAAATGTTCTATGGCTTACGGAAAAAATAATTATACAACAACACAGGGAAGCTAAAGTTTATGTACCCTTATTGAATCAATTCAGAAATCTATCATAAATAAGCTTAAAATATGCATTCTTTATCGATTTTTTATATGACAATTTTTGGGATAAATCAAAGTATAAAATGATCATAACTTAGCCAAAAGGGCATTAATTTTAATTCGGAAAACTGTTCTATGTTAGTTTTTTGCAGGTTAATAAATCTGTATACTCGAATTAATATTTTTAAAGATTTCAATTTTTATCATTTTTTTACAATTTAAACGATGTAACCCCTTATAAAATTTTGAAATTTTGTTCGAAAAATTATTTTTCTTCTAAAGGTATCTAGATCGATTCGGCTGTTGATACTGATTAAAAAAATATATGATTTATGGGGTCGGAAATGACTCCTTCACTGAGTTACAAGCTTTTGATTGAAATTATAATACCCTGGATGGATATAAAAATATTAAACATAAATAAAGTAACCCATGGGACTTTTCCATGTTTTTTTTAAAGAGAGAACTACTCTAAATTGTTAAAATAATAATTTGCAAAATAAAAAGGAATATAAAATGTAGACATATAATTTAACACATGTCGGACATACCTTGCCTTTGATGAGCGCCTGGACAACAATCACCTGGGCAGCGCGGTGCACCTCCTGGATCTCACCGGGTATGGGATGTCCCATCCCCGGATCGAACCAGACCAGATCACCTTCGGCCCAGTCCATGGCTCCGCTTTTCCGTTGACTCTGTCCTCACCTCACCTCACCTCTCTCTCCGTTGGACCAAAGGGATGTGTGTGTATCGCCTGGAGGCGAACTCTGGCTGAGATTGAATCGATCAGAGGAACTGCTGGGTTATGGTTTGATTATGTTTGGCTGTGGGGCGTGGTGGTGGTGCTCTTCAAACCGGTTGATTCATTGCTGCAAAGACACAAAATTGGTATTTGTTAAGTACATTTCAATTTTCTCAAGGCGACGCTTAAATAAACAAAAAATCATAAAAGTATGCACGTAATTATTGCGCCTTTCTATAAAAATAATAATAGTAAAAAATACCTCACTCTTTTCGAGCATTAAAAAATTGTTGGCTTATCACCTGGATTGCAATTGTGATTGGCTTTGGGATCGTGGTGAGCTCGGATTCGAAGTCAATGACGCGAAGGCCGCTCCATGAATGAAAGTACAGATTTTTTCCGTTTCTTCGCCTATTTATTTTTGTTAGTTTTCTGTCTCTGTGGAAATGTTTGCCAACCGAGACCGAGGTGCAATGAAATGCAACGGCAGAGACACAAGACAAAAAGCACAACAAAAATTAAAAAACAAAAAAACTGAAATTAAAACTAAAACGTGAAGCGACAACAATGACAGCCATCGTTCGCAGCGTTTGCTGAAGAAGATTCGCGGGAACCAAACTGATTAAATAAGACAGCTCCGAGCTACACGATTGACTTTAAAATACCAAAAGGTGAGGGGATATACATATATCTAATATATTTATACTTTTGCAGTGTAATATATTTTAAGTCAGAAGTTTGCAACGCAGTGAAAGAGTCAACTCCGACCATAACTATGATCAGTAAGTAACTATGATCAATAATTAACTTTGAACATTAAGTAAGTATGTAGTATGACCAGTAAGTATCTATGATCAGTAAATAACTATGACCAGTAAGTATCTATGATCAGTAAGTAACTAAAACCAGTAAGTAATTATGATCACTAAATATCTATGACAAGTAAGTAACTATGATCAGTAAGTATCTATGACTAGTAAGTATATATGTATGATCAGTTACTAACTTTGAACACTAATAAACAATGACTTGCAACTTTTGTAACACAACACATGTCTGAGACTTGGCCGGTAGAAGTCACTTCGTTCCGGGGATGTTAGAACCAGTTGGGAATCATAGGCACAGAAATGCGAGATTTGTTTTAGAACAAATTTAAGCTATTCGAATGAAACTATGAAGTTATTCATCTATATAATTATAATAGTATATAAGTCGGAGCATGGCGAGTCGGTGGACTATATATATAGGTATATATAGCTATCATAGGAACAATCGGAAAATTTTACGAAACAAAATTATAACCTAACAAGGACAAAGGAAAGCATTTTGTTATGTTAAATTTAGATTTATATCATTAAATATAATGTTAGAAAAGAACTTTGTGCTTTCTTACAGCACAGAAATCTACAAATTTATAAAACCAAAACCCAAGCCCATCCGGAATAATATTACAAAAATCTTCTATATATATGTATGTTAAAATCCAATTAATATGCTCAGAATGATTGGCCCAAAAAGCACAAAAGGCGAAAAGGAGTCCAAAAATTCAAGTTCATTAAGAAATTTCCAAAAAAGCTACATATCATGCATATGAAATGCCACCAGCGAACGCCAAAAAAAATTTAAAAACCCCAAACTTTTATATAGGTTGGCCAAAAGAATATATTCATATCGAGATATATATACACACAGGTATATATATGTATATGTATTAAACAGATGCCGCAAAATAAAAAGACACAACCGAGACAAAGATATGCCGCTTTTGTTGTTGTTTTGTCTTGGCCTTTTCTCAGGCAGAAAAAAAACTTTCACCTGTTTTGCGGCAAACATACATAAATATTTATGCCCAAAACAACAGAAATGTTCAAATCGAAATAAAGCCGCAGCGACAGAGAGTCTGAAGTTGTCGCGATTTGATTGGATTTGATTCATGCAGTTTTGGCTTAAAGTGAGTCAATCTCGTTGGATATGGAAGTTGGAGTTGGAGTTGGGCTTTTGCATTTCGATTTGGATTTGGATGTTTTGGGCCTGGCCCAGTAAGCAGGCGGCAAGTGCTCACGAATTAGCCAAGTCAATAGAGGAACTTGTTTGTTGGTCTGAGATCTCTGGTCCAAAGCGGGGGGCGAAGGCAGGTGGGCTGACACTTTGTCAGACAATTTCATTCAGTTACACAGGTACGCACCAGCCTTGTCTCTCGCTATCTCTCTCTCTCTCTCTCACTCTTGGCTGTCTCTGTCCCTGTTGCTCTTCTGGGGCAACGACTGTAGCGCACAAAAATCTTGGCTTAGCTACGGGTTCGACCGCATTCCGATGCTAAGACGTCGCTGCCTGCAGTCCATGTTTAATGCTAAGGCAGGCAGTCAGGCCAAAACGGCAAGCAGCGAAAACCACAATAACCCCACACCACACCACACACCACACACCACACCGCACCGCACACCACACACCACTATTATGTGTGTTCGTAATCATCAATGAGCAAATATCCAACGATGTGGAATAACAATCATAAGAATTTCATTTGCAGTTGATCATCGATGAGGTTTGATCATTGCATTTTTTGTGAGTAAACGGAAATTACACAATTGTGTACATAGCTGAGCCTTAAAAATGTCTCAAAATGGCACAAATAACTATATAATTATGTATAATTATACGTTTATGACTCACTGGCATAAATAAAATGTATTTTATTGAGTTCTAAGAGAATCAAAGCAGAACAAAGCTTGCCTACAATTGTATTTATATTTAAAATTTATATTTAAGACATATCATTAAATTTTTAATTTAATTATATATTCTAAATTCTAAACTGTCTTAAAAACCTGCACCTAAATACATTTTTACATCAATAAACCTTCAACTCAAACTCAAAAAGGGTATTTCCCTGAAAGCAAGTTCGTTGCCTAAGTCTTTCGTTTTTCGATGACAAATCCAAATGGAATTAATAGAATCGAAATGAATCTTTCAATGACAAGATCTATACACACACACACAGAATGAAGCTGTGGGAAATGGGAAATATTTGTATACACACAAGCTGCTTGTTTTTGTTTTTTTTCTTCGATTTCCAAAACTGATTTGTTATCATCTGTGAGAGAGCCACAGACCGCACCTGCCTAAAGACTTCAAATCAAAAAATGTATAAATGTATAAACGAATAAACGCTTAAATGTTAAGTTATGCAAAGTCAAAGTCAGGTGTTGGCGCGACTTGAAGAATGTGAGGTGTTGTGAGAGCCAAGCTAGTTTCTTTTGGAATGGATACATTCTTGGCATAGCTACATAGATAGAGCTCTCAATGGCCCTAGAGGGGAGTGCCAGCAGGGAGTGTAAGTGTGGTGTGTGTGTAGAGTGTGTGTTGTGTGTTGTGTGAGGCAAAGTGAAACTCAATAGGCACGCACGCACACACGCACGCAGGCTATCTTTAATTATTATTTATTTCTCTCTGTAATTTAAGTTTTCATTTTCGATTTTATGTCGGTTTGACGAACTGCAATTTGCAATTCGAGCAGCAATTAATTTCGGTTTGCCTCGCTTTACTTTCATGTTGCGTTTTTATTTATTTTTGTATTTTTTTAGTTACCCACTTAACACATTCGCTCTCTTGAATTATTTATTGTTTACCGCCAATAAGTAATTGCATTATTTTTGGCTTGGCCTTTCGTTTTTTTAAGATGATGCTGCTGCTGCTGCTGCGTGTGAGATTGAGGCAGATAATGATAACAAAATGCATTCAGCAATTAATATGTTAATTCAATATGTAATTCATTTATAAAATCATTTAATAAAGTAATAAAAATGGTAATAATGGGGTTTTTTATAGGAGAATAAATCCTAAACCATATCCGTTAATCTGCATAAATCTTTCTTCAACTTGGAGTGTGCCCTGTGGCTTCCCGGCTAATTCAATTTAAAATTGCAGCTCAGGTCCAGCTCTCCGCTTGCCAGGCATTTCAATTAAACCCAACGGCAACGTCAACAATGTCCGTCTGACTGACAGTTTGACTTATTGGCTAAAAGCTTTGGCCAAAGACACACACGCACAACGCACTCACCACTCTTGGCTCTAGCTCTGGCTCTGGCTCTTGGCTCAGACTCGACTTGTCTAGGGAGTGACTAGTCATATATATTATTTTAAGTGTTGTTGCAGTAAGCGGCTTAATTGCCCTCCAAGTTTTCGAATTTTTTCGCCTTTTTTTTTGGGGTTGGACAAATAGAAAATTTCAAAGTGAAAAAAAAGAAATATTTAGCAAGAAGTCCAAGTCGAAGTCGGCGCACGATTTCACTAGCACCACGGCCAGCCTCAGAGTCAGAGTCAGAGCCAAATGGTATAAGCCAAGTTCGAGCTAAAATGGCGACACACACACACACACAGACACGCGTGCAGAGGAGAGTAAGCCAAAAGGCCAATAAACCTTTGGGGGGGGGACGAAATATAAAAAAAAGCGCGCCGTGTTGCCAGCGCTTGCTTCTCTGCTCATCGATCACAAACACAGAGACGTGGCTCCATATCAGATATATATATACAATATATATATGTTATGTTGTGTTTTAACTTTATGCATGCAGAGGCGAAAAGGGAAATCTCTGAAAGAGCTCTCCATGCCGTCGGAGACAATTGAAAGTGGCAGCAGTGCATAAAGTATTCTAACAATCAAATCAACGTCGATGTCAACTTTGGCCGAGGAGTGCCGCTCGATTTGTTTTTTGCAATCGCTATGCGTTTTCCCTGCGTTTTCCACGGTGAGAAAATCATAGGTTACAAGGATTTAAGTTAAGTTTAAATATAGATTCAACTGAACCTAGCTTCGTAGGGATATGTTTTTAATACAGAAAAGACTTTATTGACACAGTCATATTTGAAATTGAGTTCTTTAATTAGATTTCAATCTCTTTTTGATGGTAATATTTTCCTCTCTCTGTAATCAACGGCGCACCCGCAACATTTGGCGGCAAAGCAACAAGGGAGACACCAACACCAACATCCATAAGCAACTTGCAACTCGAACTGCGTTGGAAACGGACGCCCACCATTTCTCGTTGGGATTGGGTTTGGAACTATGGATTGGAGCCACGAAACCAGGCATCATTGGGTGGGTTGTTGGACGGAAAACAGCTGCCTCTCGGGGGCGTAACAGAATGTGGGCCAAAAACAGTTGGCGGCCAAAAAGGCAAATTGCAAACCGGCAGAGAGGTGCCGCCACCGCCAAAGATGGGACTCCACCAAACGGCAAAATATAATGTGGGCGGCATATCAATTAAATATTCAATTAAAATAACTTCTTTCTCAAAAGACTTTAAGTTTAAAAATCCCTTGAGGGCTCATCACTTTCTCGGAATAATTTCAATGGTTAAACCATTAATTAAAGCTGGCTTTATCGTTTCGATTTAATCAAATACCGAAAGTTCGCAGACAAAATTGATTTTGGATGCCACCAATTATCGCATCATCCAAATCGATTAAAGACTTAATAACAATGCGTTGTTTAGGCTTTCGATCAGAAAACGAAATCGATGACGACAGTCAAAAGAACTTGGAAGATCAAATAAATAAATAAGAAAACAAACAAAAAAATTAATAAGAAAAAACGTAAATGAAAAATTTCACTCAATGGAGGAGATCGTGGTGGCTCGGTCGTTCGCTGTGACTATTTTGTTTAAATAAAGTAAAAGTCAATTAACATCTTTGTCGCATTAGCATCGTGAGTGTGAGTATGAGTGTGAGTGTGAGTATGAGTCTGAGTGCTCCCTGGTATTGGTGTTTGCTGTGGCCTTTGTTATGCATTTTTAGCATTTGTGGCTCGGCTTTTTCTTCGCCAGCATGAAAATAAGCACGAAAGCGAATAGCAAATAAGAAGAAATAATAGATATATATACATATATATTTATGCTATGGTTAGCAAGTTGGGGGGAAAATAGGTTTTCGAATGAGAAATACCCTTGAAGTTCAATTGATTGACATGAGAACAGGGTTAGGCTAGGTCCTAATTGGCTGCAGCATTCTGTAAGGCACAGCTTCAGTGGCTTTTTAAGCCTACAAACCAATTTTAATTTAAGTTTTAAAATATTTTTAATATTTTTCCTACAATTTATAGATATAAGCAGATTAGTTTTAAAAGATATTTAATCTTTATATACTTGCAAATGATATTTACAAAGCCTTGCTTAAATGGAAAATCATTAAAATGATTAAAGTTCATATATTTTCAAGCCCGGCAAAATCATTCTCCCATAAAATCAGCTAAATATACATATATATATTTCATTCTCCTTTTTTTATGACCATCTTGATAGCTTCGTCACGGTGACCTCTGTGCGCTGCAAGTGGAAACACCCTGGATGCCAGGGTATTGAGTTGTGGCAGCGATAAGAAAACACGGCAAAGAGCAAGGAAAACAAAAGACTCAGGCAACGAACGCGAACGCCAGCCCAAGAATGCCAGGGGAAAGAGAGATGCAGAGAGAGAGATGGAGAGAGGGAGAAACGGGAACGGGAGAGCATAGGGGATCTGGGAGGGGAATGGCAGCCAGGGCGTTGTTGTACGGAAGTGGCACGCACACACGGTTACACACACACACACACCAATACAGTGGCATTCGGACCTGGCCAAGTGGCCGCCGTGGCCGCCGTCGGCGACGAAACGGCGCTGCGGCATTCTTCGATGGCCGGAACCAGTTTTCTTTTGCGCCACCACCAATTTTTTGTTTTATAGCTTTTGCGCTGCTTTTTCGTCGATTTTGTTGTTGTATTTTTTCTGGCTTTTTGCACGCCTAACTGTTTGCCATCGTATACCGTTTGCTGGCAGCACAGAGCGCAGCGTTCTTGGCTTTATGCCTTGCCATGATTTGGCCAAAAACGTTGGCGATTTGATCGTAGGGATCTCTCTGTCTCGAAATCGAAATACAACAAAATAAAAACGAAATACCAAGAAGCCAGGCCGAGAAGCTGGCCGCCATTCCGAGCGAGCACCGTTAGGACGAGCTTATGCAACTGCATTTGATGGAAGATGGGGACCAAATGCTCGGATGCCGTTACACAAATTGAAATCGATCGCATTCGGTGAACGGAACAGGTCCCAAAGCCAACAACAACAACAACAACAGCATCGCTCCATCGCTGCATCGTTGCATCGCTGCATCTCTTGGCCAGCGTGGAGCCCAAAGAATCCAAAAGGTTTCTTTCGATTCGAACACGTGCATATTGCATCGCTGATGAGCTCACTCTGGGAGGAGCATCCAATCAGCAATACCTAATCACAGTGAGCACTCTGAAGAGTGAACGCGGCATAGCAACATTTATATATGTATATTTATATAATAATAAAGATTTCTTCTCATTAAAAGAAAGTAGATACAATAACTCCAAGAGTTATAAACAAATTCCTTTGTATTTCAAAAAATGTATGGCCAAGTGGAAAGGCTTATGCCCAATCTTTAGATATAATTATACAAATAGAAGGCTGTACATAAATTAATGTGACATTTAACTTCAAAATATTAGAAGTTATTTGCAATATTTATGCTATTATTCTAATAAATAATAATTCCCCTTATCGATCATGCACTGTAATGTACTGTCTATAATTAGCCATGATGATCATGGGGGTGGCTCAGAAAACCAATTGCGGGAATTGGCAATGGCATTGGTCAATCTAATTGATTATCTTCTGACTGATTGACAGATTGGTAAAGCAATTTTTATTTTTTGGGTGGAAACAAATTCCAAAACCTGATGACTTCATGGAAGTAATAGTTAAAAAACTCAACTAGTTATAAATAATTTATTTGAAGCTTGTAAAACTAAACATTAATATCAAACATTAATGTCTAAAAGCATGGACAGCAGAAGAATGTGATCTAAGCCAGGCTTTAACTTGAATCAATTCAATAAAAAGAATCTAACAATATAAGTAAAATACTAAATGTCTTTCTATATATATTTTTTAAAAAGTCTAATATTTAATCAAGGAAAACCCATTCAATATATGTTTTCTAATAAAATCTCTCCTGATAAACAATTTGAAGAAAATCTAGGAAATATTTTTAATAATTTTCCAGAACGTAACAGATCTATCTACCTCCTCTTCTTCCCCTCTTACCAAACTTGTTTAGAAGAAAAAAGACATATCTTTTAATGGCGCCTGCTTCATCCTATTTGAATCTATTGTCACTCGCTGCTGTTCTTATTGTTGTAGTTTGTCCAAGATTCAGATTCAGATACAAATTCTGATTTGAATTCCGAGAGAGCCAGCAAATTCTCTCCGCTCTTAACTCTCTTAACGTTCTCGCTACTTACTTGCTTTGTTGATGCTTCGCGTTTCAGTTAACAGTTCTGGCCAACTCGTATGCGCGTGCGTGTGTGTGTGTGTGTAAGCTGGTGTTTTTTATGTGTTTTCTGTGCTCTTTCTTCTTTCCCTCGAACCGCGCTTTCGACCCCTCTTCTTATTGGCTCGCTTGCTTTCAACGTCACTTCGTCACCGCACACAAGAACATTAGAAGAGGATGATTTCTGCTACATTTCTTTCGTCGCTGCGTCTTCTCCACCGCTTCTCCGTCGCTCTCTCTCACTCTAACTCGGTGTTGGCTTGTTTGTGTTGCCAACTTGTTGCTGGTATTTTTGTATATTTTGTGTAGAACAGCGTTGATTTTTTGTCAACTTAACCGAAATTGAACAAAATTAGAACAAATATATGTAATAGCACGGCACTGGGCGAGTTCGGTAACGAAACAGCTGAACTTTGCTGATGGAGCGTTTGCAATTTGGTGGGTATTTTCCGATGTAATCTTCCTTTGTTTTTTTTTTTTCCAAGGAATCGTCTAGGGATGGTTGTTGAATTCGTTTAAGTACTATCGTTTTTCCAGTTGAGCCGCATACTAATTGATCAGTTATGGCTAGTTAAAAACAACTTTCACACATACAGCTATTACCGCACCGAAAAAAAATGCACAACAACCTCCTCCGGCAGTCAAAACTGAAATGGCTAAAACCGATCTTCTGGCCCAGAGAGCGAAAGACACTCAAAACTGGTTTTACGTTGTTCTCTGCTAGCGATGGCCAGCTTACGGGCAACATCGATAACGATGACGATATCAGCGGGGGACAATGTAAATAAACAGAGAATATCATGTGAATTTGTTGTATTCTTCCTAATTATTATAAATATTCCTTATTATTTATTTTCCCCCTCTCCTAAAATGAATCACCATTTATTTTTAACTCGATCGATATCAATCTTAAGAGACATTTGTAAACATCGAATATTCGATTTTACTTCTGTACTCAAAAAGCTTTGACTCAAAGCGCTTGCGCAAGCGCGCGCATTTGAATTCAAATTGTGGAACTCTAAAAGCTAACAAAAAAGGAAACTAATTTCAAGAAGCCCAAGTTTATGTAATACTAATCGAATTATAGAAATCTATTAAACCTAATGTTAAAATATCCGCATTCTTTAAATATATTTTGTTTTGAAAAATATCAAACCTAAAAGTCCCATAACTAAGCCAAAAGAGCCTTGATTTTAATTCGGAAAGCTGTTCTATATTAGTTTTTAGTAGGTTAATAAATCTGCATACTAAATTTAAAAATATACAAGATTTAAATTTTATTCATAAATTTTGTAAATTTTTAACGATGTAACCCCTTAAATTTTTTGAAAAAAATTTCAAAAATTTTTTTTACTCCAGGACTTGCCTAGATCGATTCGCCAGTTGATGCTGATCTAGAATATATATACTTTATATGGTCGGAAATGACTTCTTCATGGTTTTACAAGCTTCTGACTAAAATTATAATACCCTGCAGGGGTATACAGGGGTATTGTAAAATGACAATAAATAAATTCTTTTTCATAAATTTTCTTTATTTATTATATCGACAGGAAAAAAAAAGATGCTACGTTGACTACACGGGGAGCTATCGCGCTCCAATCTCAAATCTCCGGATAGGCGCTGCCGATGAGGTTCTTACCCCGATAGCGCCACGAGTAGGTGATAATCCCGAACTTGCTGTTGCCCAAGGACACTGGGCAGGTGCGATCCGGCCGGAGCTGGAAGCAGACCGTATAGAGGGCCAGCTCCAGTTCCGGAGAAGTGCCCACAAAGAGCGTGTTGACAGGCTTATTGAGGCCCTGGTGCGAGAACCGAATCTTTAGGATCTTGCCCTTCTGCAGAGAGAAAGAAATAGCATTATATTATCAACAAAGTGGCACCTCTTAGGTGTCTCCTACTCACCGTGCCAATGTCCTGCTCCTTCATGTACCCCTTGTAGTCGAAGCGACCACCCTGCTCCTCATCTCCAATGTAGACCCAGTTGTGGAAGCCAATAATGGTTCCATCCTTCACCTCGTGAACAAAGACATGCTCAAAGCCGGAGCTACCGATCTTGCCCTGGCCGCGGGAATACTGTGTGAACCACAGCTCCTTGACCAGATCCCGATGCGTCTTGGGATCGGGGCTGACCAGACCCTTCTGCTGCAGGAACAGCATCGCTTGGCGCATTACTGGCGTGGCCATTACCGCATCCAGGAAGTCATTCTCCTCCTTTCGCTCATTGGGGGTCACATGCTCATTGACCAGCGTGTCGTGCTCATAGTTGTTGAACAGCACTCGCATCTTGGCAATCGTCGGTGACTCCAGGGCCTTCGAGTCCACATGGAGGAGTCTGCAACAGGTAGAGAGAACGGTTCACTTGATATATCACGGATCAACGGATTAACACTCTCACATGGATTACTTACGGATTTGGTGCCTCGTCGGCACTGTCAATAGATCGCGTGCGTCCCTGTATATTAACCTGGATGTTACCAATCTGACTGTTGGTCTCCTTGGCGTACAGTTGCTCGGTCAGCTGTCGGATCTCGTCATCAGTGGCCACCGAGTTGCCCGACGATTGGAAGCCAGGTCGCACTGTGCTAGTGGATCCTCCACCATGGGCTGGTGTGGGAGTGAACTTAGTGGGTACTGACGCCGGCGTTGGGGTGACCGAACTCTTGGTGGGCTGTGCCGGATGTACCGGATGCTGAGGCGTTGGCAGGGGAGAGTTCCAAGCGGATGGAGAACCCGGCGTGGGAGTGGGTGAACCAGGCGGCGTCTTTACTGGCGGCAACGCCGGGAAATCCTCTTTCTGGGATGGCCTGCGAGGTCCTGGCAACGCCGGGAAGTCCTCCTTCTGCTGCTGTGGCCTTACCGTGGTGGTGCTGCTGGAGCTGGGGCCAGAGAAGCGCACATCGATATTGGGCTGCACACCCGGAGACTTGGGTCGCTGGGTGGTTGTCGTAGTCGTTGTAGTTGTGGTGCCAGCGAGTCCGAAACCAGGTCGTCCAGTTCCCGCCCCTGGTCCTCCGCCGTAGCTCAGGTCATAGCTATTCGGTTGCGGCTTCTGTGGACGATAGGGTGCAAAGCCTGGCGGCAGAATCGGAGCTCCGGCTGGTGGTACTCCATTCGTCTGCGGACGCCCTGGAGCGGGCAATTGTGGCTGCTGCGGCAAAGGGGGCTTTGTGCTGGAGGCAGCGGTGGGCCACTGGGGACCACTGGCCGGCGGCGGTGAGGCACCAAAGGGCGAGGATCCCGGCGTATCCGGTCGCGGTCCCAGCGGCATCAGCGGCGCATGCGAGATGACCAACGGCGGAGGCTTCTGTGCCGATGTGGGTGTCACTGCCAACTTGGGATTGGGAGTCGGTGTGGTGGCCATGTTACGACCCCGCTCCGTGGTGGTTGTGGTTGTGGTGGTGGTGGTGCCATCGCTGCCAAAGAACTTCTTGAAGCCACCGAACCAACTCGACTTCTTGGTGGTTGTCTCCGTAAGCGAATCCAACGGATCCGGTGTGATCTGCACCTCGCTCTTGTAGGCGGCTAAAGGAATGAAGGGTTGAATGGATGCAGGGAGAGATTAGAGAGGAAGAGGAGGCTTCGGGAATCTGTGTTTCCATACCTGTCAGACCCAAGCACAGGCACAGGCACAGCAAGAGCGAGCTCAATGCCAGGCAACGCATGTTGCTCGTTTTATTAGCACTTTGCCTTGGTTTATATCAGATTTTGTTATTTTATTTTGTCTCGGTTTTCGATTTCGATTTCGGGTTAGGTTTCTCCCGGAGACAGCTCGACCGACCGATCGGAGATTCAGCTAGCGACTGGCGAGCGGCTCCGGCTTGGCATCCGCCTGATCTTGGCAATCGGTGTTTGTTGCTGGTTTTATTAATGAGTTTACGTCGTCGTCGGCGTGGGTTTTGCCTCCTCTCAGGTGCGCTACTGACCCTAGAGCAGGGCATTTCGGTATTCAAAAATTATATAGATTAAAGATATAGTAATTCGCTTAAAGAAGTTAATGAAATGTGATGAAAAATAATTCGAAATTCACTCAGAAGTTCACTCAATGACTTAGTTAATCACATAGATTTTAAATAAGATGTTCAGATGATTTTGAAACTGTCAGTAAGATGGATAACTTCTGTTTAATCCTCCATATATTCTAATATTCTTAGATTTAATGATTTAATATGTATCCAAATAATAATACCATTATCTATTTGATACATTTTATGTTCTATTCAATCAGCTTTCATATTCATTAAAATTACTCTACCTTATCAATTGCGTTTTAGTTATGAAAAATATGAGATCATATTGAAATCAGACTGAGCTGCTTTAAGAAAATTATTTATAATTTTGAAATATATAGTTTATTTTCCTATTTTATTTCTTGCTTACACCCTTTTGTAAAAATTTACAAGTTAGGCAATAATCACCTCTTATATATAAATAAATAATAAATAACAAATATGACGCATTAACAAAATGGTGTAAGAAGAGAAATCGTTTAATGAAAACGCCTATATAGGTATATAAATACTTTTCCATTGGGTTCAAATATATAGGTATTATGAAGGAATGTCGTTGTGGCCGATGACTACCTACAACAGCTTTGATCTTGGATTCTGGAGGGACCTGCTCTTCAAGGGTTGCTGGTCGCATACGCCGAGGGTCGAGTTGAGTTCCACAATTACCTGGACAGAGAGCACTAATTGCTGAACAAAAACAAAAATTATAAAAATAGCCACAAAACAGGGGTAGTCCGAAACGAACCGCACCGAAATTCCATTTGCCTTGGATTCGGTTCACGTAAGCAAATTATTGGACTTACATAATGCCCTGGAACATTGTTCTGATTCCCAAGACGACCCCAATTCCGTTTCCCCTCGCCCACCCCCGGCGGCACTAATTAATTGCACTCGCCAGAATCGGCCCCAGCATCGGTCCAGAGAACAATATCTATATATATACATATATATATGTCTATATAAAATTGAAAATTCAAAGCTAAAATCGGAGGCTTATCAGCCTTTCGGGCGAAAAGGCCACTGGCAAAGGTTATGTTTTGTGTGTGCTCCGATTTCGAATGGATCCACCAAAGCTATAGCTAAAGATTAGAGTAAGTCTTTTTTCTTAAGACAGTGATAACTCGAAAAAAGGTAAGACCTTATATTGAAATCTAGATAGAAAGGAGTTTTTGTAAAGTAAAAGATAGGAAAAGATTCTATGACTTCATTTGGAATATCTTATAATGGTTTTTAATTAATAATAACTATAAAATTGTAACAAAAGCATTTTTATTTTGGAAAACCAGCCTTGATTTATACGAATTTATAAGTCTCACATATGATTTTCAGTTAGAAAAAACTCTGAAAATGTTTAAGCTTTATTTTAAACATATATTATACCTTATTTATACATTTTTATTGAGTGTTGTATTTACTCTATAAAATATTTATATATAAAATTTTATGTAGAATAAATGAATTAGCAAATTAGTATTTAGTAATTACTATTTTTTAAGCAAACAAATAGCTATGCTCCACAGTTCGCAATGCCTTTGTTTGTTTTTTGCTTTTGCAGGCGGATCATAACTGCTCGGTCATTGCTTAATTAATTAATTTATAGCTTTATAGCTGACTTTCTAGGTAAAGCAATTAAGTAAACATAAAAGTAAACACTAATTCAGATGACCTTCAATTATTAGAGCATTGTTTTTATGGCAATAACAAATATCAAACAAAAGATATAATACTTTAGTTATCTTTTTATTCACAAAATTCTTAAATTCTTAGAAATATATTAAATAAAAGGAACCACTGAAAATGAGGGAGAAAACTAGAGTGAAAGTGGAAGATTAGAGCCATTACTTATTGCCTACTTTTAGGCTAAACAGAATGCGAATATAATTCCATTGAAATGTATCTCTGCAACTGCAGTTTGTAACTTAAGTTGCTTGAATAATTCAAATATAAATAAGTAAACAAATAAACTTTATTGCCATACAAAAAAAAAAAACAAAAATCTCTCGATATCCTCACACACTCTTATTGATGAGCTTCTTGCGAATAGACTCGTCCAGCGGTGGAATTGCCTCGCGGGGAATCAGGAAGGTGGAAAGGTTAAACAGATCCAGGAACACCTTGTACCGATCACTGGAAAATATATAATATAATAATATAATTATAATCAGGTGCAGATCTCTAAATTTCACAGATCAAAGATTGCAGATCGATTCCATGCTCACCTTAGTGTGGATCGAAGATATTGATAACCGGAGGAGCCGCCGGTGCCGAGCTGCTGTGATCCAATCATGCGTTGCACCATGATCACGTGATTGTCTGCCAAAGAAAAGAGAAACCATAATATATATAGAAAAAATTCCCCCCCCCCCAGAGACTTACATCGCCACTTGGTGATCAGCGAATCAATATCCATGAGCAGGGTGAGCAGCTGATGGGGCTGACTGAAGCGCGGCTCGTCCCGGTAAAAGGTGATCATAATGGCACCCTGGAGGGCACGATGGCTAAACCGCCGGTCGCCGCGTCGCACCAGGGCATCGTGGACAGCCGGATCGAAGATGGAACGATAGACCTCACGTCGTTTCTCTATATCCATCAGGCGGTAGTTCTTGGCCAATTCCACTGGCTCCTGCATGGCGCTCTGAACCTGAGCCTCCAGGAAACGATCGACGCTCTCCTGGAATTTCTCCCAGAAATTAAAGCCACTCTCCTCCAAGCCCGGCGTTCGCTCCAACCAACGCTGGACCAGCTCCAGCAGTGAAGGATCATGCTCAGAACTCCGGATGGCATTCCTGGCCTCCTCATCGCTAAAGACATCGGAGTACTTTTGATTATACCGCACCCGCTGATCGGTGAGCACGCCCAGCTTGTTCTCGATCAGACGGAACTGCAATGACTGAAAGCCGGAGGCAGGAGCCAGGTACTTGCGGAAATCCATAAAGTCCAACGGTGTCATGGTCTCCAGTATGGGTACTTGATCCACCAGGAGCTATGGTTATAAAAAAGAGTCTGAAAGGAGGCGTAATTATACTCTCTCTTAGGGGAACTCACCTTCAGGATGAGAACCACTCGATTGAGTCGCTTGACAATCTCCAGGGTCTTGGTCTCATCAATGACCTCGGCATCCAACATGTGCCTTATGGAATCAAACTCGAAGATGATTTGCTTGAACCACAACTCGTAGGCTGGAGATACAGATACAATTACAAGTTACAGATACATGTTAAAGATACAGATACTCTACCCTGGTGCGTAATAATAAAGAGATGCTCATCATGCACGGGTCTCTTGTCCTCCTGGGAGAGCATACATTGGGCATCCAGCAGCTTGTCCAGCATCAGATATTCCCCATAGATCTTGCCCACCTCTGTGGTCAGTGGCACTGCAGAGTCATCGTGCTCGTTTCTATGAAAGGTTTCCCCCAATTTGAGTTATTGGGAAGTTCTTAGCCCGTGCCGTTGCTCACCCATTTCCAGCATAGGGACAGCTCATCGTGGATCGGGCTTGTTCGGTTCAGATCGTACCGGATTGGATCGGAGGTTCGAGGTTTGTCGAGCGACAGACGCTGACAGACTGAAGCGGACGCGGATTGAAGCCAGACCCCAGTGAAGTGATAACGCTGCCAGAGAGAGAGAGCGAGTGAGCTCCCAGTTCCAACTGATTGCACACACACTCGATGATCCGCGAGATGTGAGATGTTTGATCCGAGATAGACCGGAGGGGATTATCAGGCCCTGGAGGTGAAAGTGCCACCATTGGCGCCAATGGGTTTCGTTCTCAAGAAATTAATTACAATGCAAAAGCAGAAACTACGTTCCCCTTTTCCACAGAGTGAATATTGATAATATTTTATATTACTAATATATATATATTAACTTTTGTTTCATCTTCTTAGACCCGCTCAAAGCTACTAGAAAAGGATTAAAACTCTTTTGTTTATATATTGTTTTTTGTATTTCTCATATATTTCTGGCTTTCATTTTTGTTAAAATGTATTTTTGAGTCATTGGCTCAGTCATATATTTGTTGAAATTTGATATACATATATGTATATATATATATATTCGTGTGCCGATCGCATCAATTCTTGTTGTCATCGTGCCCCCGACTTGCATACATACATAACATATAGCGTAATGCAGGGGGCTTGAATATTCGGTCTTAATAATTATATATACTATTACATACACTTTTCTGTTGTTGTTGTTCTGCATGCCCGAAAAAACGCAACTGAAAATCTCAACCAAGTCAATTGAATATAGGATATACCATCGTCTAAATGTGTGTCTAAATATATATATATATTTATTTATTTATATGTATTTTTCGTTTATATAATTTCCTTTTCATATATATTTTTTTGTTTTTTTGTTTCAACTACATTTTGCATAGAAAAAATTGTTTTACTCGTATTTCCGTCGATATCCATGCATTGAACAAAAATAACTGGGTATTTCATGCGATTTTATTTGGTTTTTTTTTTTTGTTTTCTTTGGGGGCAGGGGATTAATTTTGCAATGTGCTCGGAATTCGTTCAATGCCATTTATGTATTACATAAACATCTAGTATATATATCCATGTATATATATGTATATCCATGTATATATATGCATATGGCATGCCTGTGTATGGTATATACATATATATTTGTATTCATCATTTATCATTTATCATTTATCGCTTTACTCTCGCTCTCTATCTGGCTCTAAATGTATTTATGTATATAATATGCAAATCGCGCTGCGTTTTCTAGTCAATTCTAGTTTATCGTAATTCTCTCAGTGTAAAATTGCGACACACATACACACAAAAAAAATAAGAGAAACAAAGAAGAAACTAAAGAGAACAAAAAATAGGAAAGTAAACCAAAGAAATTGCATATCGAACGCCTAAGATTGCGCTATAATTAATCTTTAATTATTAATCGTTTATAGTTAATCGTTAATCGCTTTGTATATGTATGAGTTGTTAATTCTATGTCTAAGTTGTTTCGTTATGCGCGCTCAATCGCTATCCTTCTCTATATCTATCCATCCCTTTCTTTGTGGCTAACAATCTAACTATCTCGCTTGCGCGCTTGTCACCTTACACTGCGTTGTCTTTTGTCTCGCTTCCGTTTCCGATTAGCTGTCACATCTCCTTAACCCTATTGCACTGTTAATTCGTGTGTTTGCTCATCAAATATTTGTTCGTTATAGACATTAAACACAATATCTGATCCGACTTGAAATACAATATTTATATTTTGTTGTATATGTAATGTATGTTGTGTGTGTCAATATATTCCTATGGAAAATACCAGATTTGATTGCGTTTTTATCCTCTCTAACATTTTGCTCATTACACTGTCTGTGTGATTTAAGTGACACTATACTTATGTTAGGTACCTTATCGACTAGATGGAATGAGAACAGGAGGTATATGTAGGTGATGATGGGATGCGATGCAATGCAAGCTTTCGTTTTTTATTCTTATTTATTTATTTATTTTTTTTTTGGCACTGATGCTGAGAGAGGCTGCGATTGGGGGGAGTTCTCGAAATGCATAGAGGAGATTTGGAAATCTCCTCCAGCCTCGTAGAGTCATTCAGGAAGATATGGTGGAATGCGATGCAGGATGAGTTCGATCATCTACAAATGAAACCCAAACAAACTGTAGCATACAAAATATACATATGTACGTGTACACATAGATCGTATTTTTTTGTTGTATAAACATTAAGCTTAGCGTAGAAAACCAAAAGACTGTTGAAAATTTTAAATTTATTGTACAAAATAAGAAAAAAAAATCATTTAAATTAAATTTAAAATTATATATCTCTACAATATGGATAAATAAGCCTAGGCCTATACATATATATAATTTTAAATATACATATACTATATACTCTTTGATAAGAGAGTGTTTTTGGAGTTAGCAACAAATTGCACTACATTGAAATATATATATATATACTTTGTAATATCAATCAATTCAATAAAATTCAATTATGTTTAATTTAGTTTAGCATACAATTATAATTCATAATTCATAATTAATAAGTATGCTTCTGTATGCTTATAGATACACGCTTAAAATCAAATGCACTTTCCCTTGAGCAAAACTCGGTCTTCTTGGCTAACAGCAATAATATTCATAAATTAAATTAAAAAATACGGTTACAAAAAAAAATAGTTTCTCTTTAAGGTTTAACATTGCTAAATTTCATTTGCATAACTTAATTAATTCCTAAGCTTCTTCTAACCTCCTATCTCTGGCTCATTCTGTTGCTCTTCTGTGTATTTTCTTTGTGATTTTGTTGTGTTGCAATACTAGCACCCAGCATGTAAGTAAATTCATGTGATTTGGTTTTATTTTGGTTTCGATTCAACATCGTTCTCTCTCTGTCTCTCTCTTGTTAATTAATTAATTCATTTCATTTATAACTATTAAATAAAATCATCGACGGCAAGGCTCAACTTAAAGTGTACTTTTTGGGGATCTCCTCACAAGGACTTCCGCCTTGCTGCATTGGTATTATTAATAACACTACGGACAAAGATACGGATAACACGGATACGGTTACAGATACGGTTACGGATAAGGTTAAAGATACGCATACGGATACGGATACAGATACAGATACGAATACTCGTGCTTAACGGAAGATCTTAATGAACCGATTCGAATAACGCTCGCTAGGGCCAACTGAGGGGCAACTCAACATATCAGCGGATGGGATGGGATCTCGAGGACACTCTCTATCTATCTCTCTCTCTCTCTATTTATCTCTCTCTCTCCCGGTCTAAGGCATGGACATGGATGTGGTAGGAGCTGCACCTGCTGGCGCTCATCTACCCAAACCACCCAATCCACCGCCCATACCACCTCCACCCAAATGAACTGAAGTCGCTGACAACTCGACACGTTGACACTGGCGGCGCTCGACAATGACCGCCGCTGGCAGCGACTATTCAAGCGCGGGTCATACATTCATTGCATAATACACGGATCCCTGTGCCTGGGCGGAGCCCACTCCTCCCGCCTGCTGCTGCTGCTGTTGCATCTGTTGTTGCTGCTGTTGCTGCTGTTGCTGCTGCTGCACCTGTTGCTGCTGCTGTTGTGCCGCTGACGTTGGCGATACCATGGCATTGCAATCACTATGCGATACCGCCGCCGCTCCCTCTGGAACTCCACGCTCACTGAACCCGGGCATTCCGCCCTCTGGGCCGAATTGGTAGTGTCCCTGCATCAGACGCTGCTGCTGCTGTTGCATCTGTTGTTGCTGCTGCTGTTGATGCTGGGCATAGTGGGCAGCATGGCCACGCCCACTGACCACATGCAACTGCATGCCGGGCAGGGCATAGCCAATGGGCACCCGGATCGTCTGTTGAGTGACCTAAACCGGAAGGAGACAGAAACATTAGTAGCTTATCCAATTTAATAATCACTGAATAGTTTAGAAATTAATATAAAACATTAATTACCCGCAACTGGTGGTTAAATATTAGTTTGTTATATATACATAAACATAAACATGCTTTGTTATAGTTAGTAAGTTTCAGTGGTTAGGTTTTAGAATCTCAGCACTTCCTTTCACTTTTCTTTAGCTGTTTTTATGCGTAGCATAATAGTAAATGTATTCCTTACAGAACTCACTATATAACTGCCTCTCTAGGTTATCTAATGTTATTATTCTTCTGCCTAGATAAAAGTTAACCGTTGCTAATTAAACTAAAACGAATTATTCTTTTTAAAAACAATTATATACAATACTGTAAAGTTGCAATTATCTCGATTAGTTAACCTCAACCGGTGATTAGAGTGAGGCTTAAAAAGATTTAGCATGGGGTTAGTTTCGCTTTTACAATATCTATACGTTTAACCACACCCACATTTGGATTCTCACCTCGTCAACCGACTGATCCCCTTGGACTCTCACCTGCTGGTACTCGAGAATATTCTGACGCTGGATATGCGCCAGCTTGGGATCGACGCTGCTGCTGGTGGCGAACTGGGAATAGGTCTCCGCGTTGTACGGTATGAGCACCATGGTCTGATGGTAGTTCCTCAACGGCGGCGGTGACTCTGGCCGCCGGGTTGGACTCCTGGCAAAGTGGCTGCTGTAGCTGCTATGCTTGCTCTGCTCGATGGCGGTGGCGGTGGCCACATTCGTGGCCGTCATACTCTGACAATTCTGTGCAGCAGCAGCGGCGGCATACAGGAGCGAGGCATCGTCCGCTCCGCCGGCTGCTGTGGCTCCCTGCTGGATCATCGTCTGGCGGAACATGGTGCCGGCGGGCAGGGTCTGGTAGTAGGTCTGCTGTATGGCAGCCGCGTCCATGGGGAAGCGCTGTTGCTCTCCGGTCTCACTGTAGAAGCTCCACGTTCGCTGCTCCGTCTTTTGCATAGCAGCTGCCATCTGTTGCTGCAACTGTTGCTGCTGCTGTTGCTGCTGCTGATGTTGCTGCTGTGCCTGATGCTGTGCCTGTTGCTGCTGCTGCTGCTGCTGCTGCTGCTGCTGCTGCTGGACAGTCTGTGGCACATTCTGGGGCGAGGGATTCTGCTTGAGCGTGTTGGGCATGGCATAGCTCTTTACGGCCTGCTGCACCGGCTGGCTATTCACCACGGTGGGTATCGCCGCACTGAGCTGCTCCTGCATCTGGGCCAGGATCTCGTTGGTGGAGCTAAACTTGGGCTTGATGCCGCGCACCGATGGCCGCTTATTGAACCCATAGTCATTCTGCTCGTCATCGTCGCTGCTGGCCTGCGACTGTGAGGGATCTGCGCCCGTGTATCGCTTTTTGAGCTGCTCGGTCCGCTTGGCCTCCGCCTGCGCAAAGGCGGCCAGCTCGTCCTGCTCCTGCCGTCCGGCTGCCTCCTGTCCCGGCGTACCGGCAATCACATCGGGCGCCACTTTCCGTGCATCATCTGCTCCTCCAACTCCTACTCCTCCTCCGCCGGCCACAGCCATTCCCTGGGCCAAGCCCTGGGCAGCCATGGCAGCTGCATGCTGGGCCGCTGGATCCCCAGAGGCTGCCGCTGCTGCAGCTGCTCCCAGGAGGTGACCCATATTGAAGTCAGCGGCCGCAGCGGCGGCTGCATAGTGGGCGGCATGCGCATGGGCATGGGCGTGGCCATGGGCGTGCGGATGGGCAGCGGCAGCAGCGGCCAGGGTGTAGTAGGAGGAGAGATCGTCCTTATTGCCGGCCACACAGGCGGTGAGCGGGGCCAGAGTGGAGGACAGGAACTGGCGCTTTGGCTCCGTCTGTCGGGGTGGGGTGCGATGGATCTGGGTGTGCACCACCGGCACCTGAATGCCCATGCCCAAATCAGGAGCAGCCGGGCAACGGCACTCTTGTGGTATAATGACTATGGGATTCTCCTCCATCTCCATGATCTTCTCCTGCTTCTTGTCACGATTGAAGATATCGGCAATCTTCTTATAGGCTGACGAGCCACTTGAGGAGCTGGAAACGGAGCTGCTGGGCGAGAAGCTCTTCTCGCCATTCACAAACTTTTGGCCTGGACCGGAGCCGGGCACGGGATTGGGATTCTCCTCACCGGCGGGACTATCCCGCTGGGCTAGCTCATCGGCAGCTCTATCGGCGGCAGCCTCGGCATCTTCGTCCACCGCCCGCTGCAGCTCCTCGGCCAGGTCTTCGTCGATGTCGCAGGTAAGCTGCTTGATGCGCTCCTCCAGCGAAATATCTGACTTGACAGCCTTTTTCCTGTAAGAAATAAACATAGTGTTAATGAGGAAGAGGTTTCTTTGCTAGAAGACTATCCGGGACATTTACTTGATCAGGGAACGACGCAGTATATTGCGCTCCATGCTGCGACGCAGGGTATCGGAGTCGCCACAACTACCCGGCAGATGGGTGACCAGGCAACCGGCCCGCTTGGACTCATCGAAGGCACGCAAGGCCTCCGAGGTGAGCACCGGTGCCTGATGGGCCGAGACGCTTGGGAAGAGCTGACGCACCGCGGAATTGGGACGCAGGGCATTGTTGAACAGCGTCGAGTGCTTCTTGATTGGGATTAGCTCGTTGATCTGGTTCTCACTGTCGTCCAGCTCATCGGCCAGGGACTGGGCATCGCTGTCTGTGCCAGCATTGGCCTGATCCTCGGTCACAAATCTCACCGAGCGCTTGGTGGTGCCGCTCTCGTCCTCGGAAGTGGTGTTGTTCTGGTCATCCGATTGCTGGAAGAAACACAGGTAAATTTAAGGATCTCGTTGATCTCTTAAAGACTTAAACTCACCTGGGAGATGGAGTCCTGCTTCCAGAGCTTGCCGCCCTTGAGAATGCCACTGATCTGCGTGGGCGATGTCTCCTTGGGCGGTATGGGTGGCGGCTTCTGGGCGTCAAACTGTGGCTGTTGCTGTTGCTGTTGCTGCTGTTGCTGTTGCTGCTGGACTTGCTCCGAGGCATTGGGCGCCGCTGCAGCGGCTGTGGCTGCGGCGGCAGCAGCGGCTGCTGTGGCACTCGCCTTGGCCGGCAGGGCAGGTGGCAGCATCTCCGCTCCGCTTGAGGGTACAGAAGGTGGAGCAGTTCCTGGTGCGGCAGCCACATCCTCGTGCGCCTCCCGGATGATCCGACGCTCGGTCACTGTGGTCATAGTGGTAATGGTTTCAACAACAAATCGTTTATTCTTGGAGGAGCTACTGATGGCTGGGTGTGGAACCGTAACCGGAAGCGGCACTGGAACCGTTACCGGTACCGGAGCTAGGCCTAACCCATAGCCCGTGTTGGAGGTGGAGCCTGAGACGGCGCTTGAGCCGGAGGCTGATCCCGAAATGGCCTTGCTACTACTGCCGGACTCCCTTCTAGACTTGGCCACTAAGCACGGACAAAAGAGAGCATTTTTATTGGGCATTCAGATGGATATAGAGATCGAGATCGAATCGGATATATGTCGATATGAAGACGGGATCGTATGCTGAAGGATGCTGAATATAAGTTATAATATAATGTTCACATGCGGATGCATACGAGATCCAATTGTGGAAGCGATTGAATGGCTTTGATATTACATTTTATCTCGAAGAGCGAAAGCGGTTTATAAATACAAGTAAATAATAAGTCCATTTATTTATTTACATTTTTAATTTAATTATTTTTTAGTTATATTCAATTCTCTTGTCCTCAGATCTTTAATTTGGTATCGAAAACAACATTGAACAGGTAAAGCTTTGCCTAATCAGGACATCATTTTAAATTGTAGCCTCTTTTCACAGCCAGATTTCTATTCTTTTGATTTAACCCTTTGTTACCTTTGTAATTGCATAATAAAAGCACAAACAAATCAATTTGCTGACAATGCTCAAATGGAAAATTTTCAATGGGACCTTGGATCAAGTGTGAATAACTTAAGGGGGCCCAGCGTCATCGAAGGTGGCTCATATGAGTTGTGCAATATGGCCATGGTAGCTAATGCCGTGCATAAATGCATAATGATAAAGCTAATAATGACCAAAAGGTTGGCTTTGATACGGATTTGGATTTGATATGTATATATGTATGTAGGTTCAAAGGGGTATATATATATACATATGTATGTATGTGAGGAACCTACCTCCTGTGGGCGATGGCTTATACTGCGACTGCAGCACATATTTGGGCCTCTCCTCGCCGGCAATGATCTCCTTCTGGGTGATGCGACGCTCTGGGGAGCTGGTGTGCAATGGCAGAATGGCCACAGCTGGCACACCCAGCGGTGTCATCTCCTCCGGACACTGTGGGGAACTGCATTCTGTGGGTGGAAGGTAATACATATGTAAATAACTAAATAACAGAGAGAGGGAGAGTAGTTAGTTATGGATTCAAAGGCAAATCACACCCCAGAGACCTTTACTTCACTTTCTTTGTTCTTACTTATTAAATATTCATAATTTCTTTAAATAAATAAGCTTATATAAACGAATTTGATATATGAAAACTGACTTGAAAGGGTGTGGAGCAAAAACATTTATATTTTTTAAGGCAAAGGGGAAGGAAAGACCCCTCTCACAAAACAAAAAAAACCAAAAGCGATGATTAATCGGCAGTAAAAGTTCGGGGCACTTCCGCCTGTTGCTGGCCAAGCGGAAGCGCGCTTGAAGGATCGGAATATGTTGTGCGTGCTTTCGGGGCCACGCACAGTGTTTTATATATTTTGTATTTTTATTTTTATTTTTTTTTTTGGGCATAGGTAGAGCTCTGGCACTCAACTTGGGCTTGTCGCCGAGGGGCTTGTCGCATTCGCGGTTCGTTAGGCGCAACAATTAATGAAGAGCACCAACTGGGCACCCTGGCCTCAGCTCAGCTCAAAATCTGGGTGCCGGGTGCCAGTTCCCTGTTCCAGGTTCGTTCCGTTTGCTTGCCGCTTTGGCAGTCAATAAACCGTGACGACCATCATCATCGGAATTAATGCAAATGCAGCAAGTAGAAGTAGAAGCAGAAGCAGCAGCAGGGCTTCCATTTCGAATATCCTTTACTTGGGCAGGGATTGGGTGATTGGGGGTGTGGAGAAAGTCATGTTGCCGTAAATCAATCAATAGATTCGATAGACTCGCTGGCAAAACTTGTGTGGGAATGCGGGTCCCCCTCCTCAGACATTATTTGGATTGGGTTGGGGGTTTGAATTGTCGTCACCATGGAATTATTTTTCTGCCCACTGATAATGGCAGTTGTTAACTATTGATTTGCAATAGTTTAGGGCAAGGCCACAAAAGGTTGCACAAGAAGCCTTGGTAACAGTTAAATTTATATAGTTTATATATAGAGTAAATCCTAGACCGTAATGAAATGTATGTATATATCCCCGGCCAGGAGCAGGTTCTCTGAACGTCTGTGAACCCTGCTGGGCCCTCGGCAACAGTTTTTCGAATTAAATTAACTAGAGAGTTGCCACCGCAGGAGAGCAAGTGCAGCCCTCTCCTTCCCGGAAGGCAAAACAGGAAGCATTAAAAATGGCGTCCAATTTAAAGGACACCCAGGCTGAGGCAGAGCGAAACGAAGCAGATTGTCAACGGCCTGGGCGAATGTTTGCTTAAATAATTCATAATTAGATTACACAAAGGCAAACGAAAGCGTTTGTGAATGAAAAGAACGGTCGAGGCTGCGTTGGGGGAGAGTCCGCTAATTGCATTGCGGCAGGGATATGGATGTGGACAAGGATGCGGATGGAAATTGTACTGGCAGGACTGTCAAGCAGGACAGACAAGCCTGACATCATGAATTATGTTCCCGGATTGTATTTCCCTTTAAAATTGTATACTTCTATGCAAATCAAGCACAATCTTTAAACTTCTGAAACCAATTTTGATCTGTTAATATTAATTTGCCTTAAGTTACAGCTTTTACTATGTATCTTTCTTGCTCACCTGCTTCCTGGAGCTGCTTGGCCGCACACTCGGCGCACTCGGCACACTCGGTGCACACACCCTGCAGATCCTCCTCCGATTGCTGCTGTTGTATGGCCGCTCCATGATGCGGCTGTTGATGTGACTGTTGTGGATGCTGTTGCTGCTGCTGCTGCTGTTGCTGCTGTTGCTGCTGTTGTTGCTGCTGTTGCTGTTGCTGCTGCTGCTGCTGGTTTGAGCCGACGGGCGGTGGTGGTGGCGGTATCTGGCCAGCATTGGTTGCATTGCCACCATTGCGAGCGGCCAGCATGGCAGCACGCTGCTGCTGGAGGCGCTGGATAACCTGCAATTGCTGCAGATGCTGGGCCCCAAAGATGTGACCGCTGAGGGCGCCGCCGAGCGTGTTCTTCAGGCTACTATCCTTGTAGCCATCGGGCGGACTGAGTGCAGCATCGTCCACGAACTCAATGGGTGGCTGATATTTGGGGCTCTGCAAAGAGGAAGCCAGGTTAAAGAGATGAAGGTAAGGTTGGATGAATAACTGCAGCACTGCAACACCGCAAATTAAGCTAATCGAGTTACATGGTTGTGTTTGTTTCTGTGTTTATTTCGATGTGGGTTATGCAGCCAGGAGTGAGTGTTTTCCCTGGCAAATATAGATGGATTTCTGAAGCCAAAAGCCACAAGTTTTAACCACAAGGGTAATGTAAGATGACAGCTTAATACAAACCCAATGCTACTATTAATTAAAGTTCTAAGGCCAAGACAATTTAATATAATATGTGTTTTATATACTTTCTTATTGTAGAACTAAGTATATTTCACATGTAAGGCAAAAGTACAATCACTTTTAGTTAGTTTATCAACTAACTATGTTTACTAACATTCTTTCAAGAATGAAGAGAAACAAATGAATGCTTTCTTCTTTTATTTGTGAGAAACTCTTCTGTTTGAATAGAAGAATCCCTTTTGTTGGCTTAGTTTTAAAACGAAAAGCTCTGCTTTTTATGGTTATAAAATATCATGTCACATAAAATCATGTACATATTTTTTGTCAGCAAGTCCTACCACTTTTCCGGCTGAAAAAACCCAGCTGAAGTTGTAAAAAGCCAAAGCGAAATCCTGCCACACAGCGACAGCGACAGCAAAGGAAGTGCACAAGAGTTATGTTACACACATGTGTATCTGTGTGTGAGTGGCACTCAAAAGGATGGGATGGGATATGGGCTTCGAATTCCATACCCAATTCCCCGGGGGAACTGCCCAAAAAAATAAAATCCTGTTTATTTGCAAGTGTTGCAGCTAGCCTGCTGCTGCATCGTCTAGACAAGGATCTTCCCGGCCGAGACTTCTTCCTTTAAGGAACTAGGAACACACATCCTTACCTATTTTAGTTTTATTTTGGGGGGGGGGTGTAGAGTCCTGCCATAACTCTCTCGGGAAAACTTTTGCATAAATGCGGTGTCTGCTTTTTCCGAGAGGAAGTAGATGCGGCGGATGCGGATGTGGCTAGCTGGTTGTGTGTGTGAGAGAGAGTGTGTTATGCAATGCACTGGGTAAACTTGTTACACACACTAAATGCATATTAAACTCTTCAGAGAGCACACACATATCCTGATTCAAGACACAGCCTAGAAGGGGACGCACTTGAGCAGCGCCAAGTCAAGTGCATTGGGCATTGCACTGAGCAAAAACCCGCCTCTATTAGGTCACACAAATTTATGAAATTATATATACACATATATCCCTATACTATACTGGAAGTTGAAACTTTTGCACCATGCACCAGGCACTCTTGTTGCCCAGACAGGACGAGGGAGAGACAGAGTGGGAGCAGATAAGCAAAAAAGCGGCGCACTCAAGTGTCGCTTATGTGGCAGCAAATTGAAATTTAAACGCAGCTCGAGGGCCGCTCAGGATCGATACGAGTGTCGAGGTGAGAGCGGCAATGATGATAATGATGACGCTGACGAGGACGAAGACGAAGACGAAGACGAAGAGACTAGAGAGTGTTGAGGAGGTTAGGAATCAGGGAAGGCAGTCAGAGTGGAAGGAAGAAAGGTCCGAATCAAGGCAGGCAACTTTCCTGAATGTCCTTAACACATACAACGCGCTCGCTCAGCTCATCACACACCCAAGCGACAACGATGACGATGACGCCCGCAATTCATAAAACAATCCATCACTGGCAAACACTGGCGATGTCGAAGGATGGCCAGGACAGAGAGACAAACAGACAGACAGAACAACAACACACAGAGACAACAATGTTGTGCTGCAGTTTCAAGTTACTGGCACAAGAAAAGCATTTTGTATAAAAGTTCTTAAGTGATTTATACACACTTGCCAATAGAGAATGCGAGGACAAACTCGCAGCTATTATGTGTGTTATGTGCCATCCGCACAATGGCCCAGCGATGCCATGTATCTGCGTATCTCCGTATCTGTGTATCTGTGTATCTGTGCCTGCGTCTGTATCTGTATCTGTATCTGTGTGTGCGGCTTGACTCCTACTTGACTGCCACTTGGGTGGTAAGAGAGAAGGGGCGACAAATCGAGGACACTGGGGCCGCTGTGCTTTTGTCCTGAGTCCTACACCCTACCCCCCTCTAGACCGATAACAAAAGTTGGACAGCCCTGCGTTTTGGCCGTAATTAACATGGAAAGGCTGGCATGTCACACCCTCCCCAGTCATGGCAAGGAGATAACGTTGAATTGAAAAGGAAAACAACTCCAGGCTCCTCCTAATTTGCAAGTGTTTCAAGACAAGGCGACATCGCCAGCCTCAAGTCATCACTCTGGTTGAGTAAATGATAAACCAACATTCAAAGCCAGACAGACAGACAGACAGACGGTAATCTGACTGAAATTCCCAAGAAAAATAGTCTCTACTTCTAGTTTGGGAATCAAATATTGAAAGCCAGCTGAGAAATCAATTTAATTTGGGAATAATATATATGTACATATGTATGATAATCAAGAGGTTACTTAAGCTGGATTAAATATTATGTACATGAAAAATCCATATATAAATCTATATTTTGTGTGAATATATAGAACTATTATCGAAACCCAATGTTTTAATTACTGATTGATATTTGGGAAATGGGAAAAAATCTTAGAGAAATTCTATTGATAATATCAATATTATATTTTAATTTACGATCAATTTATATATCAGATTACTGCAAACAAGGTCGATATAACGATCGATTAAGAAAATAGGAAGAAAGCATTTTACTCCATAAAAATCATCATAACTAAGCCAAAAATGCACTAAATTCACTTCGGAAAACTGTTCTGTGTTAGTTTTTATAATGTTAATAAATCTGCATACTCAAATTAAAATTTTAAAAAAGTTAAATTTTGTCAAATTTTGTGGAAATTTTTACGATGCAACCCCTTAAAAAATGTTGAAAAATTTTATAATTTTTTTCTCCTGCCTGAGATAGCTAGATCGATTCTCCTGTTGATGCTGATCAAGAATATATATGATTTATAGGGTCGGAAATGATTCCTTCACTGCGTTTTGACCTTCTGAATGAAATTTGAGTACCTGTCAAGGGTATTAAAATTTAGCTTATAAAAACATGATGTGATATGATATTAACATCGTAATAATAATATTTTATGGTAAATCTATATTTTCTATACAATTTTAAGCTTGATATATGAAATTCGACTTATTTTTGGTGATGATTGCTTCAATTATGCTTTCATTCTTCACCTGCCTTTGCTTTATATGTATTCTTGGCTGTAATTCTCTTATTTTGCCTAACGAGCCACGTTGCAAGGGGAATATATAGCAATATATAGCAACTAAGTATGAAAAATCAGCAAGTCTTCCAACTTAAACTTGACATAGCCATCATCGTCGAAGAAAACGGAGTAGAAGTGCACAAAGTGAGTAATAAACCAATTTAAGTAGTCACCTAGCCCGAATGAAATGGGATAGTAAGGAAGGACCAAGGTGTGGCTCGGGTTGCCCCCTCATTAGCCGGAGTCCAGACCCAGACCCGGACCCGGACCGGAGTCCGAGACGCTGGCTAATCAGCTTATGCAGTCCCGGAACCGGACAGAAAGAGAAACGCAATCCGATTGAGTTGGAACACAAATACAGTGGAATAAGAGACCTAACTGATTAACAATACCAGCAGTTCAATAAGTACTAGCAAAGAACTATAGCTTCAAAGGTTACTGAATATTTAAAATGGAAATAAAAGAGACTCTCAACTATCTCTACTTCAAACGTAATAAGGGAGCCTAGCCAATGATGTATCTTAAAATATCCTATCTAGGAATCTTATAGATATCATCTCCCACTCACCTGTGGCGTCCGACCATCCGCAGCCTCGGCTGGATTCACCGCATAGTTGCATTGGCAACCCTCCTCGCAGCACAGACGCACCAGCTCATGTTCGCCGCAGGTGCAGGGCTCCTCGTCCTCCTCATCGTAGGCGCAATCCTCACGTATCAGTATAATGTAATCCGCCTCAAAGAACTCGTTGCGTGTCTCATCGAAGACGACACGGTTCTTTCTCGCCGGCGGCGGGCGATTTGGTTTCTTGAGCAAACCGCGCAGCTGGCCGTTGACCTCGCGCATCGTGTGGCCGTCGCTGGTAGGGATTGGAGCTAAGGGTTTAGGCGGTGGCCCTGTAACTATTAGATCTGTGCGGCTGCTGTTGCTAATCACCTCCTGCTCCTGGCTGGCTAGGCACTCATGGCACTGGCAGGCTCTGTGGCTATCGTTGTTGCTATCGTCGCTATCGGTGTTGGACTCCTCCTCCTCCTCCTCGTACTCCTCGTACTCCTCCTGTTGCTCGCTGACAAACTCGGCCAGCAGCTCGTCGTAGCACTGAAAGGTGCTGCTGATGGTGGTCTCTCCACGATTCACAGGCTTAAGATCCGTGTGGTGGCAGCTCCTCCTGGTGGCTGACTGGCTGGTGCTCCACTGCAGCTGTCGGGCGGCCTTCAAGTACTCGCTAAAACGCTGAACATCGAACTCACTGAGCGGTGGCCCAAAGAGGTCCTCCTCACCGGCATCCGCTGCCTGGAGCTGGTGGAGCTGATGGAGCTGCTGCTGCTGCTGCTGATGATGATGATGATGGTTGTAATCGTCGCGATGCTGCTGTCTGATTGCTGGGACAAAGGCGCTCCTAATCCTGATGCTGCTTCTCCCTGCAGCCACCTCCTCCTCGTCCGTTTCGATTTCAATCACCACTTGGTCGCTGGTCTGATTTGCCGAACCCAAGCACGAGTCCTCGCTCGGCACCTCGTCCTCGTCCTCGTCCTTGCTCTCCTCGCACCGGCGCAGTGGCAACTGAAGCACTGGCTCACCAGCAGTTGGCGTTCTCAGCAAAGTTGCCTGGCAATTTTCAGCTGTGACTGGTTTTTCGCTTTCATTTGGCAATTGCTGCAATGGAATACAATCGGCGTCTAATTGGATTGCACTTGAGTCTGCTGTTGCAACCGTCTTATTGTCCTTCTTCTCAGTCGAATCCTTTCCAGCTTTCAGAGTTTGGGTTTCACTTTGGGGTTGAGCCTGGGGTTGGGGCTGGTGTTGGGGTTGGGACTGGCTCTGGCTCTGACTCTGGCTAGTGGCCTCTTCTGCTGGGGGTGGTTTCTTTGTTATGCTTATGGTTTGTTGCTGCTCCTGCTCCTGCTCCTGCTCCTCCTCCTTCTGCTTCTCCTGCTCCTTCTCCTTCTCCTTCTCCTGTTCCTGTTGTTGTTGTGGTCTCAAGGATGCCTTTACACAATCAATGTTACTACTCCCGCTGGCCACGCGTCCCTGAAAATTATACTGCAATCGCTTCAAACGCTGGCTGGCCACAAAGTCCTCGCCCAACTCCAAATCGCATTCGAAATCGATGAGATCCTGGTCACTGCTGCAGCTTGTTGCTATTACAGCTGCTGCTCCAACCACAGTATGTCCCTCAATGGACTCGAAATCGATGAGCTTCTCAGTGGAAGCTGGCGGAGATTGCTGCGGGTCTGACGCTGCTCTCACGTAATCCACGTAACCGCCAGGCACACTTTGTGGTGGGCGGACAACAGCAGCAATGCCACCGACAGCGACATTATCACCCAAAAAATATGGGTGGCTGGTGGGGGCTTCTGCTCCTCGCTCTCCTCCTCGCTGCTCCTGCGAATATGGCAATGACAATGGCGCCTGCCCCGACTCCTTCGACTCGTGCTCCTTGCTTAAACTTAACCCTGTCGCTGCTGCAGGTGCTTGAGTGGCTACCTTTGGTGCTGCTGCTGCTGGTGTTGCTGCGTTTGCTTTTGCTGTTGCTGTTGCTGTTGCTGTTTTAGCTGCTCTTTCTGCCTTGGCACTTTGCACATTTTCACTGGTATTAAAAAAAAAACTATGATTATCGAGCCCGCGCCTGCCTTTTTGCACAAATTTTTCTGTACGTCGCGCGACGTCGCCTAACGACTTCTCCGCCGGAGTGGCCCTGGTACTGCCCTGCTCTGTTCGCTCTGGCTCTGATTCTGGTTGGCTTTCCACCGATTTTTCACTGAATTTCAATAAAACTATGCCAGCATGTCCAGATTTTGGGCCAGAAACGCTAGACGGATGGCTAATGGGCTCGGACTGAGGCTTTGACACGGACTCGGACTCTGTCTGTGGCTGTGGCTGTAGCTGTAGCCTCTGCTGCTCAGCTGCGACGACTACTGCTGCTGCTGCTGGCACAAGGTTGGCTTTGGAAAGCTCACTGCCAATTGTAGGTATTGAGCAGGCGCTGCTCCCGTTACCATTGCCACTCTGGGCTGTCACATTGGGTGGTTGCTGCCGTTGCTGCACTGCGTCGGCGCTCATGCTCTGGCTCACGCTCTGGCTCTCACGCTCGAGTTGCGCGTACTCACATATCGTTTTCGTGGCCACTTCCGTTGCTTTTGTGTCGCCAAAGTTGTAGCCATTGTTGTTGCTGTTGCTGCCACAGTTGCTGCTGCTGCTGTTGATGTTGCTGTTGCTGCTGTTGCTGTTGCTGCTGCTGTTGCAGTTGTTGTTGCCAGTGTATTCAGCACGCGCACGCGCCTCTCCATTGACATGGTCGCGTGAGCTGCGTGCCTCGCCTACCAAGTGGTGATGGCCTAGTCCACCGCCATTACTGTTGGCCATCAACAAAGCCTGGTCAGGCATTGCTGCTACTCCTGTTCCTGCTGCTCCTGTTCCTGCTGCTGCTGCTGCTGCTGTTGCTACTTTGCCTTGACCATGGGACACCATGTTCGTCATCATCTTGCCACCGCATATGGGTGGCTCGTTTGCCAAGGACAGGGTCAGCATGTCCACAATCAGCATGATCCCACGCCTCCCCTGGATTAGATCCTTGGATCAATTAAGGGACATTTCCCATTCGGGATCAGATAGCTATCTCTCTCTCTCTATCTCCCTCCCTTTGGTGTGGGAGTCTCTTTTGTGGGGCTTTCCCACCAACAGGTTGAGTTTTTCCGCTTTTGCATAAATTAAACGCGAGTTAGATTCCGAATTTCACACACACAAGACAACGAACAGCACACACGGAGGGGAACAGGTGCGCCGGATGGTGCGGTGGTGCACTCGAGCGCATCCTGTGCGAGTGTCCCAGGACCAGATAATACCCGGCTTGGTGTACGTCGTTAGGGGGTTGACTTGCTTCGAGTGTTACGCGCCAGCGAGCATTGCTGGCATTCTTGTTTTTATTTTTTTATTTCGTATTTTTTCACCACCAAAAAAACACACAAGAGAAAAACAGAGCACGAAACATAAACAAAATACGAGAAAATTATCGCTGCTATTTTCGGGTTAATTTTCTTGGATAGCTTGCTAGTTTAACCACGCGTCGCACGTCCGAACGCGTTTCGTGACGGAAGTCGAATGAGCAAAGGCAAACCGAGCCCAGTCTTTAGCCGGCCTCAGTCTCAGTCTTTGCCGCGATCTCGGCCTTTTTTTCTCTGCCAACGTCGTCGCACAGTGGTCTCAAATCAATGCCCTAAACGGGGATCAGTTTCAAGGGAGTATCTGTGGGATGTGGGAAAAGGTTGAACTTTAGTCAAACCTAAAATAAAGCTGATTTCTTTGGTTTCCGGTCTAGCTAACAGAATATGTTTTAAATGCAACATTAGGAAATCAGAACTTCTTGAGAACTATAACTAATAAATCATTAATATCTTGAAAACCTTGTTGAATTCTCTACTATTTCATTTTTATAATGTTAAGCTTACTTTTTGTATTAAAAGTCATAACAATTGATGCTTGAATATCCTAAAAATATTAAAAATATATGGAAGTAAATGGATTGTTAACAGTTAATCCTATATATCATATTACTATTATATATATTTTTTTAATGAGAAATTATTATTGATGACCTTTATATTTCCACTTTTTTTACAAAACTGACAGCTTCTTGAAGTTCTCCACCTGCACTGATCCACTGTGCACCGTCGCTTTCTCTGCCAGCGTCACCGTCTCGGGGGCGCATGCGCAAAAAACCGAGCAAAGCGGCGAAGAAAGGCCGTAAAAAAAACAGAAGCGGAGACAGGCAGCAAAGGTGGTTGTTCGGTTGCATGCAAACCGACCAAAGAAAGCAGGGGTCGGAAATGCCTCAGTAGCTACTAACTAGCATTTAGTCATGGAGGTTAAGATAGGCTTTAACTGATATTTAATCTAAATATGTAAAGCTGCAGGCTCTCCCTTAAACACCAGCTTACAAGACTCAAAAAACACTCAGGACACAAATACGCATCGTATTTACTTTCGTAACACTACAGCAACAAAAGATAATATTACTATATTAAAATATTTAATATATATAGTATATTCAATCGGAAATCGATCATAAATAAGCCAAAATGCATTAATTTCAAATCAGAAAACTGTTCTGTGTTGGATTTTATTAGATAAACAAATCTGCATCACTAATTTAAAGTTTAAAGAAACTAAAATTTTTATGATATTTTTTGGAAATTTTAACCCCTTATAAAATTTTGAAAATTTTGGTCAAATTTTTTTTTCACCAGACATGGCTAGATCGATTCGTCTTTTCATACTGATCAAGAATATATATACTTTATAGGGCCGGAAATGAGTCCTTCACTAAGTTTTAGACTTCTGACTAAAATTAGAATACCCTGAAGGGTTTAAATTAAATAAGCGTTATAGATAGTTGTACGATGCCCATTTCATATGTATTTTTATTTTACCTATTACAATTTATATTTTTTATATAATATTTATTATATATTGTTTTTATATAATATTTTATAAGACATTGAAGCAAGAATGTTATGGTATTCGCTTAAAATCTTGCCAGAAATTGACTTGTTAAAATAAATAAAAAGTCTGATACGGAGGTATATTTAATATATATTATATAGCTTTAATATATATATATTTTCATAGCTGTCAGCACTAATGGTCGTCGTTGTGGGGGGCTGGGGGTCACAGTGTGAGAGCGAGTGGCAAAGGGGTCTCCCCGACGTTTTAATGACGGTTCGTCGGGGACAGATCGCCTGCTCACTCCCTCAGAATGGGCGACAGTTTGGAATTACGCACCGGCGGAGTACTTCATGACCACGTCTCGGACAAGACCAGTGGACGCCGCCCATTCGGGTCGCGGGTCCAAAGCCATAACCGACGTGCCCAAGTCATAAAGACGGCTAGAAGCGGCGGTAGCAAAGATTTGGATGATCGTGATCATAATGAAAGTGATTAGACTTATAATAATGATGCGGGCACAGGCACACAAATATGTCACACTTGGTGGCTCCCCTGCAAATGCCGTGAGATATGTGTGTTGACAACGGAACCCATTCACATTATCTCTTTCACACATACTATATAGTTATGATCTAGGCTAATACGGAGTTACCTGTTCAGAGCAACTAAAAGAGAACATGACAAGTTAATTAGCATTTAATTCAACAATTTCTCATTAAATTATTAGGATGATGCATTTAAATTAACGATCTGCCTTTTAATTATGAAGAATGTGTGGAAGAAACTGTGAAAGCTATAAAATAGGCTTTAATTTAATGTGAATTTTATGATACTATTATATTTAATTTAATGGAAATACAGATTGGAATGTATAGAACAGAGGGCAAAAATCATATAGAGACCTCCTTTTTAAGCAGGCAAGAAACTCCCAAGCTTTTCTTATATTTATGTTTCTAAATTAGTATTTAAGAATAAAGATTATTTATCCCTTAAAGCTAAATAATGTCACATATAAATAGAGAATATTCTTCCCCATCTTGGAACCGTTTGGGTCTGGCTCTAAAAACATGGGTATTCGTCTCAGGTTCTTAATAAAATTTCCCTTGGCTTGGTGGTTTTATATAAGGTGTCGGGCACACACAATCGACCATCAAGTGATCCGATTTGGATCTCCTCACACTCTCCAGAGCTTCAGATCTCCGGTTTCAAGTGAGTACTTGCTTTACATTCAGACGTGAGTATATAGGAAAGATTCCACGTACTTACTAACCCCATATAAAACAGACTCATTACCCCGACAAAGACGAAGACGACGACGACGATGATAATCATGACGATGATGACAGGCCCCGGGGTTCCGTGGTGTGCACGGAGTGTGTAGTATAGTGTGTGCTTTTATATTCCGGGGCAAAACTTATTACTAAGTAGGAACAGATCGCAGAGCAAACTGAATGAATGGAAAATTGTGGGAACAATGGAGCCCCGAGCGTTTGCCGAGAGCGTGAGAATTTGCCACCGCCAACGCGGGCTTCTTTTGGCCAGAGATCTTTGGAAGTACCAACTCCGAGCACCATGCACCGAGCTCCGTGCTCCCAACTTCGAGGCTGTTTAGCACACAATGCCGCCATTAAAGGTCGCACTGTCCCCGAGAGTCTCCCAGGCCATGTTATATACTACAGCCAGCGCCATCGTCGTCGCCATCGCCTTCAGTTTGAAATCCCAGCTCCCATGGATACATACATATGCATACCCATGCCCATGCCATACCCTCTTCTTCTGGGCAAGAGTTGCGCTGATCCAAAGCCAAATTGCCGTCTTTAAGTTGACTAATTTTCATTTTGGCCGCTGCATTTTTCCACTTTGCCATCGTGTATGGGCCCTCAAATATGCGCATAATTCGAATTCTGTCTTAAGTGTATGTGCGAAAAGATAACTCAGTCCCTCACCAAGGGTTTTCCATTTTCCGGGCGAGTTCAAGGCGAGGTTCGACAAGACACACTCGTCGCCGGTTCAATGTCTCTGCGCCGGGTCTCCGCCGGGTGTGCGTGACTCCGCATTGTAAGTGGAACCATTGCACCAAGTCGATGGGAAAACCATGGCTGACTTGGCAATTATAGGTTGCCATTTCGGTTAACATATTTTTTCCAAGCTGAAGATTCCGAGGAGTTTGAAAATCCAGAGATCTAGAAGAAAATATAAATCTAACTAGAACGATAACATGAACCACTTCCCTTTGTTAATAATTACATTTTTTGGCTTACAAAATCATTAAGCGAGTTCCTCTTAAACGGCGGCCATAAAAACAATTTAGATGTAAGAATTGTCATTAGAAGGAAATCGCTTACATCGCCACCGGGGTCCAAGCTTAGCCCACATCCGATTCTACAGAGATCCCTCAATGAACATGTTTGCTTAGGCACTGGGAGAAAAGAGAGAAACATATAGTTATTTATGATATAAAGCAGATCTATGTAGAGTAAAACCCTTAAGTTGAAAAGTATTTATAAAGCTTAAGTCTCTAATTATAATTACAAACTAGTTAGAACATTGTTAAAGATTGTTTTCCATTTATATTTTATATTTTGAAATGAGGCAATATTGATGTACATATATAGTACATGGTATAAACCAGATATTTGTTAGGTAAAGTTATAGTTTAATATTTTTCAAAAAACTCAAGGCAGCATTTCTTATAGAAAATATTTAAAATATTATTTAAAGACTGATTTCAATTTTATATTTAATACTATCCAATTAATGTTTACTGAGGCACAGGAACATCGAAGTTTAGTTGGTATAAACCTGATCTTTGTTTGGCAAAAGCTAAAGTTTAATATATTTTATAAAGTTTAAGGGCGCATTTCTTTTTACAAAATATTTAATAATATATTTTAAAAGTGCCTTATATTTTTAATAATATTTTTCAAGTGCACTTTGTTTGCTTTCGATGCCTCACTTTGCCAACATCATTGTCGTCTTGGGGTTCGGTCTCCCCCCTGTCCCGCATCAAATTCACCTAACTGACTTTTAATTGTTTAAGACGTCCAAATGAGGGGGGAAGAGGGGAGAAAACGGCGAGTGGGACTATGGGTGAGTCGGTTTACCCCATCTTCAGTCGGTGTCGGTGTCAGTGTCGGTGACAAAAGACAAACAAACGAATCTCGGACTCATGCAGAGTAAAGTTGCCATTCCTTGTGTGTTGTTGTGGCATGTAACTCAATTTACAGCCGAAGCCGCCGCCGTCGCCATCGCCTTTTTGTTGTAAGCAGGAAAACTCGCTATGTTTTTACCTGTTGGTCATATCTCTATCATGATCTCGGCCAGAGATTTCCTGGTACTTGCATAACACACAGTCCAACTGGCCATATACACACGAGCCTATCATCTGGAGGGGATGATTAACGAGACAAATGGGAGACTAATTCGAAGGATTTGCTAATGACTTACGATTTTGAGGCGTCACTATCTTCTGGGTTCGTGTGTCTGGTCATTTTTTAATGGCTTTTCCATTTATGCATTGTATTGTTGTTGCATTGTTTACCTTTCCCGCTCACATGCCGGGGAGTTCCCTTAATCAAACTTAACCAAACAATTTAGCTATTTAAATAATACATTAATTAAAAGAACAATATTTTTAAGGGATATGCAAGTGCAAATGAAATAAAAAGAGGATTACAATTCTTACTATAATTATTTATTTATTAATGTTAACTGAAGTTGCACGTGGTTTCCGGTGAAAGTTAAGATAACACCACTATAGAACTAGTACCCAGAACTTTAGGGTTAGGTTTAGAATTTAAGTTGTCAGAAGTTTCTTTTGACTTATCCCACAACTTTTCCTGTTTCATATTTAAAATTATAATAATAATAAGCCTAACCTAAACAATATAAAAATTATAAATTATAAAGTTTATAAAGTTTAACCGATATCGGACTTATAGACATTATGCAGCACTGCTTCGACACGCGGGCCAATGCTAAATATATCGATAAGTGACGCTTGCTCGATCTTTCTTACCGCGACATCGTTGAGCTTAAGACGTGCAACCGGCGTGCATTGCTAAAAAAATAATTTAAAAAGTGCATTCAGTAAAGTTTAAAACGAACAATAACCATGTCTCAGGAATTTGACAAACCAGAGTATCAGGACTTCTACGTTGACGATGACGCAATCGTCGAATTCCTGGAAAGGAGCCTGGCCCAAGTGGTAAGTTGCATGCAAAGTTCTCGCGAAAAAGCACGTGTTACCTGCCCCACCGTCTCGCTGCTGCAGCTCGTCGAAACTGCACAGATAAAAGTTGATCTGGAAGAGCTTCAGGAGGAGCAGAAGAAACTGCAGGCGGAGCATGAGAAGAGCTGCCTGTCGAACGTCCCGCTGGATATATTTCCCGACGAGATGAATCTGATGCCTCGCCTACAGCAGGTGACCGAACAGGCTGAAGAACTCTTGGCTCATGTCACAAAACTGATCGATGCCAAGGCCAACGTGAAGAAGTCCTACTACCAGGACAACGATGAGGGCAAGGATGCCACGAAGAAAAACTTGAAGACGCTTCACAACCTGGTGGTATGTATGGAGCACCCTCTTCATCATCCTCTGTCTAAAGTCTGCATATTTATTTTTTAGGCTTACAAAAGTGTAAAGGAAACCATCTATGACAGTGAACACACTGTTACTGACGACATGTCGTCCGACGAAGAACTGTCCAACTTGGACGAGGAATGCGATGTCAACAACGTCGCCATGATGATGGAAGAGATGGATATGTTGAATCAGATCCACAAGCAAGCCACGTAAGTTTTAAATGTATCTTAACATTTCTTTAGTTTCTGAAAATTGTGTTCTCTTTAATTCAACACAGTGAATCCATGCAAAACAGAAGGCTTGAGGCCGGCGGTCCTACCGATGGCTTTTCTAATAGGTAAGTCTTAGCTTTACCTTAATATTTCTTTAGTTTCCTGAACTTTGGTTATCTTATTTCAAAACAGTAAAATCCTAGAGAGATACATGCTGGCAGAAGCTCCAAGCAAGGAAGAGCCTTCCAATTGAGAGTTTCTTTATAAAAATAACCAAAATTACTTTGCCACTGAAGGTATTCCATCCGGGTACAAGTACGCAAAGTTCCTACCAATTTTTATGTTTAAGTTTTCACGATGTGATTTTTTTTTTCAACATTAACATTTAAACTGAAAAGGAAACAGTGGCCATACACAAACATTTTTTTTGTTTTTTTTTTTTTAGAAATTATAAATCGAAGTTGAAAGTTTCGTAAATTCTAACCTGAGAGCGGAAAATCTTGGGTTACTTGAACTTTGGTTATTTTATTTCAAAACAGTAAACTCCTAGAGAGATATTGGCTGGAAGAAGCTGCAAGAAAGGAAAAGCCTTCCAATTGAGAGTTTTTTGGAAGTTATTGAAGCATTTATTTATAAAATTAACCAATTTTTACCACTGAAGATTCCATCCGGGTACACGAACCCCGAAGTACGCAAAGTTCCTACCAATTTTTATGTTTAAGTTTTCACGATGACGACGATATTTGAACTGAAAAGAAAACAGTTGCCATATAAAACATTTTTTTAGAAACTATAAAATAAAGTTGAAAGTTTCGTAAAATCTAAATAATTACTGAAAACTAAAAACCTAAGTTATGAAAAACAATGTTTATTTTAATACTTGAACAAATGTGAAAATGTATCAAGCACTTAATCATTCTAAATAAAAATAAATAAAATTTATTTTCAAAAAAATAAAGTTGAATGATTTCTTTGGGCATAAAAATAACTAATGTTAGTATGTTTACTTAACACAAAATATCACTAGAAATATGATTTCTTTATGGATTTCTATACCATTGCTGGGTAAATAATTATAATCAGAAGTTAAAACAACATCAAATCGGACGATAGTAATAGCTGCCATAGGATTGGTAGAAGTAAAGGAAAATGCAAACCTGCAACTATAAAACTGTCAATATATGTTTAAATAATTGTAATAAATGTAATGACATTACTTTGTTGTTTTTAAAAATATTTGTTTATATTTTGTGTTATATTAGACATTTCAGGTATGATATAATTACCGTATACTATTTCATAGTTATGTGTTGATATCAAAATGTATAGTCATATTTAGATATCTCTTGTTAGTTATTTTTCCTTGATCAAAATGTATTGATTCTTACTGCTCCAATTGCAATCTGCAAAGATATTTATGTACAAATGTAGCCTCCAATATTTTTAAATATTTAAATATCAAAAGCTTTCGGTGTGGCGCCAAGTTTCACTTCCACCCACAACCATTGCTGGCATTTCTGGCCAAAACCAACACGGTCTAGAGGTGGAGAACTATCGATAGTCGTCGCCATCGATAGTGAGCGATTATTTTTCTCAAACCATCGATAGTGTCGATAGTACTATCGGTAGTGTTATGCTTTTGAATTTTTAGATGTAAAAAAAGCTATAAAATGAAATTTGAACAAAACTTTATTATATTTTTAACTCTTTAAAAATAAAAAATTAATTAATTTATTTATTTTTTTGATTAGGGATTGTATAAAAAGTACATCGTCGAACTGTGTATTCGAGCGGAAAAGAAGTACAAAACTAATTCTTTTTTAAAAAGAGCATTAGGAGATTTTTACTTTCAGCTATACTTTAGCTTTTCACTATATTTTGGCGTTCCACTTTCAACTTTATTTTTTCTGTGATGTGATAAGCCGCGTGCAAAACTATCGATAGTGCAGGGCTGCCATCGATGGCGGTGCGATAGCGCCAAACCATCGATAGTGTCGATAGTGCCATCGATAGCTCTCCACCTCTAACACGGTCACACTAACGTTCGGCGTTTTGTTGTGAAATTTACCTGACTTACCTTACCTCGCCTTACCCCCCAAACCGTGGACATGGATGAATCCTCGCGCCAGCACATGGACGACTGCTTCCTGCGCAGCCCCAGCGACGTGCGGACCACGTGAGTGGAGTACTTTTAACCTCTTATAAGCCGATCCACTTAACGTCACCCACGAATCTCTTGTCACAGCAACGTGCCCGCAGCACCCAAGTCCCAGGCGGACAACAAGTCGCGCAAGACGGAGCTGCATGTCCTCCGGCTAAACGACGAAAGCCGCCAGATGACCATGGATACGCTGCGCACCATCCACGGGCCGGACTTCAAGCTGGACGATATCAGCAAGTACAAGGATCGTGGCAGAGGCGGTCACGGGGTAAAGCATTCGTACTGGCAGGATCGCGGCACATTAGTGGTGCAGAGCGTCCAGGGTGTGAGTACTAGCCGCGGTGACAATAGCGATGGAGACCGCCTTCGCCGCTACGCTCTGGCCAAGCTGGAGAACTACGGCTTTCAGGCCGTCCACTGCCTGGAGGCGTACGAGCATTGCTCCGGCGACACAGAGGCCGCTTTGCTGCTGCTCTACCGCCGCTATATGCGTGTGCCGGAAACGGAGCCTACGCATTTGGAGGCGCCTAGCGAAACAGAGCTACTGGACATGCGGGCGGATGAGAAGGAGGCCCTGGAATCTATTTACGACAAGGCGTATGAGGAGCGCGAACGGAACTGCGTGTGGAACCTCAAGTTCCGCATTGATCATCTGCTGGCCCACAGTCCCTCGGAGGTGCGAAAGGCCCGAGAGGCAGTTCTGGCTGCCGCTGCCCAGGCGGAGCTGGACAAGAAGAAGAAGGCGCCGCAACGTTGTCGGAACTTTGATCGCGATGGCACCTGCCGGTTCGGTCCCAAGTGCCGCTTTGCCCACCTGCCACCGCAGCCTACAGAAAAGGAGGCAGCGCCGAAGAAGGGTGACGGCGTCGACGAGAACGACAACGAGCTGTGGTTCCATGTGGAGGTACGCTTCCCGCCCGGCAGTCGATATCCGTACGAGGCACCCTACATCTACCTGAAAACCACCTGCCACGACATACCGCATGAGCTTCGCCTGCGCTATTCCCGTCACCTGTACCGAGAGGCCAGGGAGATCTGCCGCGACGGAATACCCTGTGTGTTTAGCATTTGTGACTTGTTGCAGTCCAACGAGCAGCTAGCCGGACATCTGGACACCGCACCCTTTCCCTCACCAAAGCGCTCGATCTTCCACGACGAACCGGAGGGCGGTGGGCAAGATCTGGATGGCGCCGGTCAACAGGCTCCAAAACCCTCGCACTACGCCCGTGGACAGACATCGCGGAATGATGGTGGCAACCAGCGCAACGCTGAGGCACAAGCGCGTGAGAATCGACGCCTGCTGCAACAGTTTGTGGAGAGGCGAAAGGAGGAGCGGTACCAGAAAGTCATTGATGGCCGGAAACAGCTGCCCGCCTTCGCCGAGATCGAACGTATTCTGGCGCTGATCGAGAGCTCACCGGTGGTGGTAATATCCGGAGAAACGGGCTGCGGCAAAAGTACTCAGGTGCCGCAGTTCATCCTGGACAATTGGTTCTTCCGCGCCCTCCAGCTGCCCGCCAAAGAGAATCTTCCCCACGTAGAGATTATATGCACGCAGCCGCGTCGCCTTTCGGCCATTGGAGTGGCGGAGCGAGTGGCTGCCGAACGTCTGGATCGTATTGGCCAGCTGGTGGGCTACCAGATCCGGCTGGAGAACAAGGTGTCTGCAAGTACGCGACTCAGCTTCTGTACCACTGGCATTTTATTGAGACGCCTAGCCTCGGATCCATTACTGGGCAGCGTCACGCATGTAATTGTGGACGAGGTGCACGAGCGATCTGAGGAATCGGACTTTCTGCTGCTTATCCTCAAGAATCTGCTGCAGGAGAGGAAGGATCTCAAGGTGATCCTCATGTCGGCTACTCTAAATGCCGCTCTCTTCTCCGATTACTTTGGTGGAGCGCCCGTGCTGGATATTCCGGGTCGCACCTTTCCCGTGCAGCAGCTCTTCCTGGAGGACATTCTGGATATGAGCGGCTTTGTTATGGAGTATGACACTAAGTACTGTCGTAAGCTGAAGAAGCAGGAGCAGGACGTGCTGGAAAGAGAGCTGGAGTACGCCGATGTCCAGGCGTCGGGTCAGGCGCCGGGCAAGAAGATCAAAGACGAGAAACTAACTCTGGCCGAAACCTATCAGCGTTATGCGGGTAAGTGATGGTCAGAGAGCATCCTGTCCCAAAAAAAATTCGCTATATCCTCTATCCTTTATCCTTTCTTAGAATACAGCAAGCCGGCGTGCAAGAGCATCTACCTGATGGAGCCGATGACCATTAATCCAGAGCTTATCGAGTCCGTGCTCAAGTACATTGTCGAAGGTTCCCACGACTGGCCCCGCGAGGGCACCATCCTCATCTTTTTGCCCGGTTTTGGAGAGATCCAAACCGTGCATGATTCCCTTCTGGATCACGCACTCTTTTCGCCCCGCGCCGGCAAGTTCATCCTGGTGCCGTTGCACTCATCGCTGTCGGGCGAGGATCAGTCGCTGGTCTTCAAGAAGGCACCGCCTGGCAAGCGAAAGATTGTCCTCAGCACGAATATAGCGGAAACCTCGGTGACCATTGACGACTGTGTGTTCGTGGTGGACTGCGGCCTGATGAAGGAGAAGTGTTTCGATTCAAATCGCAACATGGAGTCGCTGGATCTGGTCTGGGTCTCCCGCGCGAATGCCAAGCAGCGCAAGGGTCGAGCCGGTCGTGTGATGCCCGGTGTGTGCATCCATTTGTACACCAGTTACCGCTACAGTCACCACATCCTGGGCCAACCGGTGCCAGAGATCCAGCGAGTGCCGCTCGAGCAGATTGTGCTTCGCATCAAGACTCTGCAGACGTTCGCCTCCCGAAATACGTTGTCCGTTCTGCTCGAGACTTTGGAGGCGCCCACGGAGGACAGTGTGCTGGGTGCCCTAACCCGATTAAGAGATGTGGGCGCCCTGGATGCCGATGATCAGCTGACGCCGCTGGGTCATCATCTGGCCGCCCTGCCCGTTGACGTGCGTATAGGAAAGCTTATGCTGTACGGAGCTATCTTCCAGTGTCTGGACAGTGTGCTGACCATTGCCGCCTGCCTGAGCAACAAGTCACCGTTTGTGAGTCCCTTGAACAAGCGAACGGAGGCGGATAGGTGCAAACGAATGTTTGCCATCGGAAACAGCGATCACCTCACCGTGCTGAATGCGTACAGGGTGAGTTTCTACTATCTTTCAATCCCTCCACCTTCTAATCTCTTATCCCAAACAGAAATGGCTTGATGTGGCACGGAGGGGAAACTTTGCGGCCAGCAGAAACTATGCCAGCGAACACTTCCTGTCGCTGAACACGCTAGAAACCATAGCCGACCTCAAGTATCAGTACCTGGAACTGCTCGTCTCCATTGGGTTTGTGCCCATCGACGTGCCTCGGAGGCGTAAGAATGCCAGTGATAATATACTACAACTTACTGGAGTAGAGCAGAATCACAACGGTGACAATAACCGCCTGTTGACCTCTCTCCTCTGCGCCGCCCTCTATCCCAATATTGTGAAGATAATGACGCCGGAACGTGTCTATGTCCAGACTGCAGGCGGTGCCGTGCCGCGTGAGCCGAGTCATCAGGATCTGCGCTTTAAGACGCGCGGCGACGGTTATGTGAAGATCCATCCTTCCTCAGTCAACTCGCAGGTGTCTGTCTTCCAGGCACCCTTCCTCGTCTACCAGGAGAAAGTGCGCACCAGTGCCATCTACATACGGGACTGTTCGATGCTGCCGCTCATTGCAATGGTTCTCTTTGCCGGCAGTGATTTTAAGGTGGAGCTGCACGACGGCGATTTCCTCTTTCTGTTAGAGAGCGGTTGGATCATACTAAAGGCCCACGACCTCGAGACTGCCGAGATGGTGCAATGCCTGCGGGCGGAGCTGATCAAGCTGTTGGAGGAGAAGATACGGGATCCGTGCCTCAATCTGTTGCACCACAAGAACGGTTGTCGAATGATTGGCAACATAGTTCATTTGATAAGCAAAAATAGCTGAAAGTCCTTGTCTGTTCTATAAATCGTTTGTATATTTTGTATTATAGCTGTTATAGCCGATATTTAAAATGATTTATCTGATATATATACGAAGATATACGCCAAAACGAGAGCAATAATACACACCGAAAATGAAGGCTTTAAAAATGTAAATCAAAGGAGTATTTTTTAAAGGCGGGTTTAAATTAGATTTTTGGTTAAGATTTTCAAAGCTTTTATAATGAACTCCCTTTTCGTTTGCTATTTATTTCAACTGATTAATCTCATTATGTTATTAATTTCAATTGAATTCCGTTCTATGATGATGGATTACTATGCTATCCATCAAGTGATGAAAGCTATTTACTTTGATTCAATTACAGACAAGCGGAATGCAGTAAATTTTGAAGTGATTGATGGGTTATCCATGTGAAATGTACACAATGACTAATAATTATATCTTTATATCAAGAAAGGAAGGTTTTATATTATATCTTGAACAAAATATCGAACTCAATATAGAAGTATAGTAAGCTTTGATATATTACAAAATATGGCACTTAAAAATATAAAATCAAACTTATTGATTACATTTTTAATATTTTGTGTTATTCCTACCAGGAAAAATCATCTAAATGGTTTTGTTTCACTTCCTGTAGCACATTTTATAAGCAAATGAAGTTTTTTTTACATTTCTAAAATGTATATTTAAGTAATGACTATAAAGTTTACACATCAATCCATCCATCACCACTATAATTGATTGAGGCGCCCGAAATCATCACCAGCAGATGTCATGCGTACATTCCAACTCAACTAATCTATTCACGATCCGATCGGCGACTTGCAAGACAGAGACCCATGAATCGTCGGGAAATACCTTCCGTGGGCCCCGGTGGCCAGGTATCCCATCAATTACAATTCATTTAAATTTATTTAAATACACTTGGATTTGTGGCGGCCACTTTGCGGTGACAGGAGGCGAACCACAAGGAGGAGCTGTTCGGTTCCGTCGATACATCAAAGCTGGCTGGCTAGCGGCGTAATTAATTATGCTTATCAACTTGGGCTAATGCGACTAATGAATCAGTTGCCAATTTAAATAGGAGTCTCTGTGGGCCTTGACTGTGCTGCTCACTCTCCGGATCTCTCTCTGTATAAAGAAAAAATCTCGCACTTTTCGCGATATACATATGAATATATGTACAATCATATACATATAGCTTATCTTTCCAATTAAAGGCTCCACTGATCGAACACAAATGGGATATTTTAGCACCTCGTTGAGTTGTATTTGCCCGCTCTGATTTGAGGAGCAAACTCAGTTGTTTGAGGTACTACGATCTATGACGTGAAAGATATTATAATACGCAGAGTTCAGGGAGATCTAGGAACACTGGGAAAAATAAATTTAAATCGATCGAATAGGGAATAAATTAAAATAAAGAAAATATAAATACTAAACTTGAATCTCTGATAAGTACAACTTAATTATAGTTCCCAGTTTACTCTTCATTTTAGTTACTTTTTTAAATATTCCATCATATACATATGTATATTTTCAGAGTATACTTGGGGCACTTAGGTAAGTCATCGTCCGCATCATCAAATTCCAGGTGTCATGGCCAAACCACTGCTCCAAATTCTCACTCTCCTCAATTCTCCCCATTGAGATCGTGAGTTTTACTTTTTTTGCGCTAAAGCTAAAGCTTCGCTTACTCTTATCCAAAGGCGAAGCACTCGAGGCGGGCTTGTTATCAACACTATCATTGTCACTGGCGATGCCCCCGGGTGGCTATCTCCGTGTGCTCTCCGGGGAGCTTTCTCCTCTCGCAAAATCAAAATCGATCAGTGGGTAGACTCTATATAGAATGTGGAGCAGAGGAAATAAACGGAGGCGATAACTCAACTCTGATGTTGATGATCATGAGTACTTGCCCTGCTCTCGTTCGCGTTCTTCCCATTTGGAATCACTTCGGTTCGGCGTCGCCCGTTTGCAGTGATTGCACCTGCACGGTGGGCCATAGGGTTCTTTAGACTTTTGTCTATATACTGATCTATATAAATCTTCTGGTTAAATTAGTTACATCTTCTTAGGTTGTTTTTCTTTAAAGCTCCTGATCCTGATAGTAGTTTTAGCAGGATATGAGAGGCTCATCTTGCTAGGAAGACTTGTACAAATTATATTCCGAGGATTTGATTTCCGGATATAACCCATACCTGCAATATAAAATATAATTTTAGATACCATTTATCAGTGTGGAAAATTTACAAAGTTACCTCCCAAGTGTCGTAATATATTTCCTATAGGAACAATGTGGTGTACCTAAAGCCCCTCCATAAGAACTCCAGACCTCCAAGACCTCACTTGGTAATCAAAAATTTACATTTTTTTCACTGTTGACATTGGCATTGACAGTGAAGACTTTTCACGGTGCCCCAGGATTAGGCCCTGTAAGCTCCCAAGATCAAGGTAAGTCAATTGGAGGGGTGGTTCGGTGGCTTCAGTGGGTGTGACGGTGGGTGGCTCGACGGCTGCCGTTGACTACGTTTAAAGTTTGCGCTATGGTATAGTGCCCGGTGCCTAGTGCCCGTCATAAAGCACTAAAATCCGTAGACAAATCATTTGCGTTCACCACGATTGTGTGGTGTTATTGTCACAACGCAACGCATAGGTACTAGGTGTGTTCTCTTCTGGGATAGGCCGGGCTCCCACTTAGGTCTGGGTGGGGGTCTCCGGACAAAGTCGTCGGCGGTGGCCAGGCTAACGTCGATCAAATGGAAAAAATAGAGCACACAGTGGTTTGAAATGAGTAACGATTGCCATCTAATATAGGTATAATATAACAAAGATAATGGTTTCTAGTGGTAGGAAATCTATCAATAAGGTATTTATAAGTAAGAATCTAATATGATCAGGAACTAGTTAAAATAAAATTTGATATATTATATATCCATATGTTCCAAAACAAAAGAAATTATTACCTAAAACTTATCCATGACTCGATACTTGATCGCTTTCAGCCCTTTACCTTTTTTGACGTAAAGAAAAATGGGTATGTCAAGACAATATTTTAGGGTTCTATGGAAATATTTATAACAATTTATTTACTTCACTTTCAATCAAGGTTATTAGGGTGTTTGGGAAAGTCACTGTATAACTATGAATCATTGTCTAGCCTGATCAGTTCCTAGGAAAAGAGTCTGTATAATAAATAAATGTATCATACATATGTATAAGTTCAAGGTCAGGTTTGATAAAGCTTTTTAAAAGAACTTTATCTTATTAAATGTGCAATTAATTCTGGAAATTGGGGGCAATCCGGTTTTATGTCAAGCTAAATAATTGGGGAATATTGCTGATAGAGAAACATTTTAGTTATATATAAATAATTATATATAGATTATAACGCGAAAAAAAGAATTCTAAGATACTTTGATATACTTATTCGATTAAAAATAAATAATATATGTTTATTCCATTTTATCTAAGAAATAAAATATAAAAAATGATAAAAAGTAAATTATGATGTTTAGATTATTAAAATTAAATAAAAATTATTAAATAGTATTGTATAGCAAAAAAGGCAACAAAGATAACAATGATTTTTCCTTCAGATTTAACCGTGATCTCATTGAAATCACTTCATCCTTCCAGAGTAATGTACCTTTAAACTATATACAAACTATAGAAACTACCTTAATATCATAACTAAGCAATAATGAAAAAAGTATATTTACTTAAGACACTGGTAAATTATTTCAGAAATAAAATATAAGAAGAAATGTATATACCCTTGCAGTGAAAATCATTTATAACTAAGTCAAAAATGCATAAATTTTAAATCTGAAAACTGTTCTGTGTTAGTTTTTATTTAGCTAACAAATCTCCAAACTAAATTTAATATTTTAAGAAATCAAAATTTTTGCCAATATTTTTGGTAAATTTTAACGATTGACCCCTTATAAAATTTGGAAAAAAATTTTAAATATTTTTTTCGGTCATAGGTTGCTAGATCGACTCGGCAGTTGATGCTGATCAAAAATATATATGGTTTATAGGGTCGGAAATGATTCATTCAATGGGTTTTAGGCTTCTGACTACACTGCAAGGGTATACAATACAATATTAAGGAAATAAAAAGGTTTTACTTGTTTCAAATATAAACAAAGACCTAAAACAGTGATCTTGTTATTACTCTCCACTTACTTGTACTTATTCCTTCCTTCCTTCTTTGATTTGTCCCACTGTGCTGGTCCGTATTCCAGTGGTAGCAGTGATTACATGTAGAACACAAAATATATCACTGCTTTTCGCGACGATGGGCTTGTGGGAGTTCCAAGGGGTGGTAGGGGCGTACTTTGTAGTTGCCGTTTGCCAATCGCCGTTTCGACTTGATTTAGTTTTTTGTAGTTATAGTTTAGTTTAGTCAGTGCAGGGATGCGTGATGGTGCGGCGAGGGCGGGGGCTCTCCTTCCAACCACGCACACACACGAGCAGTCAGCGAATGCCGAGTGATTTCGACCTGTCTTATTCTGGAGCTGGCGAAGAGCGAGAACAGCTCAAAAGTGAGTGAGCGCCGGATTAGAGATCTCCCACACACACACACACTCAGAGACGCCGACTGAAGAGTACACGCACACAGACACACGCACGATCAGCAGTTAAAGGAGGTGGGACATTTCGCTTAATACCGCGTTCGCTGTCGCCTCGTTCGCTCCGGTTTAATTTTTTTAGCCGTTTCATACCGTCTACCGTGCGATTCCGAGCTTTTCCCGCTCTGCATTCTCCGCCGTTGCTGCTCTGATTTGTTTTCAAGTGCTATACTCACGGATTTTCGATTCAGTTTCTGTGCCGTGCCGTGTTTTTGCCATGTTTTTGTTGCCAGTCATATGATGGAGGCGTCGCAGAACGTGTCGTAGTGCTCCTTTGCCGCTCCTTCTCCCTTTCCTTCTTCCATCTCCCCTGCCCTCCTCCTGTGTTGTGTCGCGCAAAAGTGCAGGAATAGAAGGCGACGGCAGAGCCAAGCTGGGCTGAAAAGTCGTCGAAAAAGGCGCGGAGGAAAAGAAACGGAAAGAAGAGCAACTGGAATAGCGGTTCGCGGACAGGGCAGGGCAGCGACGCCGACGGCGACGCCAGCGCCGGCAGAGACTGGGAACAGACGTGAGCTTGGAGCGTTCCATTTAAATCAGAACGGTTACGGGAACCGAGAAGCGACGGAGCGACGTCACCGCCGCCGTCACCGTTAACAAAAAGTGTCAACCGAGTGCCTGCAGTGCTTCAATTCAGCGTGCGCCGCTTAACGGTAACGGTCCTGCAACGCGATCGCTCAGTTCTCTTTTGAATATTTCGCAATTTTATTCCCTACTTGCCACACACGCTCGCTCGTCCGACTCAAACACCCGAAGGAGTCCGAAGAAACATAACGGTGCGTTTGGAGTGTTTTTTTTTTTCAACCAACATTATTGAGTGCGGGTATGTTCTGAGAGTGCAACTGGAAGGAATAAGTGAAGGAACGCAGAAATCGGAGCGGATATCAAAGTGAATTTTTAATATATTAATTAATTTAATTATTTAAGAACAAAGTACTGAGTGATCGCAGTTCACTGAAGTGCAGACATTATCGCCATCCGTGCTGTTGTTGTTTTTGTTATTCTTGTTGTTGTGGTCACCTTGTTTTTTTGGTCCGCGTCTTATCTGAGTGGGACACGAAGAGTGTCCGAAACGGACAGTTAATTGCACGTCGCGAATTTTAAATCGAAAACGGACAGCGATTACGTAGCCCACAGATTAAAGTTCATAGTTCTCCTGTAGGAAAAATCTAGGAAATATTTGTGTGTTTTATTGCGATATTCTTGGAAGAAGTATTATCCTTTTAAATGTCAGATAGTCATCAAAATTAGGCAAAGTGAATATTAAATTAAATTTTTTTCTCTTTCTCCTTCTCTTTATATTTCGAATGTATTTCAAAGTCCCTCCTTAAACTTTAGACTTTGCTGATAAAAATCTTAATAATATGAGTTCATATTAAAAGTAGTTTTTTCTTAATGGCCTTTTTCACTATTTAATTAATTAAAATATTTACAAAATTAGCGGCACTTTAAAAACATGAACATTATTTTCAAATTAAGGACATTTCAGTTTTTGTTTTGTATTAAGCCCTAAGCTTTCCAGCTTTTTTTCCCAGTGCTTGCTCTTAATCCGATCAATCAATCTGTGCCATACACCACCGCCCAGTATCTGTATCTGTGTATCTGTAGCATGAATGAAACGATCTGCTGAATGCATTTAATTAACGAAATTGTTTTGCTAGGCAAAAGTGTTTGCTTAACTGTTGTTGCCATATGCAAAATTCAATACAAACACGCTCGCACCCAAGTGGAATTAACCGTTAGCCGGAGCTATAACGGTTTGTTATCGATCAGTCGATTGGCAAGCAGTCAGGCAGGGCTCAAGGCGTCTTACGGTTGTTTTAGGCTTATTACCGCTTATTGCCCCACCGCCTTCATCCATCATATAGCGAGCGTTTTTTCGGCATTTGTTTATAAACAAACATGGTAACAGAGCCGGGAAGTGATCCTCCTTAGTCCGTCAATCAGTCAAGCAGGCAGTAAGTCAGTCAGTTAGTCGGTTAGTCAGTTAGTCAGTCAGTCAATCAGTTACCCAGTTGGTGGGGTAAGGTGTTGGATATCGCAATCATCGATTCATGTGACCGAATGACTAACAATTAAGCTTCTTTAATACGCACCAGCTACTAGGGAATACGCATTACCAAGAACTCTTCCCTATCATATATCATGAAATTGGTAGTGACTTCCTTGCAAAGTTTAAGCTTGTCACTCTCCTAACGACGGTTTGGGTTAAAATTTGTTAAAGCAAGCACTCCTTGGGGATTAAAGAAAGACCATCTCCATTATTCATATCGTGTTGAACTTGATTTCCCATCTTATTTATTTGTCTAGCAAAAGAATTTCAAACTGTTAGTTATTAATTGCCGTGTTTAGCTCTGGGCTCTGACGCGTAGTCTTATCAACTAAGAAGTAGGAGTACCAAGAGTACCAAGACTATGAATCGTCATAGACAGCCACAGAGGGAGACGCGACAAGAGACATTGATAGATCACAATTCAATTAATCATCGCTTCGACTGGCTTGTAAAACAATGTCATCATTAGCAACCAATAGCCTCATCAGCCAGAGACGTATGTAGGCCTGTCTGGTATTTCCACCCAGATTTTCAGACTCCACATGGAGAGACAATGCCTGCGATTCTTGTTCCTTTTCACTGAGATTTTCCTCCTCGCCTTGGTTTTTATTATTTATTTTTATTTTTTGCTCGTTCCGGAGCAAGTGAGAAATAAAGCACGGCTCTTGACGCTCGACAACTTTTGCGATTATTTACCAAACGTGTTCATTTTGCAGTCGCCGCTATTTATTATCGATTATACGACTATTTAGCGTCGGTATATGTAAATATTTTTGTATTTAATAATTTTGTTTCACATAATATACGACGATATTGTACAAACATATCTATGGTGACTGCATAAGAGGGTCAGAGTTAATGAGTGAGGCTCTGATCTCCTTCAATCAGTTTCACAACGAGATCGATCAACTGATCAGCCGGATCAATCCATCGATCCTTTGCCCCTCGATCTTAATTTCGATGCACGGTCGCCATTAAATGGAGTCTGTTGGTTATCAATTAGTAAACGATTTTATTGTCATATTAAATGTTCTGTTGTCTACACTCCACTTGACGTCAAACATTGACTTGATTCATTTACATGATCATCGAATGTTTATCATTGTCATTATTGTTTTCTTTTGTGATTTGGGTTCGACTCAGGGTTCGGCTTGATAAAGATTGGGTCCATTTTATGGATTTACGACATGGGGCGTGGGTGAGCGCGAAATTTTAAAGTTTATGCCCCGAAGGTCTTTTAAGGTGAAAAATAGAGGTATAAGTGGGTTTTCAATAGGGAAAATAGGTTCACTATTTCTAAAAGAAACTCAAAAATGTAATTTATTAAATCAACATGAAAGATTTTCCTAATCAAAGATGTTATCCCTTTAATTTCCAAATTTCCGCAAAGCTTTTTCGTCAGAAATTTCCACTAGCAAAGAATTCCATCGGGGGCAAGCCCACAAAAAACCAAAACCCCAAAAAAAGCGTTAAAAAGATCGTTTGGCAACACAAAGCGTCATCGAAATGTTTGTTCGGAATAAATAAAAACATAAAGAAAAAAAGGAAACACAATAAATGAAAAGACTTCCATTGAACGGCGTCATCATCGCCAGTTAGTGCTCGAGGAACGCGCCCAATAGACGCCAATTTTTTAGTTTTTATTTGTTAACAAAATTATTGTAGAAGCAACGAGGCAATGCAAGAAAAACAACACTTACTCCATAGATAATTTAATAAAAAATAATTATACAATAAAGAACCCTGATAATAATAATTAAAACAGCTAAGAATCGTTATCAGCGGCGAACACTTGACTAGCGAACATCGGGAATAAACAATTCCAAATTGTTTCAATGTAATCAAGCGTGTAATGAGAAGAGTCTTTATCGATATAGATACGTCGGAGGTACAAAATAAATACAATCTATTAGAGATTAGTTGTCGATGCACGTGAGAATCTTGTGAGCGGGGGATTCCACCTGGTAGGACTTGTAGGAGGAGGTTCCACACACGAACTACCCCAACATGAACTCATTAGGGGCGAACACAGCAACGTCTTTATCTTTATGATACTGTAAGAACCTCCAGTGCCGATGACTTAAGCGTTTATCTTTACGATATGGTAAGAACTTTCACCATCATCAATTGCCCATTAGCAACCAATCAGTTGCCTGACTAATGCTCTTTATGATTTGGTAATAACTTTAACCAATAGACTTTGAGGTACTTTCATTATAAAATGAAATATTTCAGAAGTCTTACGACTGAGCCTCAATGGTATAACATCTTTATTATGTTTTTCCTACTTAAGAACTCTAATCATTAGCTAATGACTAAAGCTAAACACTCCAAACATTTGACACCTGCTTTAAGCTTTAGTTTTCTTTTTGGCTTTTGGTTTTGTCAACTTTTTATTAGCTTTTCTCTTTTTTTTTTTTGCATTCGCGATCGCTAATTGGCATTGCGGCACATCGGTCGACACCCACAGCAGTCCCGGGACTCCTCTGACCCCCTCTGATCCCCAGACACCAGTGCTTGTGTGTCCGGAGATAAGACACCCGGGAACGCTGCTGGGAAGAGGGCGACGTCTGCGGCGGTCGCTAATCGTTAGCGGACTGCAAAGTCGTGGAAAATTAGCAGCAATGGCCCCGCGGCGGTCCAACCCATAGGGAGATATGATTAAAAGTGTCAATAGGTGTAAGGGGTAGCTATGACGTTGCCAGCAGCAACTGTGGAGCGATCTAGCCAGGAGTAGATCGTTCCTGACAAGGCAAGCCATATGCTTTTCTCAAAGGAAAACACCAAAGAAAGCTGGACCACCTACATAAGCTCACAAAAAAAGATTAAGTGGCTTAAGATGCTCCTTACTAAAGTCTAATTTCTAGTTCATCTTCAGTTAAAACCCTTAGACATACACATAAGACCCATAAGTTTAGCTGTAGAGCAGCCGAATAGTATTGTACGATATCTGCTCTCACCTATCTAACACCTATGTATATAGAGACAACAACGTTAAGGCAACTGACCAGCCAACACTTGAGCAATCGCAATCAAGCTCCGATTAGCAGCGATACAACCATAAATAACGACAGACAACAAGAAACCACCGGGCCTTCGATTCTGATTCCGATTTCAATTCCGATTTCAATTTTTCCTTAACCTAACCCACCTTTTTTTTGTTTGCCGGCATCCTGGCATCCTTTTTAGCTGTTAGTGTTGTTATCCTTGCAGGTAGATTATGTCGCCAAACCGATGGATCCTGCTGCTCATCTTCTACATATCCTACCTGATGTTCGGTGCGGCCATCTACTATCACATCGAGCACGGCGAGGAGAAGGAGGCACGCGCCGAGAAGCTAAAGGAGCGCATCGAGATCAATGGTGGGTGAGAGCTTTCAAAAACAAAAATTTGAGTCATAAGAAATCCACGTGATATATGGATAAGAGCATGTGATATTCCATCGCGAACCAAACTAAATGATTGCCCACGACTTGCCAAGAAAGTGTAGAGTCTGGTCCCATGTCCGATCCGTTAAACCTTTTCCACCCACTTGATGTTGATGAAATCTGAGGTGTTACAAGATGACCTACTCTCTAATTGGAGTCTTTACCTTTGAATCCTAGGGATAAATTAATGTAGTCATCATAAATGGTAAAGGATTACTTTAGTCTGGTTTAGTCGGGGGAATATACAAGCCGTATATAGATTGTTCTTTAAAAAAAATTGTTAAATGGTAAACATAGACAGACAAGTGAAGCATTTAGCAGCCAATAAAGACTAAATGAAAATACAGCTCAAAATCCCCTCTTTTTAGAGGGAGTATTGCTAAAATCTTTATGGCAAAACGTGCGTGAATGCTGGAGAAAAGTGTGAGTTTTATAACTGCCACAAGTCTGGGTTAATCAGGGGAGTTGAGACAATTGTCTCCTTTCAACTCAAATAATTTAGGATATCTTATCCATTCTAAGACACCCTAAAATCCACTTTAATCCCACTCAAAACCCACATAGAAACCCTCTCAAAACATATATATTTCAACCCATACACTCACACACTTAGTTCACGATTATATAGACGCCTAGTCTCGGGATATATTTATTTTTATGCCTCTTCAATTGCAATAAATCCAAATTTAAACAGCACCTAAAATGTGCTAACTATGCGAATAAATAACCCATAAACGCTCTAATTAGTAACCATCGACCCAAGACGTGCGGAAATCGTAACGGCTTTGGATCAAGCAAAGGCTTTCTCGATCTCAACTCGATCAGAGATTAGCAATCACAGTTTGACTGCCCCTAAAAGCTCCATAGAGTAACGTCAGAGATACTATCGATATCGCTGGCTTGTTATATAGGCCTCTTGAGCCCCCAACTAATGCCCTGGATATCCGCAATTGGAACCCGGCACTTGTCATGTCCCTATTTGTATGCATATATAAGCAGGCAGTAAGTCACCTTAATCACTACCATCCGACTATGGTCAGAACATACCGAAAGTAACAATTGAATTGTTTAAAAGTCGGACAATTGGCTATGACTATATGCCTATGACATGCCGATGACTTTCAAGTGTCCACAAACATGTGATAATGATGGTATTTAAGCTAGTTGACACCTGATAAGGTAACTCGAACTGGCCAAGCAATGACAATGACACCGCCCAGGGAGGGATCTCCCACCTCAAAGCTAAACATTTTATGGTTTAGGTAAGAGTCTATGATTCAGTATATCGCCTTTGTTTTTTAATAATTTAGTAAGGATTTAATTTTAAGGCTTAACATGCTCGTGATTACTTATTCTATATAAGAATTGAACAAGGTCACCTTGCATTAAGCTCCACGATTTGGGAACTGAATGACAAAGTAATTTAGGTGTATTAATTAACACAGAAACTAATCAGACTTATGTATTAATTCTTGATCTATTCATACTTGGTAAACATTAAAAACAGGATGTTGAAGAAAGGATTTATGGGAAAAGCCATTATCTAGAAAGTTATCTCCTTCGAAACGTATTTATAAGGCCTTTAAGGCTTAAGGAATAGATGGATTGCCAGCGATAAGTATACGACAAGTACTCATAAACCGATTAATACTCTCTTACGATGTTTATTTGATTATTAATCCTACAGCCATCATCATTTATACGTTTCTTCAATATGCACCTCGACCTCGACCTCGGTGCTGTATGATTTATGCAGTTCTCGCAGATGTCGACTTTAATTCAATTAATTTATCAATTTGTTTGCAACAAACACAAAACTTTTCCGGGGCACCCGGACACCCCACGCCCCTCAAGTCAATCATCAAGATAATCAGAGTAAATGCCCATCGTGGAATTCATGGAATCCGCCCACTGCACAGAGTCGAGAGGACTTACAAGAACTCGAGATAATGATCGACTTCTATGAACAAATTGCCGGCAATCAAGATTCCGGTACCCGGACCACAAAGGCGATTAAACTGTGACTGTGACAGCTGGTGCCCGTTCCGTTCTGTTGTCACTCACTCCGGCGGATTTATGGTGACTATTTGACGTTGCTGGCGAGGCAGTTAATGCCGCCTGAATTGCCCCCAATTGTGTCCCGTTGTGAGTGATGATGAGAGAGTGCAGATCTGAGTGGAATCTCTGCCACCGCATTTATTGAATTATGCAATTCGTTAAAAGATTACCCCAGAGACCTGACGATCCGGGGTTTATTGAATGATTGCAGCCACGGGAACCGTGGTTTCTCGTCTGATGAACTTGGCCATAAAGGTTAGAATAGCCTCGATCTTGACGAGTGTTTGATAACACGCAGGCACGAAGCTGGAGGAGGATCGGAACGGGATCTGTCAGAGATTGAATGAATGGAAAATCAATTCACATTTTGCTGATAGCCTACAAAGCAATCTTTTTGCTGTTTCCTAATCCGATCCTTGATTTGGTTATATCACAAGCTGATTGAGTAGCTTGTAGATAACCCATTCTATAGATCACTTCGATGTACTTGAAGCTTGAATTTCATGTCTTCCGAGAAGTCAAAACCGGATCAAAGCTCTGAATTTCTGACCTACAGCAAGATTAGGCAGTCTCACGATCTCACAATTTATTTGCCGGATAAACATCTCGCACTGAGCGCATTTCAATCAACCGGAGCAACGTAGTCCGGGTCAGGTCATGATCGTGATTGTGATCGCGATGTGCGATCCAAGCTCATTACGATTAGTGTGTGGACGCGGTGACTACAATTGTTTTAGTGTAAAATATATGGCACTCTGGGGGGTTACCGGTCGGTCGCAGGGAGGGTCACTGTCACTACCTTGTGGCGATCAGTGATCTCGGAAAAACGTAACGGGAGGAAGCGTCGCTACGGAATCAATTTGGACATTTTTTTTGGCCATTGTTCTGCGGCGGAAAGCGGAAAGTGGAAGGTTAGCTTCCGGATCGGTTAGACACGTGAACTATAATGGATTGATCAATTAGATTTAATTTGATTTCACGCCCCATCGGGCATTACATTTATGTGTATTTTTATTTACGTTTCGTTTCGTTTCATCACTTTTTCCAGCCTATCTCCTAGAGGAGCTGTCGGACAAGAATGTGAGCACACAGAATGAGATTCTTGATCGGATCACGGCATATTGCGGCAAGCCGGTCACAGACTATACAAAGGATGAGCATGATATACCATATACCTGGACCTTTTACCATGCCTTCTTCTTTGCCTTCACCGTGTGCTCCACGGTGGGCTATGGTAATATATCGCCGACCACCTTTGCCGGTAGGATGATCATGATTGCATATTCGGTGATTGGGATACCCGTCAATGGAATACTCTTTGCCGGCCTGGGCGAGTACTTTGGACGAACGGTGAGTCGAGATAGATCTTTACCCTGCGAAATGGGAGACTTCATGATTCGTTTTCCCTTCTATTTCCAGTTTGAGGCAATTTACAGACGCTATAAGAAGTACAAGATGTCAACTGATATGCACTATGTGCCGCCACAACTGGGCCTAATTACCACGGTGGTAATTGCCCTGATACCGGGCATAGCTCTCTTTCTGCTCCTGCCATCGTGGGTCTTCACTTACTTTGAAAACTGGCCGTATTCCATTTCGTTGTACTACAGCTATGTGACCACCACAACGATTGGTTTTGGTGACTATGTGCCCACTTTTGGACCCAATCAGGTGAGTTGTTACACCATCAAAATTGTCCTAAGATGACTCTAAACCATAGTTTCTCCCCTTCATAGCCTCGTGAATTTGGCGGCTGGTTTGTGGTCTATCAAATCTTTGTGATAGTGTGGTTTATCTTCTCCTTGGGCTATCTGGTCATGATTATGACGTTTATAACCCGGTAAGTAGTTGTCCATCGCATGTCCCTTGGGTTTGACTTTCGTTACGTTGCGTGTCCTGCATGCCCTTAACCGAATCTGTATCCCTTCTCTCAATCCAACAAAAACAAAAAACCACATTCCTCCACATTCGGGATACATACGGCATGAACAGGGGATTGCAGAGCAAGAAGCTGGCATATTTGGAGCAGCAGCTGTCCTCCAATCTGAAGGCCACACAGAATCGCATTTGGACGGGCGTCACCAAGGATGTGGGCTATCTACGGCGTATGCTCAATGAGCTGTATATCCTCAAAGTAAAGGTAAACGACGACGATGAACATTGTTTATAGGCCAGCACCAGAATATATGTATATATTAATCAAGGGCTTATCCTTATTCTTATAAAGATAATATAAACTTCATCTAAAACCCAGATCATTCATAGAGTTCTTAGCGGCATAACTATTATATATCATTAATCTAGAAAGAAATATTGATTATCTACTAGAATAACCCTTTAAAATTAATGATAATAATGGGAAATAACTAATGAATCCTTTTTTTAAGATAAACCTAACCCTATATAAATATCCTTCAAGGGATTAACTAACCATGATTAGATATCCAAAATCGCAAAGAGTTATCCCTTTTGTATGTCCTAACAACCCCTTTTAAGTAAATGTCTTACTAAGCGGTATCCACAACTCCGTCACCACGTCCCTGTTGGTCATGTCTTGTTAACCAAGTCAGAGTCCTTGCTTGTCTGATGCTCATGAAGACCCGCTATTCTCCGTTCTAGTTTTGTCGAAAGGGAAATAGAAAGAGGCCGAAGAATAAGGCTCCGGTTGAGCAGAAAAAGAAGAGCCGCCCCAGATGTAAGTAGAACTACAAGGGAAGCTACCCCAACTCCAGTCCCAGTCCCAGACCCAGTGATATATATACATATATAGACAGTGCTAGCCCAGATCAGTCCCACATAAACAGAGAACCCGCTATAACAAAACACTAATACAAAACCCTTCTCTTTACATGTCCAACACCGAACACATCATCACACGCTGATCTGAATACTATGTCCACGAATATGCCATTAATCCCTCTCAGCCCGTGTACACCGACCTAGATATCGCCTATACGCTGCCCCGCTCTGCATCCTGTCCGGAACTCAGTATGTATCGCGTGGAACCGGCTCCCATCCCCAGTCGAAAGCGGGCCTTCTCCGTTTGCGCCGATCTGGCTGCTGCCCAGCTGCAGGAGGCCGGCATTATGGTACACGCCAGCTCCGATACGGAACTAAGCAAGTTGGATCGCGAGAAGACATTCGAAACGGCGGAGGCATACCGTCAGACCACCGATCTGTTGGCCAAGGTGGTCAGTGCCTTGGCAACCGTAAAGCCACCGCCACCGGAACAGGAGGATGCAGCTTTATATGGCGGCTATCACGGCTTCTCCGACTCACAGATTTTGGCCAGCGAATGGTCCTTCTCCACGGTCAATGAGTTCTCCACGTCGCGAAGACCACGGGCCCGTGCCTGCTCCGATTTCAATTTGGAGGCACCGCGCTGGCAGAGCGAGCGACCGCTGCGCTCCAACCAGCACAACGAATGGACGTGGAGTGGGGACAATCAGCAGATCCAGGAGGCCTTCAATCAGCGCTACAAGGGTCAGCAGCGACCCAACGGTGCCACGATGGTTCATTTGGAACCGGATGCTTTGGAAGAACAGCTCAAGAAGCCATCTCCAACAGCGGGACGCGTCAAGAAGTTCTCAATGCCAGACGGCCTGCGTCGTTTGTTCCCTTTCCAGAAGAAGCGACCCTCGCAGGATTTGGAGCGCAAATTGTCGGTGGTATCGGTGCCCGAGGGCATTGCTTCACAACAACAGCCCCGATCACCGCTGGACTACTACAGCAATACGGTCACGGCGGCCTCCAGTCAGTCCTATCTGCGCAACGGTCGTGGGCTGCCGCCTCCCTTCGAGTCGAATGGCAGCTTGGCCAGCACCGACGGCGGCTTGACCAATTTGGGCTTCCAGCTGGAAGATGGCAGCACCGGTCCAGCGCCAGGAGCAAGCAGCGGAGCCTATCAACGCCGCGCGGCGGCTGGCAAGCGTCGTCGCGAGAGCATCTACACCCAGAATCCGGCTCCGTCGGCACGCCGTGGCAGCATGTATCCACCCACTGCGCATGCCCTGGCCCAGATGCAGATGCGACGCGGCAGTCTGGCCAACAGTGGCTCCGGATCAGCAGCTATGGCAGCAGTGGCCGCTCGTCGCGGCAGCCTCTTCCCGGCCACAGCCGCTGGGTCCGCCTCTTCGGTGGCCTCGGCACCGCGTCGCAGCAGCATTTTCTCGGTGACCTCCGAGAAGGATATGAATGTGCTGGAGCAAACAACCATAGCGGATCTGATCCGTGCCCTGGAGGTGGTCCATACCCATGCTGTGCTGGACGAACAGCAGCAACAACAGGCGGCGGCTACGGCGACCGGCTCCAAGGGTTCTCGCAAGCAGCGCAAGATGGGCAATGCAGGACTGGATCCCCCGCAATTACCGCCCATCCTGTCCCTCTTTGCCGGCGATCAGACCAGATCCTTGCAGGCGGCGGCTGCCAATCGACTTTATGCTCGTCGCTCCACAATTGTAGGCACCATGTCACCCGTTGGAGGAGGAGTAGGAGCAGGTTCCACGGCTAGATCCCTGCTAGAGCCCCCGCCCAGCTATACCGAGAGAGCTGGCATCAACCAGGGCCAGTCTCCGGCCATTTCCGGTCCATCGAACGCCACTTCGGGCCAAAGCAAGTTCCGGCGCCGCTTCAGCGTACGTCCAACGGCTCTGCAGATCCCACCAGGCCAGGCTCCACCACCTGGTGCTAGTTTGGCAGAGCAATCCTTGGCTTCCGCCTCCTCCTCGTCACAATCGGCGCTTCAGCGACGCCTTTCGTTGCGACCGTCTCCGCTGGCACGCGAACTCTCGCCCACCTCACCCACTGGCGGAAGCTCAGCGGTTGGAGGAGCTGTGGGTGGTGTCACCGAAGAGTCTGGGCCAGCTTCGGCACAGCGGCTATTACCGCTGCCAGCAGGCACGAGACCCAGCACCAGTAGCACCCACTCACCGCTCTCGAGGATCGTGCAAATCTCGCAGGCGCAGCGCAAGAGCAGCATGCCCACCACGGGTCCAGGATCACCTCCAGGCAATGGGAGTGGCACCGAGAAGTAGTTAGTTCCCTAATCCATAAGATGTATTGCCAACTCGTATATTTCCATGTCGAGCGTGATTGCTTAGCTAGCTGTTGATTTTTTTTTTTGTTTTTTGCATTCCAAATAGTCGATAAGGCTGCCAAAAGTCCTTAGTTGTTATGATAATGTTACAGTTATACCTTATACGATATATTACCAGTTATCCTAGTGTTACGTACATGTATCTCTCTCTATTGTTATCCTGTATTTATCTGCATATGTATCTGCATACTATTTCATATATATTCCTCTATTTATAGTGCTAAGAAGGGGCTTATGTGAACAAAACAATCCATATCTTTTCCAGAGATCGGACAGGGGTCTCCATTTCGGTTGCAATTCCATTAAGCTCTCTGAGAGTTACTTCCATTCGCCGAACATTTTGTTAAATAATAAAGATAATATGTTAAAACAATAACAATTGACGTATTAATGGGGATTTGGGGTTTGATTTAAATAATTGATTACAAATTCACTCAGAACCTTAAAACGCAGTGAAAGAGTCATTTCCGACCCTATTAATCATATATATTCTTAATCAGCATCAAAAGCCGAGTCGATCTAGCTATCTTAGACAGAAACAAAAATTTTTCTATTTTTTTCAAAATTTTATAAGAGGTAACATCGTCAAAATTTTCATAAAATTTCAATTTTTTTATTTGTTGAACTAAGAATGCAGATTAATTAACCTAATAAAAACTAACATAGAACAGCTTTCCGAATTAAAATTAATGTTTTTTTGGCTTAGTTATGAGTTTTTTTAACGTTCATCAGTCCATAAAATTATTATATTATATTAAGATTTCTAGGAATATTTTTCTAAAGAGCGGCAGTGTTTTCCAAAAATCATATTTAATCCGATTCGTTTTAAAATCCTTATTTTATAATAAGAATATAATAAGAAAACAATTTTTATTTAATTTTATTCAATTTTTGAAAAATTTTAAAAAGCTTACATTATTAAAATTTTCAAAAATTTACAATATTTTCTTTTTGAATTTTAAATTTAGTATTTATAATATTTAATATTATTATTAATTCATTTAAATATTATTAAATAATAAAATCTTAAACCCAAAACTTTCTGACTTAAAATGTATGCTTTTTGGTGAAGTATAATTGCCAACAACCAAAAAATTTATTTTTCCGTTCTTTCTTTAAGTAATCGCTAGTTTTTGTATTATTATTATTATTTTGATTAATAAAGTTTCAATTTCATATCCTAAGTTATGTTTCTTATTTATAAATAAAGCAAAATAGCTTAATTTCTTTCCTAGTGATAAGAGAAATACAAAAATCCCGCCCCACTTATCGATATTTCTATCAGTGTGGCTGCCTTCCATCGATAATTTGCGGCTTTTTCTTTGCGCCCCAACCAAAGTCACACTAATCTCCCATGTTTGTTTTGTTGTTGTGGCTCTATATAAATTGCTGGATAATTCCATTTTTGTGCTCATTTTGTACTGTTGTTCCCGCTCCCGGATCAAATTTATATTGTCCACGACGCAGTTGTGTGATTTGGCAATGTTTTAAACAGTGTGATTCCAAACTCCAATCAAGAAATATAACAAAACAAAGAAGCGAATCCCAAAATGCAGCGCCAGCAGAAGTTTTTCCTGCTGTCAACGCTGACGCTGCTCCTTGCTGGTGCAGCAGCGGGACTGGCACAGGCCACGGAGGCGAAGGAGGAGCAAGCAGACGAGGTGGCGGGCAACATTGTTCACTATCAGCCGGAGCAAGTGCATCTGGCCTTTGGAGGTGAGTGAGAAACGCATTATATAAAGCGACCAGAGCGGCGCGAAAGGTGCAGTTAGTTTTAGTGTGTAGTTGTTGTTTTTGCTTGTTTTTCTTTTTTTGCATTTGGCAACCCCCTCGGTGATCGTTTGCTGAGAGTGCGCAATTCCCGTGGGTTTATTATTATTATTATCGGGTGATATCTTCTTGTTTATAAAACGAGATCCCTGCCAGAAACCGGGTCTGTTAAGTACAATATTTATTATTATTATTAAATATCTAACTGTCGTGGCTGTTATCTGGAAATTACTTAAAATATACAACTTCTTAACACTATAAGGCACTTTCTCGATAAGATATATACTTTCTTAATACTAGAAAGCCTTTTTTCGATAAGAAATCTGAATTAGTAGGTTCTTATCTTTTAGAAAAATCTAAGAGGCACCCTGTAGTTGGATTTTCTTTGTTTTTTCGATTAAGAATCGTAAAATTTTGAAGCCTTAACGTAATTTATAACGTTAAACAAGTTTAATACACAACATATGCTAATTATATGCATAAAATGCAATAATTTAAGATTACTGCTATGAGCAGTGACCCTCTAAAATACTAATTACCCTGCAGAAAGCTGGAAAAGTACAATTCTAAGAGTATAGTTGGGGTGATAAACTAAGTTAACATATAATAATAATAGTTTCCTAAGTATTGAAATCTCTTAAGCTATTAAACAGTAAAGTAAATAACTAAATACTGCTTATTTACCCCTGAACTTGCTTAATTTGTCGATTGATAAGTAAAGTGAGCTCGCCAGCATAAATATTTGGCTCTCGAAGTGCAGTGCCCTCTCCTCTAATCAGGGGACTCCCCCTAAAATCGCGTTCATAACGTTAAACAGCAAATACCGATGCATAAGAAAGACAGAACTCGTGCCCGTATCAAAACCCGAACCCAATCCCAGACTTTGCCAACCCCATGCGGGGGGCCTCAGTCGTTATCGCGAAGGGCACAAGGAACAACAATTCAAACGTCATCCGAGCGCAGTCATCGGGCTTTGTTGTGCTCCAGTTTGTCAGGGGGAATGCGATAAGAAAACAATAACAAAAGAGCCCAGTTTTCTAAGTTAGCTAAAAACAATAGAAACTAATCAGCAAATTATAGCATCCAGTAGCAGTTGGTCTTGATTCCAATAACTTCACGGCCCCTGCTCTCGTTTCTGATGACAAAGAATCGATATTATTGACAATTTACCAATCGCTAAATTATTTAAATTTATTTAACTTGTGGCAGTTAATGGAAATGTGTTTTTCCTTTAAAATTAAATTAAATTTGAAGTAATTATTAAATTTGTATATTAAATTATTAAATAAATCGAACTTTTTTAAAGCTTTCTACTTATTTGCCAAGCAAAACTATTACTGTTTGCCTATTAAAACTAGATTAAAGGTGAAAATGTTATCAAATTGTTGTATTTTCTGAATTTAAAACGAAAACAGAGCCGCCTGTTGTTTGTTTAAACTTTTCATTCAATCTTTTTGGCCCAACAAAATTGCTCAAGTTTGTTTTTCTTTTTTTTTCGCTTTCCCCCCCGCTTTCGTCCTGTTCCGATCTCTCCGCTCCGCTTAATGCTCCGGACTTCAGAGCGCACCGCTAGCGAGATAGTCGTCACCTGGTCGACGCGCAGTCTACCGCCGGACCCGGAAGTGGGGGCATCCAGTGTTGTGGAGTATGGCCGTATGGTTGCCGGACAGGCTCCTCGGTTCACCCAGCATGCCCGTGGCACGGCCACCAAGTTCGTGGACGGCGGTCGCAAGCAGGCCACGCAGTACATTCACCGGGTATGCGAGAGCAGAGGATCAAGTGTGTGAGGATAGGGAGTGCCATCTATGGAGACTGAATGGGAATTCCATAAGCCCATAAGCTCCATGGATTGCAAAGATCCTTCTCTCATTAACCACTACACACTTGACCCTTCACTCCTATTGAGTATGGACAAACAGACACTCATGGTTGGTTTCCCTCCGCTTAGGTGACGCTTAGCGGCCTGGAGGCGAACGCCACGTACATGTATCACTGCGGCAGTGCCGTCGGTTGGTCGGCAATCTTCCAGTTTCGTACCGTGCCCACCGGCTCGGCTGACTGGTCACCGTCGGTAGCCATCTTCGGGGATATGGGTAACGAGAATGCCCAGTCTCTGGCTCGATTGCAACAGGAGACGCAACGTGGCATGTACGATGCCATCATACATGTGGGTGACTTTGCCTATGACATGAACACAGAGAATGCACGCGTGGGAGATGAGTTTATGCGACAGATCGAGACGGTAGCCGCCTATCTGCCCTACATGGTGGTGCCGGGCAACCACGAGGAGAAGTTGTGAGTAGCGGAGATGAGGAGAAGTAGGCAGGAGTGAGAGAGACTAACCTAGAGGTGTGTTACAGCAACTTTTCAAACTATCGCGCTCGGTTTAGCATGCCAGGTGGCACAGAGAACATGTTCTACAGCTTCGACCTGGGACCTGTACACTTTGTGGGCATCAGCACAGAGGTCTACTACTTCCTCAACTATGGCGTCAAGTCGCTGGTATTTCAGTTCGAGTGGCTGCGCCAGGATCTGGCCAAGGCAAATTTACCCGAGAATCGGGCGGAACGTCCGTGGATTATAATCTATGGCCACCGTCCCATGTACTGCAGCAATGAGAATGACAACGACTGCACCCATTCGGAGACACTAACCCGCGTGGGCTGGCCCTTTGTCCACATGTTTGGACTGGAGACGTTGCTCTACGAATTCGGCGTGGATGTGGCCATTTGGGCGCACGAGCACTCGTATGAGCGGCTGTGGCCCATCTACGACTATGAGGTGCGCAATGGAACATTGAAAGATTCGCCGTACGAGGATCCCCGTGCTCCGGTGCACATTGTCACCGGCTCCGCTGGCTGCAAAGAGGGACGGGAGCCATTCAAGGGCAAGATACCCGAGTGGAGTGCCTTCCACAGCCAGGATTATGGTTATACACGGTTCAAGGCGCACAATCGCACCCATTTGCACTTTGAACAGGTGTCCGATGATCAGGATGGTGCCGTCATCGATGAGTTTTGGCTGGTCAAGTCCAAGCACGGAAGCTACGAATAGAACTGAGGAACCTGAAACGAAACCAAACCAAACCAAGCTAAAGGAGTCTCCAGGCAGCACACAACAACACACAAGCACCAATAGAAACTGTGGCAGTATTAGAAGCGCGCACATTCGATTCTAGACCTGATTTAATCACAAACTACATATTTAGGATTCTAGGGATGTCAGTCAATTGGGATTGGGTCGAACTTTTAAAGAATATTCGTATATATCTAGTAATGCTACCCCTACGCGTGATCCATAAGTACACATTCCTTAAGCGAATATCACAAACAAAGATCAGCCAGAATGAAATCAACTTTAACTTAGCGAAGCATTTAAGAGAGCATTTAGTGTATGGTCTCCAAACCTGCACTTCGCCCAATTTAAATATTAATTAATAAGTATTGGGAAAACCATGTGTACATTTAAAATACTTAAAACACAAACATACCTTTATTTTACTTAAGTTTTTAACATTTGAAATGTAACTTCAGTGCTTTTTCTTGCCTGAAATTCCTTAATGGTTTTAATTTTTGGAGTTTTTGGGTACTTTTACATATATTTATAGTCCTGGGAAACCGCCTATATGCTGATTACCTGTTGTCCCAAATAAACTGCTTAAACACAGCTACAAAATGTGTATGCTATGGGTTAAGTTATTAAATTCATAATTAATAATATTTCTATGTTATATATATCTAGTTATAAATAGCTTAAATGTATACCATCGCTTAATTGTGAGTACCATACGTGGTCAGGTTCGTAGTTAATCAGTGTGTGCTCCTGCAGAGACCGTGCTCGACATTGTCGTCACCTGGAATACTCGTGATAATACCAATGAATCGATCTGTGAGTTCGGCATCAATGGACTGAATCAAAGGGCCAAGGCAGCACAGATGCCCACGAAATTCGTGGACGGAGGACCCAAGAAGGCCACCCAGTACATTCATCGTGTGAGTAGCTTTGTCTTCCATAAACAAAACAACACATTTGAATCACAGCTGTGGTTGCAAACGATTTAAAATTATTCAAAATGAATGATTTTAAATTATTAAAAAATGTTTTTTAACGGTTTAAAGGATTTACAACATTTCAAAATGATTCAAAGCAATATAGAGTGAATCAGAAACACTTTAAATTACTCAAAACCATTCAAAATGATTCACAATGATTCAATTTGTAACAAAGGCTGTGATTTTACGCCAGGTTATGGTTCGGATTACTTCACTTTACATCCCACACACTCCCAATCCCAGTCCCAGGTGCCCAAGTCCAACATAATCCCAACTCTTTATACGATCCCAGGTGACGTTGTCCCGGCTGCAGCCCAACAGCACTTACTTCTACCATTGCGGCAGCGATCTAGGATGGTCGGCCACGTACTGGTTCCGTACCCACTTCGATCACAGCGACTGGTCACCCTCGCTGGCCATCTACGGTGACATGGGCGTAGTGAATGCCGTCTCGCTGCCTGCACTGCAACGCGAGACGCAACGTGGCCAGTATGATGCCATCATCCATGTGGGTGACTTTGCGTACGACATGGAGAAGGAGAACGGCGAGGTGGGTGACGAGTTCATGCGCCAGGTGGAGACCATTGCTGCCTATGTGCCGTACATGGTGTGCGTGGGCAACCACGAGGAGAAGTAGTAAGTGTGTGTGGCCCAGGCACCAGGCCCAGGAGAATTAGAAATTCCCTAATCCTGCCGTTTCCACAGCAACTTCTCGCACTACATCAATCGGTTCAGCATGCCGGGTGGCAGGGACAACATGTTCTACAGCTTCGACATGGGACCAGTGCACTTCATCGGCTTCAGCACTGAGTTCTACTACTTCACTCAGTTCGGAATCAAGCAGATTGTGGCGCAATACGACTGGCTGGAGCAGGACCTGATCGAGGCCAACAGACCTGAGAATCGGCGGAAGCGTCCCTGGATCATCACGTTCGGACACCGGCCAATGTACTGTAGCAATGATAATGGCGATGATTGCGCTAACCATGAGACCATTGTGCGCAAGGGTCTGCCCATGCTGGACATGTTCGGACTGGAGCCGCTGTTCTATCAGTATGGCGTGGACGTGGAGCTGTGGGCACACGAGCACTGCTACGAACGGATGTGGCCCATGTATAACTACACTGTGTATAATGGCTCACTTGCAGAACCGTATGTGAATCCTGGTGCCCCAATTCATATCATTTCGGGTGCTGCCGGAAATCATGAAGGACGAGAGCCGTTCTTTAAGCACATGCCACCATGGAGTGCTTTTCATAGCCAGGACTTTGGTTACCTTCGCTTGCAGGCGCATAATGTCAGTCACCTGTACTTTGAGCAGGTGTCCGATGACAAGAAGGGCGCAGTGATTGATAGCTTCTGGGTGATCAAGGACAAGCACGGTCCATACAACGCCTGATCTCAGAGGACAAAGAGGAGACATTGTGATATTTACCACAACAATGACACTATGATGTAGTATTTCCATTCCTATCAACTGTATTAGGAAGTACTTATAGCTAAAACTATATATATCTTTATGTTTACAGGAAATGTCATGGAAATTACTGTTTGATATATATTTTGGACAACATTTTTATACATTAATAATCCCTAGCAATTTCTGCGGCATTCCTGTGCATATTTTTGATCGAAATACGTTTATATTATTATGGAAATATTTATCGAAATACCTTTTCCTTTATTGAAAATTTATTTTTGATGAAAACTAGTTTTTGTTATCAAAATACGTACATATATCATATAATTTTTGTTTATCGAAATGTAACCCCAAAACACACAGAAATCACAATAAACCTCTGTTAAGCTAAAAAAAAATATATGTATTTTCTTCAGTTTATTTGATGGTGATGTCTAAATCTAAGGAAAACTTCTAATATTATATTATATAGAACTCTGTATCACATCTAAAATATCCTATATATAAAAAGTTTTTCAATATTATCGTTAAATGTTCAAAAATAATATTAGAAAATTAAATAATCAATCACAATCACAAAAAACTCAATCAAACTAAACTCTAAACCCTTCTACAAATCCTTTACAGATAATCTTCAGGACATAATGGTCACCTGGTCCACTCGCGGCTCCCCCAATGCCTCGGTGGTGAACTTTGCCCGGAACTATGCCACCGACAAGCTGACCACAGTGAATGGTACCTGGCAACGCTTCGTAGACGGTGGCAAAAAGAAGCGTACCCAATACATTCACAACGTGGAGCTGAAGGGTCTCCAGCCGGACACCCGATATGAATATACCTGCGGCAGTCCACTCGGCTGGTCGCCGGTCTTCCACTTCAAGACACCTCCAGCCGGTGAGCAATGGTCACCTTCATTGGCCATCTACGGAGACATGGGTAACGAGAATGCCCAGTCAATGGGTCGATTACAACAGGACACGGAGCGGGGCATGTACGATGCCATCATCCATGTGGGTGACTTTGCCTACGACATGGACACGAAAAACGCAGCTGTGGGTGATGCCTTTATGCGCCAGATCGAATCGGTGGCCGCCTATGTCCCCTACATGGTCTGTCCGGGCAATCACGAGGAGAAGTAGTAAGTAGAAATGAGTTAAAGTTGTGGCCATTGGACACTTTTCTCTAACTGTGTACTTTCCTTAGCAACTTCTCCAATTATCGCGCCCGCTTCAACATGCCTGGTGATACGGATAGCCTGTGGTACAGCTTCAACCTGGGACCCGTGCACTTCGTCTCCTTCTCCACGGAAGTCTACTACTTCCTCAGCTACGGTGTTAAGCTCCTAACCAAGCAGTTCGAGTGGCTGGAACGGGACTTGGCCGAGGCTAATTTGCCTGAGAATCGAGCCAAGCGCCCATGGATCATCACGTTTGGCCATCGACCGATGTACTGCAGCGACGACAAGGAGTACGATTGTAATGCCCAACTGGAGACGTACATACGACAGGGTCTGCCCATGCTAAAGTGGTTCGGCTTGGAGGATTTGTTTTATAAGCATGGCGTGGACGTGGAATTCTTTGCCCATGAGCACTTTTACACTCGCCTGTGGCCTATTTACAACTTTAAGGTGTATAATGGCAGCGCGGAGGCGCCCTATACCAATCCCAAGGCACCGATTCAGATCATCACAGGCTCCGCTGGCTGCAACGAAGAGCGTGAACCCTTCTCCTATGATTTGCCCGTTTGGAATGCCTTTCACAGCAATGTAGGTTTAACTTTTAAGGAGGATTATTACCTTGAGACATTGAAACTATATCTGACTGTCTTATCTTTTGCAGGACTATGGTTACACTCGCCTAAAGGCCCACAATGGCACCCATCTGCACTTTGAGCAGGTTTCCGATGACCAAGACGGTGCCATCGTCGACTCCTTCTGGGTGATCAAGGATAAGCACGGTGCGTACCCGCCACAACAGTGATATTACACATTCTCCATCCGTCCCTTAATCTGACTTTACTTAAATACGACACTTGTGCCTTACTCTCTTAATTTGAATTTGATTCTTTTTTTTGTGTTTTATAGCATCTTTAAATAAAAAATTAAGTTAGAAAAAATATCGAAGAAAAAAAAAATAAATTCCACTAGCTTAAATGTTGAACGTTTGGGGTGATTTGGATCCTTGCCTAGTAGACGGTGCCGGAGATGCCGGATCCATAGTTATAACCGGATCCAATGGGTGGCACACCACCGAGGGCTCCCAATCCGCCACCGACCACACTGTTGCCGTAGTTGCTCGTGTAATAGCTGGAGGGATAGCCACCAGCTCCAAACCGGGTGTTATAGTATGGGTACCCAGTTCCACCGGCTCCAACACCCAACCGACTGTTGTAGTAGGACAAAGCATAGGGGTTCGAGTTGTAAGAGCCTCCATAGCCTCCGCCAAGAGCGGACCCATAGCCTCCAAGAGCGGAACCATAACCGCCGAGAGCGGAGCCATAGCCTCCACCAAGAGCCGATCCATAGCCTCCGAGAGTGGAGCCATAACCACCATAGCCGCCATAACCAGCCACCGCACCATCTGTCAGGAGAAGAGAATAGCGATAGTCATAAGTCTCAGTGTTCGGATTAATCTCTTTCTCTGTCACTCAATCCTCGCCAGCGCTCACCCTCACCTAATCCAGCCAGAGATCGAGAGCCATAGGGGTTGTAGTAGCTATCCACTCCAACGCCACTGCCATAGGCTCCTCCATAGCCAGCGCCTAGAGCGGAACCATAGCCGCCATAGCCTCCAGCTCCTCCATAGCCACCTGCTCCTGCATAGCCACCGTATCCACCAACATAGCGCTTCTCCTGCTTCTTCTCCTGCAGCGGTGCATAGCTGCTGGCGGCGCCCACCTGATCCTGTTCGACAGCAGCCACCGCCACGGATGACTGATCGGAGGCTAGGGCCACCTGCTCCTGATCGGGCACATCCTCAGCCAGGACACTCAGCACTAAGCTGGTCGCCAACAGGATGAACTATGCGCCGGATGAAAATATTTAAATATTTTAACTAACACTTTTTCATATTAAAAAAAATATATATATCACATCCATGGTTTAATCCAGGCCTCTGGTTTATCTTTTTTTATAATATCCATAAGATCCTTACAAAGCACTTCATGTTGTGGTCGCCTGTTTGTGGTTTCAACTTTACGCTGCTGGGCTTGCTCCTCCTCTGAGACTCTGTTGCGCACGCGCGGCTCGACACTTGTCTAATGATTCCATTGCCAGCCACTCCACTTGCTTTTATACCCACCGATGCCGGCAAGAGAGTGAAAGAGAGAGAGAGAGAGCGAGAGTCAGAGAAGAGAGATAGAGGGAGTCAGAGTCAGCGTCAGAGAAGAGAGAGACAGACAGAGCAAATAGAAAGAGAGCTTGGAAGTTAGAGACCATCAGGCAGCAGCTTCATCCACGGATGACACATGCCACGAGCCATGAGCTCTTGCAGTAATTGCCAGAAAAGCTTCTAAGTAGGAGGGATACTGATTAACTTTTACTTAAAATTAATTAAATTATATATTATTGTTATTACTATTAAATAATGTATATTGTATTTAATTTACCTTATTATATTATAATCACAGTGATGTTAAATAGAAAACGAATGTTACTCTAATGCAAAATTATATACTATTAAATATATTAATAATTTTTGTATGCATCCCCTAAACTATTGTAAAATAAATATTTAAATACCTCTGATTAAAAATCTATTAAAACTTTATATATTAAAGATATAAATAATTATGTAAAATTCATTTGACATGCTTTTTTCGATAAAGATTTATCAAAAGCTTTAAAATATTTCACAGATCTGAACTCCAATTAATATAAATTTATTATGTAAATTTTAATATATATATTATTTAAAATATTTACATAAACATAACTAAATCCTTAATATTTATATCAAGTCCTGAAACCCATATAAATCCTATAGATGCAAAATCCCTTTAATCTATATTCAATTATATGCAATATGGTATACCGGAGGAGGTGTGACTCCCCTGGTCTGTCCGTCACACATCATTATCAATATTCCCACGATCTGGGGATCAATTATAGACCGCAGCCCGGTACAGTAAAAACAATAACAATGATGACAAATGCTAATTGAATCATTAACTTGACCCTGAGGCAGCTAATTGGTCAACATAAAACATCAAATGGCCAAGTGCAGTGCTTTAAATGTTAGTTCACCGATTTCAGTTAGATAAATATATATTGAGGCTAAGTAGCAGTACGTGAGTCACAAGGTTTCAGTGCTGGGTTTTCACTTTCCTAGTCTTATTTTTTCGCTAGCCAAAGAGAAATCCAAGCGGATCTATGTAGATGTAGAAATCTGTTTGATTTTTTCGGGTTCCAAAACAAAGGCGCCAACTGTCCGCCAGTTTGGCCTGCTTAGGGGGTAGGTGGGTGGTGGTGGTGCCTCCACTTAGAGAGTGGATTCTGCAATCCAAGCAACCACTCACCCACTCACCATGGTTGACATATTTCCAGAGACACATAACGGACCCACAAAAAAGATATAGCATACACTTGCCAAAAGGTTCTCGGTGAGGAAAGTCTTTTAAGCTTAAGTTTTTATTATTATCAAGAGTAAGAAAAAGAGGGCTTAAATTAAGGTGCAAATTTGGGAACCTTTTTTACGAAATTAAAATATATAATATGCTTATTAAGGGGCACATATTTTCTTAATAAAATTCAAAGGTTATTCAAAAAATTCAAAATAAAACCCTAGAATATTGAATTAACTAATACAATTTAAATTAATTGATTATAATTATGAAATTATAGCACAAATTACAAAGTCCTGAAGTGTTTAAAGGTAGAAATTCCATTTAGCAGTTGCAGATATTGTATCTTAAAGTACGTTTGGCAATAGACATCCCATAGGTTGATGTCTATAGTTGTTGCCATCGATCTTTGGTGCTTCCCCCCTTCCTTATACATATATGAGTACTCTATACACTATATATATATATGAGTGGGGCCACATTGTGTTCGGGCAGGGCATGTGAAAAGTGTTAACTGAGTGGGATCTACGGCTGAGGCAACGGTAGCGATGACATGACTTGGCCATGGCTGTGCTTTGGCGATGGCCTGGGAGATTTTTTTTTTTTTTGCCCACTGAGACAATGATTCTTTAATGCCGAGGCCTAAAAGCCCATTACACACGAGCCACAGCGAGTGAATCTCTGCGTAACCTCCAAGGCGAAAGTAAAGGCAACCTACAGGGCGTATACGTGATATTCAAATGTGTCAAATATTACGTATACGCACTGTATGTTGTTTAATCTAATGATTTCGAAATTTCGTTTTTTTACGTATTTCCTATTAAAAAAAATATATATATTATAAGCTTGTCTGTGGAGATAACACCTATATTTTTTCCACGGTGCTCTTTTGGAAGGGAAGAGGCCTGACTTGTAGACTCTGTTTTCATCTTGGGGCGTTGTTCTAATTTGCAAAAACCAAATCACGCTCTGACATTACAAACAACAACAACAATCTTGCATCATTCATGTCAGTCGCACGCCCACCAATTATATTTACAAACAGATTTAATTATAATTGAACAACAGGGCGGGCTTCGCTTAGAGACTTAAAAGTGAACTCAAATGAAACACATAAACCGCAGGCCAGGTTACACACAGCAAATGAAGCAGCAAAATGATGATTACCCCGTTGAGGACAGATCCCAGGGAGACAATGCAAAACAAAACAAAACGAAATGAAACCATGGCCTTTTCCGTTGAACTTGCACTTTGCATAATTGCATATTACCATCGGCATATCAGCCCAGCCATAACCAAGCGGAGACCAAGAATACTTCACACGATTATCCATGTGCATTGTGTGAACGCCCCAAAGCCAAATCTCATCCCCCGGCTTAGATGGGGAGACCGGAGACCACATACCACATACACAGCTTGGGCTCCGACCCTGGCATTAGGCCTTTTGATTAAGGCCTAGAGCGGGGTTTGTCTTGAGGGACAAGCGGGAAGGATTTAGACTATAAATTAATAAATTTTTTTAATTAAAATTTATGCTATTTATGGATAAGTTAAAATTATTTTAAGCTATGATTATATCGATTTAAAGTGGCATATTTGAGGTCTTCTTAGGGTCTTATCTTGGCCAAAACGCAAAGGATTCCCAAAAGTCATATATATTCCAATTTGTCATCAAAATCCTTATAAATAAATAACAAAATATTGAAAAAATAGCTTAAAAAAATTTTTCCCGAATTTTTCAGATTTTTTAAGGGCTTTAATCATTAAGTGCAGCCTAAAAAAATTATAAAAATTTAAATTTCTTAATACTCAAAATCTAGTATGCAGATTTGTTATACTATTAAAAACTAACACAAAACAGTTTTCCGAATTAAAATGAATGCATTTTTAGCTTAGTTATGCGTTTTTTTAAAACTGTGATTTGTACAGAAAGAATCCGAGGCTAGCTTTCTTTTTTGTTAATAATATATCTACCACATCTGCAATATAATAAAAAATAAGAGAGGATAAATATTAATTAAATATTTATATAAATATTATTAAATATTGGAGCTCACTCATACCATGTGAAAAGGATTTATTATGATGAGTATATAGATCTCTATCCGATCGAATGACTCAACTACTGTATTGATTGAACTCGATCTCGATGTGTCTAATGATGAGGTTCCAGTTTCAGTTCCCATTCAAAATCCAAACAATGAGTAATTGGAAAAAGGTTTAGATGCATAATGACATATCCATAAATTTCAGGTTGCAGCGTGGGGCATGGGGCATGGGGGCATAAATTTGTCAGAGACAATGCCAAGATCATCGGGTGGTCCCTCCCCACATTAAAAATAAGACACTTTAGATTTGAATGCTGTAAAAAATATACATATACACGTATATACAGGACTGTGTCGCCATATATATCGTGCATTCGTGTATATATATATCAGTTTATTTAGTCTTCTTCAAAAGTTCTTTAGCGAGCTGCCCGCGGCGGAGCTTCCCTCGTGTGAAATGGCACCTCACCTCATCACCTCGCCCCTAATCTAACTATATTTTTGTAATTTTTATCTCATTTCTTTTTTTTTTGTCATTCTTTTCGTTTCATTTTGATTATTTTGTACGTTTTCTTCGGTTTTCTTTTTTTTCTTCTTAATTTTTTCTTGATTTGTAAGTTTTTTCTTTCGATTTGTACAAAGAATTTTAGCTGAAAGAAAATTAGGTTTAAGGGCTTTAAGTTTATATAAATATATATATTATATTCGATAACAATTAAAAATGTAAGTTAGATGATGCTCGGCCCTGCTCTGACGCACGTGCAAGACGGAGACGGAGCTAGTGCATCAGTAGGGCGCGAATAAAAGGGAGAAGGAATGATAATAGGTGAGTGTGGGGGTGTGTGTGTGAGAGAGAGAAGGACAAAGGAAATGGTCTTTGGGATACAGTGTTGTGTTAGTTATCGAAAAGGAACTTCCTGTTGACATTTTTAGTAATGGAATCAGATCAATATTGATAATAATGATAATGATAGAGTTAGGTAACAATAGTCTCAGGATAGTCAGAGGGTTGAAAATTAAGTAAGTTTACAAACTATAACAAAATCAAACAATTGGTCTAGGGCTAGGAAACAAAACCAAACGAAACTCTGGGCTTGTGTTCGGTTCAAAATGCTTAAAATTATAATAAACATAAATTTATATATGGCTATATACGAGTAGTAGGTAGGTTCGTGCACACATAGAGTATCTTTCAAGGTATACAATACATACGTACATATAACTAACATCGAATAGTGTGTGAGTGTGTATGTGTTTTTCAGCTAGTTTGTTGCTCTTAACTATACATATATGTATATATAGATATCGAAACGAAAAATGAAGCCTGGGGATAGTAAGAGGAATGTGTGCGATAAAATAATAATAGTAGGGGCAACTTAAACATTTATATATCCGAACCACAAACACACACACTCCTTATTCCACAACTAAGTCCGTCCAAAACTTTACAGTACTTCTTGCTATATGAATATCACACGCGCCCCTCCCTCCCCCTTTGGAATAGAGTGTGTGGAGTGTCGGATTTATATAGCACTTAATTCTAGGACTCAATCTTTGAGGTGTACAAATAATAAAAGATTTTCTGTATGTGAAGAGGCGATAGGTATGCATGTATGATGTGTAAACAAAGTATAGTTTGTTATGGGAAATTGAGCATAATGGGTAATTGTTGTTATACATATATATATATATCTATATATATGTATGTATGTATATATAGTTTATGCATAATAATAAGAATAATATAAAAATAATCACAGACTCGGATTTGCTGATTGGAATCGTTATTTGTTTTCGCTATCTCCACTAAGTTCGTTCGTTCAGTTATCAGCTCGAACGACAGATACTATGTATGTATGTCTTAGGTAGTTCTTAAAGGGCTATAATCACTTGGAATAACTACAGAATGGTTGTTGTACAGTTATGCCGTTCCATGCTGCTAGCTATGCATGTAATAGAATTGTATTTTATTAGTCCATATATTATTATTATTATTATTATTATTATTATTATTATTATTATTATATATTATCATATATTGTGTATTGTAGCATTACGATTACTAAAGTTATACGAAATACGACTGTTGCTGTTTTTCTTTTATGCGCTTCCATTTGATTCTCCTTAGGCTTATCTTGAATCTTGTTCTAGCTTTAGTTTGCGACCCACTACAAGTTACACAGCTTATTAATAGGCGTTGCAGGACCTCTTCTTCACAATATAATATAGTATATATATATCATGTTTTATGTTGTCAGATAAATATATATAAATGTGTGTTACAATGTCAGAATTGTTCACGACAAGCTCTCGTGTATGGACTTGCTTGGGCTGCTTGCTTGTCACCCCCTCTTAGTTATTTGTCTACATTGCTTATTGCAAACTAATATTTCTGTATAATTGTAATTTTGACTCATTAATATATTACTGAGCTTATCACTAAATTGTTACTACTCCTCTCAGAGTACATAGTATAAATAATCTTTCGAGGAATCGGGTAAAAATGGTTATAATGAACAATCTTCTTAGCCTAGGTATCTTTCGGTGTGAGTGAGAGTGAGTTATGGCTTTTGTGGGTATACATTTATGGGCTTTACAATTTACTTAATGTGTGTTCCTAGGCAAATATTTTTTTTGTATATACAATTACTTAATTCACTAGATTTTATCTCTCATTATTTGTGTCTGATGTGGCCCTGATTTTGTGTGATCTCTCTGCCTTCCATTGGGTATATCCCTAAAATATTGGTACCGTCGTCATTTCCGTTTCCGTTTTACGTCTATGCTTTTGTTCAGGCCTTTATGGTATTGCGTTCTGTGTGTGTGCACATATGTATGTATATATATTTATGCCACAATATTTCAAGATTATTATTTTTCGTGTTAAAGCAAACAGTTTTTTGTGGTTAAACGTAATTATAATTTGTAAAAAGAGAACAATAAAACGGGTCACAGTTTAAAAAATACATAATATTTGGGTCAGTTTTAATATAATTGTTATCAAAAATTCCACAAATAGAACCTTTAATTGCTATTGCCTTCCTTCTACCTCAGGATCAGTAGAAGAGACTTGCTTAACAATAATAAGTTGAAGGATTTATACAATCGATGCAAGTCTATAAAATATTTATTCCTACTATTAGTTGTATTATTACCATTATTTTTTATACTTATATATATTTTAAACATGCAGATATTTGCACTTTTGTTTGCTGCTATGGTTGGTTGTATCTGTGTCCAGGTCAAGCTTTAAGCATCCCACTTAAGTCTACGTTTAAATACAATCTGTGGCTAAGAAAACGAAGCACGTTTTAGTCAAAGTCATTGATAGGATATATCTTTGTACAATTACTAGCCCGAATGGTTATTATATAATGTGTGTCACCATAGAGTACTCACCAATCAATAGTTTATATATATGTGTGTGTATATAGACGTTATGTTCACAATGCTACAACTTTATACCTTAAAGCTAAGGTTCCTTCAACTTTGGGCTTAACATCTCCTATCCATAATATTGATGGAGGAGATACAACTATCCGATTTCTAATCTGTTACAAAAAAAAAACATTACACTATATAGTTCATGATTCACATTTTAAACTATCCTCCTTATCGCGCTTCTACTTATTATCCCATCAATCGTGCTTGAGTACGATGCGGGCGGGCGCCTTGGAGCGCTGCTTGTGGCTACTCCCGCCGCCTCCGCCTCCGCCTCCTCCTCCTCCTCCTCCAGACGATGCCTGACGTTTCTCTAGCCGATCAAAGATGCCTCCTCCTCCTCCACCCGAACTGCTGCCTCCACCGCTGCTCTTCCTCTGCTGTCCATGATCCTGCTCCCGCTGTCTCCTTTCACGCTGCCTGCCGCCGTGCGACGACTGCTGCTGATCCCCGCTGCCATTACTAGTGGGCTTTAGCACCACCCGCCTCTGGCCAGAGCCAAAGCTGGCCGCTGACGCCGCCGAGGTTCCACCGCGCACCATCTTGTGGTTGCGCTTCACCACCAACAGCTCCGGCGTTGCCGATCGCTTGCTGCTTGTCTTTTGCGGTGGCGGTGATGGCGTGGCCAACAGACGGTCCTCCTCGTCCAGCAGCAGGTCATCGTCATCGTAATCCAGTTCCACCTCGTCGTCACTGGGCGTGCCCAGGCGCAGCATATCCCGTGACTTTGGCGGAGTTCCACCAGAAGCAGAAGCGGTCACAGTTACAGCCACACCTCCAGCTCCTCCGCTTCCTCCTCCTCCGACTCCAGCAGTAGCCGTAATTGCTCTTGCCGGCTGCTGCTGCGGTTGCTGCTGCTGCTGCTGCTGCTGATGATGGTGATGATGTTGATGATGATGCTGTTGCTGCTTGGAGGAGGGAGCCAGGTGCTCCGTTATACTCCGTTTCGCCTCTGGCGCAATTTTCGCCGCAGTTACTTGCTTACGTGTCGGCTGCAGCTGCTGCTGCTGCGCCTGCGATGGCGCTTGTCTGTTGCGACCACCGCTACCCGTCTCCTGGTCATCGCGACGCTTTAGGGAGATGACTTTGCGCTCGTGCCGCATAGCTGCTGCTACTGCTGCTCCTGCTGGCACTGCTGCTGATCCTTGACCGGCAACGGAAGTGGCAGCTGCTGCTATCGATTCTTGGTCACCCTCAGCTGGTGAATTGTGCTGTTCGGCGCGTTTTTCCTATAAATTTATATTTCGTTTGTGTTTTGGTGCTCACATTTCACGTCTCCCCATACTTAATTTATAAAGTAACCAATAACTAATAAATATACATAAACTTAAGCTTCGGTTGCCGAAGGAATGAATACCCTGGCAGGGAAACTGGACACCATGAAGAAGCCTGAACTACTCCATGGGTAATTTTAAAGACTTTCTAGTTATTATGACAAGTATCAAGTTATGCGAAAAGCCGATATACATAAATAGAGATTTTAGCGATTAAACAATACCTTGAAATAATATAATAATAAAATACGATAATAGATAATAAAGTATAACAGACATAATCCGAAAATAATGAAATTTAAACGTAAAATGTAATACTTCTCAATATTTAAAATACTTAAACTTATCTCAATAACATACTATGCTTTTGATAATATATTAAACGCGATATCGGACTTTTCTTTGGATATATATATGCATATAGGAGAACAATCCTTCAAAGAGGAAGCTCGACCACTGCCAGAGTATTAACTCTTAACAAATACCTGGAGGCAGCTGCAGAAGCTGCAGGAGATCAGGAAATCAGACAAACAAACTCACCTCATGGAGTTTCTCCTCAGCTGCACGCCTACGCTTTAGCTCCTTGTCCCGCATGATCTTTTCTCGCAATTGCTTCTGCTTTTCAATCTCCAGGCGGTAGTTGCGCGTCTCCTCATCCTCATCGCTTGGCTGCAAGTCGGGCATTTCGTTAGTCTAGAAGTCTAGGTTTGTGCTGCTGATCTCACTTACCGCATTACGGCTGCCCGTGTCAGAGGTGCGGCCGCGTGGCTCACCGGAGAATGGATTCCGATTGCCGGTAGCAGAGCCCGGGGAACCACTGCGTCGTCGCTTGGCTGCGACAGCACCGGCGGAAGCTGCACCACCGCCTGCTCCCTGACCTGTGGTGGTGCCGCCACCACGATTCTCGTCCCTGTCGCGGCTAGATGCTCGTCGGAAGCCTCGCCCTCCTGCAGTCCTTCCGGCTACGCCGCCATATCGCTCACGGTCACGTTCCCGATCACGCTCCCGTTCCCTCTCTCTCTCACGCTCCCGCTCTCGTTCGCGTTCCCTTTCCCTTTCCGTGCGCTTCACCGGCGAGTAGCTGCGTCCACGGGAACGGCTACGGCTGCGTGTGCCCCGTCGACGTTCGCCCGAAAGGCCGGAAGCGGCGCCCGATCCCGACCCTGAGCCAGCCGGCGGAGGTGAGCGCTCCATTCGCCTCTTTTCGAAGTATTGCAGATTTTTATTGATAAACTCCTCCTGCTGGCGGAGCAGCTCCGCCTCACTGTTGATGGCCGGCATGAAGTGTGTCTCCTTGATGAACTTGTTGGTGGCCGCCTCTACGCCGCCCTTGAAATTCGGATTGATGAGCACCTTGCTGACGCGCGGCACAGACGAGGAGCTCTGCTGCTGCTGCTGCTGCAGAGGCGGCGGCGGTGGTCCATTAGGCGGTGGCTGCTGCTGCGGTCCTGGATTGCCACCAACTTGTGGTTGCTGCGATGGATGCCCCGGCGGCTGCTGTTGCTGCAGCGGTGGCAGTGGCTGTTGCTGCGACGGTGGCTGCTGTTGCTGCTGCGGTGGCGGCGGACCTCGCATTCCCATGCCATTGGCGTAGTTGGGCGGGGCACCGGGCATCATGTGCGGCGGCAGGGTCTGCAAAGGAGGTCGTGGCATGCGGGCTGTGTCGCCCTGCGGACGCCAGCCGTTGTGGGGACGCATAAACTGCGGCGGATGCTGGGGCGGATGGCCCTGGTCGTAGCCATAGGGCGGTGCGTTGCGGTACAGTGGCGGTCGCATCCCCGCCTGCGATTGTTGAAGTTGATGCGGCCCAGGCCCAGGCCCAGGTCCAGGTCCAGGTCCTGGACCCAATAGCGCTCCATTGCGGTAGCCTCCGCCACCGCCACCACCTCCAGGATTTGGGGCATAGCCCATCGGCGGTGGCTGCAGCAGGCCCACACGCACCTGCTCGTGCGGATGCGGCAACAGATGTGGCGGTCCGGCTCCGTTTGGATTATGACCGTGACTGTGACTGTGGTGCATCATGTGCGAATGCGAGGGATTGTGGAGGGGATTGGCGGGAGCGCTGTGTGGCTGTTGTGTGTTGGTCGGTGCCTGTTGTGGTGACTGGTTGGGTGGCTGAGTTGGCGGGTACTGGCCTGGAATGGGAATGAATGTTGGCTTGTTCAGTGTCTGCTGTTGATGGGATGGATGTGCGGGATGGGCCTGAGGCAGCAGGGTCGACAGGGTCAGCTGGGAGCCGGGAAGGGATAGGGGAAGCAGACAGGCGGTAGGAGCAGTGCCACCCACTGGCGTGCTCATCAGAGCCAGGCGCTGCTGCTGCTGCTGTTGCTGTTGCTGTGGAGCATTACCCGGCATGCCGTAACGCTGAGGTGGCGGCTGCATTCCGGCCATGCCCATACGTTGCTGCTGTTGCTGCTGCTGCTGGACACTGAACATGGGCGAGGGATTGCGCAGCAGATGGTGCCGTGTCCCGATCCCGCGTGGCGGTTTACCCATCTGATTCTGATTCTGCATGTAGCGCCCGCCTCCACCTCCGCCGCCGCTACCGCGTTGTTTGTCTGCAATTTAAAGGGGTGTAATTTGAGTGTAAGAATCTGATCTGATGATCTTTCTAGCTAATTTCCTCACCTGAATGACCGTGGTGTCGCCTCTGTTGCTGGTGCTGCTGGTAGGGCGACATGTGGTTGTGGTCCTGATGGTGTCGCATATTGCTTTCGGCACGCTCGCTGGCCGTCTTGTAGTTAGTACGCTCCTCGCGCTCCTCCTCGTCCTCGCGCGGATCGGGCAGCTCTGAGACCACCGAGGCGGAGCTGACGCTGGGTAGGCTCTCCTGCGAGGAGGCCAGCAACGAAGACAGGCCTGTCTCCTCCTGGGCAGCTGCCTCTTCGCCCCCATTGTTTGCATTCGGCACAGCCGCCTCTTGTTCCTCTTGTTTATGTGCCGGCGGGGCTTCCTCAGCTTGCGGCGGCTGGATCTCTGAGTCTGTTTTGGCGCCGCTAGTGCTGGGATTAACAGTGACTGGCTTCTCCGCTACCTTCTCCTCCTCCGAGGTGACTGTGGGCGCCGCCACAACACTATCTGGAGTTTTCTCGAAGCTGGGCGGAATGCTGCTGGCCGCAACGGGAGCGGGAGTGTAGGCGGGAGCAGGAGCAGCAGCAGCACTGGTAGCCGCCGCAGGAGCCGGGGCTGGAGTATAGGGTTCTGGGTCCGCGGGAGCGGCTTCCGTTGATGGTGCTGCCGTTGATGGAGCTGAAGCGGAAACTGAACCTGATGTTCCTACTGTTTCGCGACCAGCCTGCAGCTGTTCCTTGTGCTTGCGTTCATGCTGGCGTATCTGCTCTTGGGCCCACTCCTCGGCCTCAGCGCGCATCTGCTGCTTGACCTCGTTGGTGACATCCTTTTCGAGCTCTGATAGAGAGATAGAGAGAGAGAAACGGGTAGAGATCGGGCTTCTGATCAGAGAGTTCGCAACTCACCTTCGTCCGAGAGTAGCAACTCATCCTCGTCGGCGCCGAGCAGGGTCTGGTCGTCGATGTCGTCTCCCAGCTCGTAATTGAGCAGGTCATCGCTGCGGGAGAGGAGAGGGAAGGGAGAGAGTGAGCAAAAGGAAGCCAAGGTGAGATTCTTTTCCCTGCGTATTTGAAATTCGAAATTCCATTGAAAAACGAACGAGCGCACGCACACAGGCGCAATTGCACCGCGCTCGCACGCACACACTCGCCGCGGGGGCATTCACTCACACCCACACACACACTAGGGCAAACACCTCGAAAATGTTATACACATGAACGCACTCGTACTCCACCACGGAGGGGGCACACACACACACACACATCACCACCCACCACACTCGGCGTGGGCATCGTCCACCGATCGCGGCATGGAGAAGGCTTAAGAAACATCTTGGTCCTGCCATCCGCACCTTGTACACATATATTTCACACTTTTCCTCCATGGACACTTACTTAATGTCCGACATTTTGACTGCGGCCAGCCAGCGCAGCTGTTGACACTCGACGACGGCGGCGACGGCGTGGGGGCTCGAGTGTCTGTTATTTAGGGTAGTAGAACAGCGGCCCTCTACTTGCACGGCCCTTTTAAATGCATTTTGAGCTTTTTTCCAGATGCTAGGCAGCGGAAATGAATGCTAAAACTTCGTTTCTTTTTTTCACACAGTGTCACTTTTCAGGGGGATGCAATGGTGTGGCCGTTTCGCAGAAAATTCAATTTCTCATGTCCGTCAAGTTAGAGTCGATGAGTTAGCGTCGAAATGGAACGGTGGGAAAATGGAACATGGAGGGGATCTTTAATTTTTAATTTATTTCGTAATTAAGGCACTAATTCGAATAAAATAAAGTTTCTATATGCTAAAAAATGAAAATACTATTGTGTTTTACTGGGTTTGAAAGTATTTGACATTTGGATATATTAAAAAAAAGCATGTGAAAAATCGTGTTTTCACGGATTTCTTAATATCTCGGCTAATCAAACGCGTAAGGCAATATCCGATACGTCAAAATAAAGGAGATTTATTGTAGTTTTACCCTACCAAGTTTCAATTTCTTTAAACAGTCAGTTTTTGAGCAAATCGCATAACAGTAATCTAACCTCGGGATCGGGTCTATACAAAATAAGCCATCCAAAATTTTAAGGCTTATAACTTCGCTTTACGATTATAGATGGCTAAATAGACTCGGCTGTTGATGCTGATCAAGAATATATATACTTTTTAGGGTCGGAACTGATTTATTCATTGCGTTGCAAAATATTTGACCTGAAATCATATGACAAAGCAAGGGCATTGAAGCACTAGATTTAAAAAGCAAATTTTCGAAATAACATTTAATAGTCTGCCCAATAAATGATATCGTTATTCTAAGCAATTTGGTAGGTGTTTCATCGAAATCCGTTCAGTCGTTTTGGAGAAATTAACATTTGAATTACTAATTTCTATACTAAGGAGGCATGACTATGCACCCCTGGTACCCAACTGCAATAAATGAAAAAGTCGGAATTTCTCATTACCTACTGAACGGATTTTGATGAAACATAGATCAAAATGTCCAGAATTGCGATGCCGTCTATGGGACAGTCTTCCTTTTGCATAGGTTTAACCATAAAGTTGAAATCAAGTTTTCTTGGTTTTTAGGCAGGCAGGGCTGCGGGATATATTTATCTTCGCTGGCACATAAATGGAAATAAATGAAAAAGTCGAGATTTCTTATGAACGACTGAACGGATTTTGACGAAACGTGGATCAAAATGTTCAGAATTGCGATCCCGTTAATGGTACGATCTTCAGCTTGCATTAGTTTTATTATAAAGTTTAAATCAAATTGACTTAATTGTAGGCAGCCAGTGCTGCCAGATATTTTTATTCTTCGTAAGAACATTTATGAAAATAAATGCAAAAGTGGGGTTTTCTCATGAACGACTGAACGGATTTTGATAAAACAACTACCAAAACGCTTGGAATGTCAATTCCATTCATTATTATTGAAACATTGCCTTCAAGACGACGCTACCGCTAGAAATAATGTCGGTCAAAATGCAATTTTGGTATATTTAGTATAAAAGTATTTTTTCAAACTTAGCCGGTTTCATTTATCGTTATCGGCGGCCTCATCTCTAATATGAACAAACTAGAGGTATTCTACAATAAATTCAAAAAATAAACTAAAATACACCCTAAAATACACCATACCTTATAAATTTTAAGTAATATGCACATATTCCGATCTTCGATGCTGAAAAAAGTGTATCGATGTATCATTGCTTGAATTATATCGATACTATCCGTAGCGACATCGAGGTACTTCCATCACTATTCGGCTACCACTCTTTTCTGCAACTGCCGGGACGCCGACTTTTGATTTTCGCTTGAGTTTTGTTATTTGCCTTACTTTATTTCGTAAAGTACTACCGCAAACTCACGGAACAGCGAACAATATGTCGGACGTGCGCAAGACCAAGAGGTTGACCTTCCCCGCCGATGAGGAGTTCGACGAAGAATTGCTGTTGGAGATTGCTGCTGTCCAGACCGAGGTAGATCAAATCAACAAGAAAACCACCGAAGAGATCCTCGAGGTGGAATCGCGTTACAACAAGCTGCGTCAGCCATTATATGATAAACGCTACCAGATGATAAAGAAGATCCCCCACTACTGGTTGAAATGCATCAAGAACCACCCGAAGATATCCTTGGTCATTCACGAGGAAGAGGAGGATTGCCTCCTCTATCTAACTGATCTGGATGTCCTGGAGGCCGACGACATAAAAACCGGCTACCGTATTACGCTGCGCTTCGCAGAGAATCCGTACTTTGAGAACAAGGAACTCGTCAAGGAGTACTATTTGCGCTCCATGTCATCAAACACGCTCATTGAGTGGAAGGAGGGCAAGAACCTGCTCAAGCAGGTACTGGAGAAGCCCGACCACGGCAACAAGAAGCGCCACCCGGACTTCAAGTCCTTCTTCGACTGGTTCACAGAGCCCACTGATATCGTCAGAGACCGTGTCGGCATGTCTCTAAGAGATGAACTCTGGCAGAAGCCCGCGTATTATTATTATTACTGCAAAGATATTGGGGCTGTGCCTCATTGACTTCCTGAATCAATAAATAACCTCGTACCAATGTATGTACATATATGTAAGCTTAATTATATCAATTTGTTTCATTTCTTTTGGGGTAAATGAGGGGACCTTCTTGGGAATCTAATATATGCCACTTATGGTTGTTCTAGGAAGCTTGGGCGTTCCTGGAATTTCATGTGCGTCGCAAAATGAACATCCAATTCATTGTAAACTCGACATTGCGGCGTTTTCATATTGGCGCCAAATTTACATGGCATTGTTTTTGTTATGTTGCAAGAATCTCTGGAGCCGAGCTGCCATCTAAGGTGCGCGGTTGGCTTCTCAAAAGAAAAGCCGGAAAAGCTGAAAAAGCCTAACTCCTAACAGTTGAATTTATTTGCTTGAATGTCAATATATACACATTTAGGTTATATATCAAACATTATAAACATAGTAAACAGTATAAAATGCATTCATTGATCAATTTTCCAGTTGTATTTCTGAAATTTAAAACAAGTGGGCATCCCAAAGCGTTTTGCCATCACTAGGGTTCTTATAGTATTTTTTGTTTTTCGACTAGCAAAAATACAAAATATCGATATATGGAATATATATGTTGCCCATCCCCAGCAGCTGTCAAAGGCAACAACAACATGACTGTTGTTCAAAATCACCGCAAATATTGTATTTCCCCCAGTTAGTAATTCAGCCGCACATAAAAACATGACCACAGACGAGAGCATAATGGAGGAGATGCTGGGTAATGTACAAATCCGGATAAGCTGCAGCGTAAAATCGCTAACACGGCGCCGCTTGTGTCGCCTCTTCTTCGCCCTCTTCTTCTTATCCTTCTACAGATAGAGCAACGAATCCGGCAAAGGAAAGAGTTGACGAATTGGGCGTGCAAATGTTCTGCATTGTGGTACGCAGCAATGGCCAGCTGGTGCACAAGGCCCAGGAGATGATAGTGGCCAAGGTGCGATCGGTCAACATAACCGAAGCCACCCGGGCCATTTCGGTGAGTTTTGTGGGTCGGTTTTTCTGACCCCTTTTTGCCCCTCCATTTCCACACTACAACCGTTAAACACTTGGGTAAAAGCACACACACCAACACACACATGTGTGTATAGCACACACGCACTTGTGTGGCTGCGTTGGATTCGCAAACGTTATCAGTGCCTTTGTGGTCGTAATATGGGCCTGTATTGTGGCTAAGTCTGAGACGACAGCAACAACAAGACACCTAAAATAATATTTAATATGCTGGCTAATGTTATTTTTAGATACTCTTCACTTATGTGTAGATTAATAATTAAGGAAGGCTAAAGCCAGTGAATTTGTTTATTAGAAATCAAGAACAAACTATAGAAAAATGTATAGTTTTATATAATATCCTACCAATTTTGGTACCTGTAGCTCTTATGGGCTTTAAGCTGGAGCTGGCTGTGGCTCGTCTGATGCTGTAAATCAAGAAAATATAGACTTGTTGGCATTGGAAATGCCTTTCTCTGTCTAAGAAGCTATAATAAGCTAGGGTTAAACCTTCGAAACACAAAACCCGTCACAAATCATTTTATACTCACAGCTCCTGGAGGAATGCATGACGCAGTGCGGCGACGAGTTTCAGGACGAGGCCTCCAAGTTTCGCTTCCTCAACGAACTGATCCGCCTGGTGTCGAAGAAGTACAAGGGCGCCGAGACACCGCACGAGGTTAAGCAACGTATCATGGAATGCCTGCTGCTCTGGACCACCGAGTTTCCGCAGCGACAGAAGATCCGTGATGCCTACGATATGCTGCGCAAAGAGGGCGACATTGAACACGGCACCACAGAGGCGGCGGTGGCCAAACGCGAGAGTGTATTGGGCACCATTGACGAGGCCATGTTCGCCAAGCTGATTAAAAGCAATAATCCGGAGAACTTCAAGCGGGCCAATCTGTTGCTACAGTACCGCATGGCGCAGGAGGCGCGCCGCAATGATCTGCTTGCCCAGCATCGCCTGGTGCTTTGCGAGGTCCAGGAGACAATTCAGCTGCTCAACCAAATGCTGGACACCTACGATCCATCCAATCAGGATGTCAGCGAGACACTGCACGAGCTGTACAAGAGCTGCAAGAAGCATAAACCCATCTTTCAGCATCTGCCGCAGCTGTTGGACAATTCCGATGCCCAGCTAGTAGGTGGGTGTCGAGCTTTTACAGTATTTAATGCCCGCTTGCCATATTCTTCTTCCTCTCTCTAGCCGACACCCTGGACGCCAACGAAGCCCTACTGTCCACCATGCAACGCTACAAGCAACTGGTGCCCTCGCCCACGAAGAGCTTAGCTCCCAGTTTACCTATAACCAAATCTACTGGCACTGCTACATCGACGGCAGCCTCAGGCTCCAGCAATGCCCTCCTCCTAAACGAACTCCTTGGCGATTTGCTAATCAATAGTGAAAGTAACAGCGGGGGAGGATCTGCCTTAGCCTCTGCTCCCAAGGAGTCGACTTCAATTACATCCCATGTGGGTGCCAGCAATAATTCAACATCCACCACAGTGGGAAACCCACTGGCCGACCTCAACGACATCTTCAGCAGCGCCTTGGCCGAAAGTGAGGCCAAGCTGAATCAGAATCAGACTCAGAATCAATTGCCGTTTCAGAATGCTAGCACATTGCTGGAGCCTCAGGTCCTCAGTCCCAGCTCTACCGTCGAGGGTCTGGCCAATGGCAGTGCCAGCGAGTTGGGTCAAAAGTCAGGAACTACTGCCAGAAAGATGCCCCAGATTGATATGCTCAGCGAGGAGCTCTTCCAGCAGATATTGCCCACTCAGGAGCGGATGACTAGCTTCAAGCGTGATCCCGAAAAGATTACCCTCAATGATATGGCTCGGGACAAGATGCATGTGAAGGTGCAGCCATCAGAGTTGGAAGAAAAGAATGCGAAGGAGCCTGCTTCCTTAGTCTTGGCTACGACTAGCGACTGCTCGGTTGATGATGTTCCATTACTTGAAAGCGAGACTGTAAGCAAAGTGGAGGAAAAACCAGCCAAAAGTGAGGATCTGGTGACCGCCAAGCCGCTAAGCGAGATTCATGTGGAACTGGATAATATCCAGGCCACCGGTGAGCAACGTATCGTGCTGGATGATGATGACATGCAGCTCAGTTTGAACTTCACCAGCGATCGGCCCGGCCATCGTGTTTCGGTGATTGTGATATCGGCCCAGAACAAGAGCGGCCAGCCTGTGCGTGATTTTCAGTTTGAGGCAAGCGTGAAAAAGGTGAGTGTTGAAGAGCGAGTCAGGAGTCTACGGTAGGTTTTATTAACTATCCTTGCTTCTTAACAGCCCTGCAAGGTGCGCCTGTTGCCGCCATCCAGCAGCGAAATGCCTCCCCACAAACCATTCCGACCGGCCACACCCATCAATCAAGTGATGCTGCTACTAAATCCCACTGGCAAGGCCGTCGACGTTACCTGCATCGTGGGCTACAAGCTGGGAGATGATCCGGATCCCATCAAGGAGTCTGTGGTGGCCCTGGGCATTGCTTACGTCGATTAAATCCCGTCCGCAATAACCACAACACGAAGAACAAGTCAATTGCGTTCCATCCCATCCTTTTTAATTATTTTAACGGCGATCTTAAAGATTCCTTGGTTTTATTTTCGTTTGAATGCCGGTGTATTATTCAAACTGTAAACTTTTGCACACATGATTTAGTCTTAATATATAATAAAATAATGTAATAATTATGTATCAAAGGTTTATATATATATAAATTATTAAAAAGTCGCTACAAAAGCCAAGCGCTAATTTCCAGAGGTAGTAGTTACACGTTTACTAACTGATCGCGACGTATGTTGAGCTGATGCGCTTCAGTTCTGGATTGCTATGGAGTCCACATGGTCATCACCATCGCTAAATGCAACAAAACTGCCCCCAAAAATGGCCAAATTATGCCTTTGTATCCATCCATTGACGGACAGAATCGGGATTAGGACTCGCTCCCGGATGTGACACGGTCACAAAGCTTACAAAATCTATAGCCAATATATGCTACTGCTACTGCAAACTAACAACTACAAGCTATTATTTACCAACAATCTCATCCTTGAAGGACAGGGCAGTGATGGCCTTTGTGTGGCCAGTATAGTCCCTTATTGGGCTCTTTGCTTCCAAGTTCCAGAGGCGTGCCACACCGTCCGAGGAGGCGGTAAAGAGCCATTTGGAATCGGCACTAAAGGCCGCATCCCACACCCAATAGTTTTCGATGCACAATTCCCCCCACTTGCTAAAGTCATCCGTCATCCAAATGCAAACAGTGCCATCACCAGAGGTGGTGAGTAATAGTCGCGAGTCGGGACTGAATTTGCAGCGCAGGATGTAGCGCTTGTGCGCCTTTTTCTTCTTCATCGGCCTGAGGGTGCTCATCTTCTGGTCGGGACTGCTGGTCAGTGACCAGATGTAAAAATTGCCCTTGTTGTTGCCAGCGGCCAGGAAGCGACCGTCTGGTGAGATGGCCACATCTTGGATGGAGGCATCCACCTCGGGCACAATCCGTTCATGCTTCTCGGACTTGACGTCCCACAGAAAAACGCTGCCATTTTGCGAGCCCATTCCAATTTCCACTTGATTTGGATGCAAACAAGCGGCATTTACCGGCGCCTCGCAATCGAACACTCGGGAGCAGTGCGGTGGTGCCGAGATCATGTCCCAGATCCGAACGTGATGATCCTCGCCGGCGGTGAACATCCAGTTGCCGTCCTCCTGGAAGCCCAGGCGCGTCACATTCTTCTGCACGCCATCAAAGTTGATGACCGGAGCCGTGCAATTGGATTCCAGGTCATATAAACGTATGCACTGGTAGCCACAAGCCGCTAGCCGGGTCTTATCCGGTGTCCTGTCCAAGGCGTTCACTTGCTGTAATCACAATGCACATTTGTACTTAATATATATATATATACACATATATAGATATATTTAATATGTTGAGATTGAGGTCCACCCACAGAGGTTTCCACGAAGCGCATTGTTTTAATGCAGTTGCCGGTGTGCGCCTGCCACACCTTGATTGTGTGATCATATCCACCGGTGGCCAGAATCAGTTGTTGCTGCTGTTGGTCCCCCATTTTCCATCAAATCGCCGCAATTTCTTCCTATGTTTTCATTGGGTTTCCGCTAGTGGTGGACGAAATTGAGCAAAATACCGATACATCGACATATCGATATATCGGCAGCTAGCATCGATGAATACATGTGATTGGAGTCTGCGCTAACTTCCATGCCAAGATCCAAGGTTTGAAACTGCGATAAGTTAATTTTCTTTCTGCTGCCCTCTGTGCGCCTGGTACATGTAATCAAGAAATTGATGAATTCTGGCTTAATTTATTATTTAAATTAAATTAAATAAATAAATGAGCCCTTTTAGTAAGATAAATAAATAATTATCAATTGAATTTTGATTTTACCGCCTCCCGTTTTTTATCGATCTTTACGCCACTAGAAAGTCCTTTGACACTCACTCCGACGCGATCTTGACAGGTACCGTTTTCCAGTGAGCGAAAAAAAAGTGAAAAGAAAAAACGTACATGACGCGTGCTGCTGCTGAAAAAAACGTTTTTACCCAGTAAAAAACGTTTGATAATATCTAAAAACTAAATAAATCAGTTAAACTAAGTGCAGTTCATATCGTGACACTTAAATTAAACGCTAAACAAGTGAATTTTCAAAGAAATTTGCATTTTTCATGTCGAGTGAGTGCTGCGCTGCTCTTTCCAATAGGAGTTAAAAAAGCGGGAAAAGAAATGTGATAAAAAACCATACATTGTGCACGTACCGAAGTGAACTTCATATATAACTACATACATACGTTATAAAGGAAGCTATTAGTAACACAGTTAGCAAGTGGTTAACTAATTATAGCCATTAAACTGATGTTAAAAAGTTGAGACACCCGCGGCGGCAGCGGCCGCAAGTACGTATGTATGTGTGCGTTGGAAGAGTCCCTCCAAATTTGTGCGTCTGCAATAAATGAGTGCAGTGCGGTGATTATTAGTGTGTTTCTGTATATTTTTTTAAAGTGTTAAATATAAAAATTGATCGCAATTGATCATTAGTGCTTTTTTTGTTGTTTTTTTTTATGTGTTAATATAAAGTTAATTGAAAAGGCAATATGCCAAAAATCATATGAGTGGTGTTAGTGTGTGTAATTTTTCAGTTATATTGCCAACGCTGAAGTGAATATATTTTTATTTTTATTTTTTATGTGCAAATGAGTTGATGATTAGTTCAACTAATTATGAGTGTTTTTTGTTTTTTTTTTTAAGTGAACAAAAAATGAAATATGCCAAAGAGAAGAAAAGCGCCTAAATGTATGCTGCATTTAATTTATTCCTTTTTAATTCCGATAAAAAATATGCTACGAATAAGAAAACACGGAAAATAAGAAAATGAGTGAGTGGATAATTTATTTAATTTTTATTTTGGAATGCATTTCAATTTATCTTTTACCAATAAGGCAAAAATTCTGTTCTTTAGCCATATTTGTATATTATTTATAATTTTTTATATTATTACCCCGTTATGATATGATAATTTTTAGGGTTCTCTTTGCGGATTTTTGCCGATTGATTTGATAATTGCCGATCTTTGAATTTATTTCTTATTTATCAGCTAAAGGAAACATATTCTTTTGTTTGTATATATTTTAAATTTATATTTTAAACACAGCTAGATCCGCCCTCCGCCCTCTCGCTCTCAAACTTGACATGGTGACCCGGGAAATAAACCGAGAACCTGCCTCACAGAAGCTTCCACGAAGCGCATTGTCTTAATGCAGTTGCCGGTGTGCGCCTGCCACACCTTGATTGTGTGATCATATCCACCGGTGGCCAGAATCAGTTGTTGCTGCTGTTGGTCCCCCATTTTCCATTAAATCGCCGCAAATTTTTCCTATGTTTTCATTGGGTTTCCGCTAGTGGTGGACGAAATTGAGCAAAATACCGAAAAGAAAAATACTAACATTTTTATTGTTATCGATATATCGGCAGCCAGCATCGATGAATACATGTGATTGAAGTCTGCGCTAACTTCCAGGCCAAGATCAAAGGTTTGAAACTGCGATAAATTAATTTTCCTTCTGCTGCCTTCTGTGCGCCTGGTACATGAAATCAAGAAATTTATGAATTCTGGCTTAATTTATTATTTAAATTAAAAAAAAAAATCTGAAATTTATCCTGCTAAATGGACAATACAAAAGAAGAAAAAAAAACAGCTACTATAAAAATAGTTCACCATCCTAGGGGGATCGTTCTAGAAGAAAAATAGCTATTTACATAAAATTATTTACGAATAGCATCATAGATTATATTGAGCTCTTTTATTGAGATAAATAAATAATTCTCAATTTGAATCATTTGATTTTACCGCCTCCCGTTTTTTCTCGATCTTTTCGCCACTAGAAAGTCCTTTGACACCCGCGGCGGCAGCGGCCGCAAGTATGTATGTATGTGTGCGTTGGAGGAGTCCCTGTAAATTTGTGCGTTTGCATGGCAAGTCAACTCACCTCGTTTTTGCTCTCACCACTCACCCACCACTCTCTCGCGGCTTGAGTGTTGAGATAAACGAAAATCCCTTTAAATATGTTGGAGTTGAATATGAAGGAGTTGAGTGCATGTAAAAACCAAGGGAATAAATAAGTGGTGTGGTGATTATTGACAGGTTTTTGTTTATTTTTTTTTTAAGTGTTGAATATAAAAATTTATCGCAATTGATCATTAGTGTTTTGTTGTTGTTTTTTTTATGTGTTAATATAAAGTTCATTGAAAAGGCAATATGCCAAAGATCATTTGAGTGGCGTTAGTGTGTGCAATTTTTCAGTTATATTGCCAACGCTGAAGTAAATATATTTTTGTTTATTTTTTTATGTGCAAATGAGTTAATGATTAGGTCAACTAATTATGAGTGTTTTTTTTTTTTTTTTTAAGTGTAAACAAAAAATGAAATATGCCAAAGAGAAGAAAAGCGCCTAAATGTATGCTCCATTTAATGTATTCCTTTTAATTCCGATAAAAAATATGCTACGAATAAGAAAAGACCGAAAATAAGAAAATGAGTGAGTGGAAAATTTATTTAATTTTTATTTTGGAATGCGTTTCAATTTCTCCTTTACCAATAAGGCATTGTATTCTTTAGCCAACAAAATTAGCTAAATTTGTATATTATTTTAATCATTTATATTTTATTATTATTACCCCGTTATGATATGATATTTTTTCGGGTTCTCTCTGCGGATTTCGAGGGGTGCACTAGTTGATATGTTTTTAAGATTGATATTTTTTGCCGATTGATTTGATATTTGCCGATCTTTTAATTTATTTCCTATTTATCAGCTAAAGGAAACATATTCTTTTGTTGGTATATATTTTAAATTGATATTTTTAAGGTTTTCTGTAACCCAATTTGACCCGTCCTAATGATAGGATATAGCTTTTAAAGTATGCAAGCTTTTAGCCTGATTGAATTTGTCATTATGGTTACCCTTTTGATCCAGCTGGCGCTGATATTTATGGACCTATGATGATTTGTTTACTTAGTTTAATGTGTCATTTTTACTAATCACGGATTAGTGAGAAAAACGCTTGCGGCCACAACAACGAGAGTGCCACACCCCTTTTACACACACACACACACACACACACGCACAAACACAGTTAGATCCGCCCTCTCGCCCTCAATCGGTTGACATGGTGACCCGGGAAATAAACCGAGAACCTGCCTCCGGCTTTCGGTTCGCTGCGGAATGGAATACATTCATTTAATTACAATTTGATTCAATAGACAGACCACGGACACACTTCAAACGGGTGGATGAGATGTAGTTAGTAGCTATAACTACTAACTCTGAACTAGCAGGTGTGCAATTGGTAGAAAGTAACTAAAGAGAGTATTTTTAACTTTCATTTTAAGCCTTTGTTTTTTTTATGACCTCAACAAGCAGCATAATTGTGCTGCAGAGAATTATAGTTTAGTTTTGAGAGCAAAATAATATTTTTAAAAGAGATAAGGTATATTTTTACTTATTGTAAAATATGTTAAATCAATTATTCTTTTATGCTGATGTGTTTGCTTATATTTCTTATATATATAACTATCTGAAGTACATGATTTCTTGTAATTAGGTCATACTTTTTGCCCAGTGCAAAAATGTTTTGAGGGAATGTAGAAGGATCGACGTTGAGTATAGAAAACATGCAAAAATATTTCAAATAGTTGTTTTTAGGCATAAATAAATATAGTACATACTTGGTACTTTTAACCCATTTAACTTTCGGTAGAAATCTTAAACCTAATGCTGACATGTGTGTGAAAGCAGATACGGATGCAAAGAGCGCACTGACAGATACAAATTCCCGCTGCGGTCGCCGCTTGTGGCCTTTGTGCTCGATGGGCGGCAGAATAGATACAACATAACAGGGGGCCGGCAGGGGGGAGTGATGAATTGGGCCGGACATGTGGCATATTATTCGGATTCAGGAGTCGGTAGCTGGGATTTGGCAGCGACTCCTTTAATAATGATGATAATAATAATGATAATAATGCCGCATCGATTCCGCTGGGACCTGTGGGCCCGTAACCCCGAACTTCTCAGATGAGACGGGGCGTAAAATGGAAAGCCCGGTCATGCGTGTGAACGGGTGCGGTCTGCCCTCCCCCTAACCTTTCAACCCAGTCCATTCATCGCCCGCTAATAGAAAATCTATTAGCGCTTACAGGATGAGGGAAAATCAGGCAGGGAAAAAGGATGAGGGCCGCCGGTTACTTGTGCACTAGAAACACTTTCTATGGGACTTTATTTAAATTGAGATATTTATTATTACATTTTTTAAGCGAAAATGTATTTATGAAGTATTTAAAGTTGTTAGATTTCTGGTATTATTTATTTTTAAGGTGTAGCGACGAAAAAGAAAGCGCAGACAGGCGAAAATGTTGAAATTAGAGAACTGTTGTTGGACCGTGGAGCATGTAAGACAGCACGGATTGCCAGACTGACTGACGCTTCGGTGGACAGATTGATCGACAAACTGACAAAATGACAGTCTGACAGACTGATGAATGTGTGGAACCAACCGTTGGCCATATAAGTGGGAGTAGAAGAGTTAACCTTAATGTGGGAAACCTTGTTAAAAACATTAACAACCAGTAGCTTGAAAATAACTTATTGAAAAAGTATATATACATATATTTATAAATATTAGACCTATGTTTATATATATTATAAACATATTTCTGTATATTATACATATATTTATCTGAACCATCATGAAAACCACTACAAGCCACCTCTATGATAGCTATATATTATATATTTTTATTCCTTTTCCAGGGTATTCAAATTGTAGTCAGAAGCTTGTAATGCTGTGAAAGGGTCATTTCCGACCCTATAAATCATATATATTCTTGATCAGCATCAACAGCCGAATCGATCTAGCTATCTTAGAAAGAAAAGACAAATTTTTAATTTTTGTTCAAATTTTATATCGTTAAAATTGATCAAAAATTAAAAAAGAAAATTAATTTTTTTTACATTTTAAATTGAGTATGCAGTTTTATTAACCTAATCAAAATAAACATAGGAAAGCTTTCCGAATTAAAATTAATGCTTTTTTGGCTATGGTATGAGATCTAAAAACTTTGATTTTCGAAAAAATGGTCATATAAATATTTTCAAAGTTTTTTAAATATTTCAATATTTCTAGCGTATATATATAAATTATCACCATCTAATAACTACCTATCATTGGCTGCTTTTTTTTAATGATTTAAACAAATATTATATTACTTGTGTGTATCTCGGCTAATGGAAAAACCTGACCCATTTTCAACTCTTAAACACGGACACGGAAACTGACAATAAAATCTCCGCTTACTCTTACCCCACTCCCCTTGCTCTGCTTTCTACAGAATTGTTTACATTTTCCTGACGAGAACGCGACGAGCACCATCAATCGCAGTTTGTATTGTATTTAAGTAATTGGAGGGTAAAATGTGTTTCCAATTTGTAGTACCTATTCGAGTAACAGTTTCCCCCTATTTTTGCTGTCTTCCTTCCTCTGCTGCTTACTTGCTTTTGCCTGCACTGTGAGAATATATTGATTGCATGCGGATTTTGGATTTAATAGATTTTTTAGGGTATTATTTTGGGATAAGATAGAGGTAATATATGGGAGTTACATTTATTTGCCCATAAATTTTTTAAATTTAAATTTAAATTTTAGGGGTTGCTAATTTTTTTAAGTGCAGTGTAACAGTGAGCGGAAAAAGTAACTGGCAACAAGATTGAAAAAGTATTGAATTACATTTATACAACATTTGGTTGAATGGCTTTCGCCAAAAGGAGGGTGGCGCTCAGTGTCGGTGGGCGGTGGGCGGTGGGTGGTGTGTGACGGGTGATGGGTGGGTGGTATGGGCTGGTCGAGTGTTGCGGTTTGAGTTTCCTTTTGTTGGTCTTCTGGATGTCGTGTGGGTGGGGGGTGCCGCCTGCCGCCTGCCGCTCTTGTTCTTGTTCTGGGGGTTCGGGTTTTGACGATTAACGTGAATACCTCTGTTTTGCTGTCCCCACACCCCCTGCTTTCTTTTGCTTAGTGTGTGTTTTGTGGCTTCACCGAGTGTCTGGGCTAGATGCACCAGGAAAAAAAGGTGAACTGCCAAGCTGATAATTTTACGAAAATATTCTTTATTTTTTTAAGTTGAAAGCTTGAAACATAGTGAAGGAGTCATTTCCGACCCTATAAAGCATATATATTCTTGATCAGCATCATCTGCCGAGTCGATCTAGACATGTCTGGAATAAAATTTTGTTTTTTAATTTTTTGTCGAAATTTTTCTTATAAATATTTAATCATAAAAAATTTTTAAAATTGATAAAAATTTTAATTTCTTAAAATTATAAACTGAGTATGTAGATTTAT